GAAACACTGCTGGCATTGATGGGAGAACCTCATCCTTCCTGGAAGGTTATCAGGAGGAAAACAGCCCAAATAAAGTCCTCTGTACGAATGATATTTATTAGATGCCCACATGCTGTTTCTTCCATATAAACCATCTTTTTTCTCCTAAAGAATGTTCTTGCCCTGCTTGCATATGTTGATGACACAAAAAATAACTTCAGTAAAGTGCTGAGATTTTGACCTTTGTCACAGCTGTCAAGAGAGGCGATAGCTGCTAAATGGCAGCAGAGTGATTTCTACAGCACTTAGGAGGCATAGAAATGGTGTCATTGCACTGAGTGGAAGTGGCCAAGGGCAGAGTCCGGTTTGTAAGATGCCCTTTCGGGTTAGGGTCAGCCTGGAATGCGCTTCTTCGTAGTGTTCCACCTGGACTTGAAGTTCCAGAGCAGCCAGGACGCCATCCCCTTAGCTGAACCATGCACCTTGTCACCTTCCTCACCTGTTTCGAGCCTCACCTCTTTGGGAAAGAGTGTTTGTGGGGTGGCAGGAGACACCTGGTTAAATTCACTTTCCATGGGCAGTGAGGAAAGTGCAAACCTCCGCCTCTGAGATCCCTCAGGCCTGCTCTCCTGGACAATCCGAATTGTGGCACAAAGAGGTGCCGGGTCTCTGCAGGGGTGGGAAATCCGAGTTGCTGCTGTCTGCTGCCTGGTTGTGTGAGTCACTTGTGAATTGAGTCAGGTACTGTGTTTGTCAACACAAAGGAGAAATACGACATTTTACAGTTTTGTTGTGTGCAGCACCCACATCCAGCCTTCATGGTTATGCACTTGAGCTGAGCTCTTGAAGCCTGTTCAGTTTTGTAATCCTGGTGCTCAGCACAGTGGCCAGTGCAGGAGGGCCGGAGTTTGCCGTCACAGAGTGAAGGATTAACTGACCTTCCCGATGCGTGCTAAAGGCAGCGTGGCCTTTTCCAATGTTGTTTTAATCCGATGCAGACACTTTCAAAAGTGAACCAGGGACGTAATTTCATGAGACTGTAGAGTCTGACGCTGTAAAAGAGATGGCCTGATTGTCTGCTGTTAGCCCATAATGAAACAATTGTTTCTGGTGCAGTGGGGAAATGAGTAACACTGCCTAATTGAGTTAAAATGCCAAAGAACAAATTGTAATTTTCCAAGTTAAAAAGAAATGGGGGAAATGGAGGGCTGGAGCGAGTCTCAGGATCCAGGGAATGCTACCACTTTAAAATACAAGGGCACATTTGTGTGACCTTTGGTGGAAGTCTCTGCGTAGCCTGACCTCACACCCTGAGCTGTAGCAGAAGTAAGCACAGCACAGTTCCCAGGAGCCTGGGGCTCAGGGAGGCCTGACTCCAAGTCCCCAGCCCTGGCACGGTCTTAGTGAAGCTACTTAAACTTCTAAGGGATCCTCAGGTTTCCCGTCATGAAGTAGGGGTGACGCGCTGTCTCCAACGTCCACACAAGTCCAAGGCTGGAGTTCCTCAGGAGTGTGGGAATGGTCAACACATGTTCATCATGTGAGGTGCGTTTTCCTGCCTCTGTATTTTCTTATTCATGGTGACCTTTTTCCCAAGTATGTTCGAAAAGCTACTAGCAAATTTTTATTAGTACATGTTTGCTGTGCGACATTACATTCTTCACAGGGAGGCAGTATGTAGTGTTTCTTTCTTTTTTAATTTTTATTTTAAAGGGGGTAAAATTAAACAGAACAAAATAGGACATAAAGCAATATAAGAGATACAAATTTCAAAGCTATTCAACCTGCAATCTTTACTATCTATCATATTGTCTCTTGTTTTCTTTCAAATAGTTGTCCATGTCTCCGCATGCAGAGAATTCATACAAAACAACATAGTATAAAACTGATCCAAACAGAATGAGGAAGGTGTTTTAGGTCTTCAAAACCAGACAATAGGGAAGTCACTAATGGCTGTCGTAGAGTCTCTCGTTTTCTTCAAAGTAGCTGTCCATACTTTCATATATATTGAAGTTCAACAAAACAAAATATGCAGTGGGGAGGTGTTGCTTGGTTTCCTGGTGCTCTAGGTCCCAGCATGGCGCGGGTCCCAGGAAATGCCAGAGGCTCCCATCCTGGGCCACCAGAGCCTGCCACGCTTACAGCCGCTCACCGGGGAGGGAGGGGTTGCTTCCAGCTGTTTCTTTTAATGAATTGACCATTTCACTGCCCAAGTTCTGAAATGGCCAACAGACCATAGAAAGACATCTCTTTAGGCTCCTGCTTGAAATCAGCAGCATCAGGAAGCTGTCAGCCTTGACTCAGGGCCAAACTTCCTTTCTTTTTTTCTTTTTTTTTTTACTTTCATTTCCTCTTTCTTCCCTCATTCCCCTCTCTAGATCCCCTCCTCACTAGCAAAATATTTAAGCTTTCGTGTCGATTTATTTCACTTAACCTTATGGTCTCAAGGTGCATCCATTTTCTACCGATGGCTCAAGTTTATCCTTCTTTACAGCAGAGTAGTTCTCCATTATGTTGATGGGCACGTAGGCCACTTCCAAGGGTCAGCTACTGTGAGTTGTGCTACTATAAACATGGGTATACGTGTGTTACTGCAGTATATGTCTTTAACTCCTCTAGGAAGACACCCAGAAGGGGACTAGCTGGGTGAGGTGACTGACAGCTGGAGGTCAGTTTGTAACTTGTAGTCAGCGTGGTGCTAGGTGTGGATGACCACCTGAGAGCTGTTGCCGACACCGTAGAGAGAACTGGAGTGGAAGCGTTGTTGGTTCCCCTGGAGGAGCTTGTCCCGCTGGTTTTCCTGATACAAACTCACTGTACTCGTCATCAGAGGAGCTTGGGTCCTTGCTGTCACTGAGGATGGCTGCAGTTCTCTTCAGGGGAGCTCTGGTCCCTACCTTGAGGTCACTTCCTGGCTCCGGTGCAGATCCCTCAGCTGCTGGCACAGATCCTTCATTCCGCTGGTGCAGACTTTCTAGTTTCCACTGCTGACCTTTGGGCCTTCCCAGTGCAGATCCTTGATACAGACTTGCATGAGACGTTGTTGTGGGGTCTAGGCCAGTGAATCCAGCTGGACATATGGCCATGGGATGCAGGTCCCAGCTGGATTCACTGGGTCCCTATTGTATGGACAGATTTCCTGCAGTCTTTTGCATTTGTTCTTTGGGTGAATGTTACAAAAGAATTCTATAAACTATGTGACCTGTGTTAAATACTTTCCCTTCTAAACCTTGACTACAACATTGAGTCAAAAAGAATTTCCAGTTTTAACTTGCGTTTCTCTAATGGCTAGAAATACTGAACATTTTACATATGTACAGTATTGTATTTATGCTTTTTCTGAAAGTTGTTTATTCATTTCACTTGCCCATTTTTTGATTGCATCTTTTACTTTGGGAGTGTATGTTTTAATTCTTTGTATGTTCTAGATACTAGTCTTCTGTCAGAGGAATAACTGGCAAAATTTTTTCCCGTTTTGTAAGTTGTGTCTTCACTCTGTTAATCATTTATTGAGTAGCTTTTTAATTTCATGTAATCTTATTTGTGGATTCCTCATGGTACAGGCTTTCTGTTTAGAAAGGCCTTGCCTATCCCTGTGTCTTCCGGAGTTTAACTTACTTTATGTTCCGCAGCCTGTTTCTGTGTTAGTATTTAACCAATCAGTTTTGATTTTATTTAGTGAGTGATGAGAGCCCTGGGCCTAGCTTCAGGCTTCTGTATATGGATGACCAGTTTTCCTAGCACCATTGCTGAAGAGGCTTTCTTTCCTCCAGGGTGTGTTTTAGGCTCCTCTGTGAAAGACGAGATAGCTGAATGTTCCTTTACTCTGTTCCATTGATCCTCATGTCTCTTTTTGTGCTAGTGCTGTGCTGTTTTTTATCGCAGTAGCTTTGTAATGTAGCTGGAAATCTGTGATAGTGATGTCTTCTGCTTTGCTCTTGTGGCCCAGGATTGCTTTTGCTATTCTAGTTCTCTTCTGGTTCCATGTAAAGGTTTTAGGATTGGCGGGGGGCAGGGGTACTTCTCTGAGGATTGCTGTTGACATTTTGGGAGTCCAGCTACTTTTTGAAGACTCAGGGATGACTTGTGCATATGTATTTTGTAATCTAACCCTTTCTTGTCGTGTTCTTATAGTACTCCATTACAGAATTCACTGTGTATTACAATTACAGGTTTATCTATACTACACAAGATCACAGGTTCTTTAAGGAATATGCATTTTTCTTAGCTTCTACTACAGAGTGTACCACATGTATTTAACAGAGCATTTGTTAAATTGACTTGACTGTGGAGTGCTGTAAGTTGTGAAGTCTTAATCAGATGGGAGTGCTGCTCTGGGACTAATGTGCGTACCTAGCACTGTGATCAGCATGTTAGAAAGTAACTTTTAGGTATTTAAATGCTCTAGTTTAGACTATTACTATAAGTTGATTGTGTGGCAATTCTAAGTATTAGACTGCACAAAATTTTTTATCTCTGTAATTGATTTCAGCCACTTTTAAAATCAGGATGTGGAGGCTGGGGATTTAGCTCAGCGGCATAAGCACCTGCCTTGTAAGCAGGCAGTCGTGAGTTCAATCCCCGGTACCGATAAAAAGGAAAAAGACAATAAATAAATAAATAAATAAATAAATTCAGGATGTAAGTGAAAGTTCTGTTTGTTGCATTCCACTATAAGCCATTATGATCAGTTACATCTTTTAAGTTTATTTTTTCTCAGAATTTTAAAGCTGATTGCTTAAATATGTTTTATTTCTGTTTGTAACCATTATGTTTTAATGGTTGAATCTTGATGGCTGGCATAAAGAATGCACGTGTTTTATTAGTGCATAGATTTGGAAATTCGTAGGTCACATATTTCCTGATTGTTACTATGTGTAGCAGAACCCTAATGTAATAATGGTTTATCATCATTTTCTTCCTTCATGTCAGCGTTATACAGGGATTGAGTCTGTTATGTTCTGTGAAATATTTTAAGCCCTCTGTTTCATGTGAGTTCTTCTCATCTCTCTTTAAAATAGGTAAATCAGCGAGCTGGGAAGATGAGGGCTGGGGAGCGTGGGACGAGGCGGAGCTCCCAGAACTGGTAAGTCTCCTACAGGGGTGTGGCTGTGCTGTGTGGCAGAGGCGGTTCCCTGTGTAACCATGGTGACATGGGCTGCCACAGAAGAGGCTGTGTCAGGGCCATTTGGTGCTGACCTCATAGCATCTCACTAGGTCCCGTTCTTAGGGACCTCAGTGACTGTGGCCAAGTTGGTGTCTCAGTCCATGCTATAGCAAGATATTTGTGACTAAATTTATAGTGAGCAGAAAGGTAACTGGGTTCTGGGGCAGAGAAGCCCAGACTGAGAGGGCATCTGGTGAGGCCCGTGTAGCTGTGTCATCCCAGGCAAGGTAGAGACAGAGGGCACAAGTGTGTGCCAGCCTCTCCGCCGACAGACCCGTCCTGTGATGACGTCCCCACTCTGGGTGTAGATTCTAGAATTCACTCATTTACACAGCCTCGTGGCCTGGGGACCTCTAAGTAGGCCTCATCTCCCCAATGTTTCATCGGTGATTAAGCTTCTAACACATGCTTTGGGGAGACGTTTGAATTGGGATCGATGGGAGATAGGTGTTTGGGGATTTTTTTTACCCTTCTCATGAGTTACTCTTAGATTGTCACTTATCCACTCAACAAACATTTCTTGCACCCACTACATTGTGAGCATTTTAGTAGCTGCTGGGAACATAACAGTGAAGAAGGTGGACAGCGTCTTTGTGTGTGTTAATATCTTTTACCTGTGAGTTCTAGAAACTCTAATATAAGGGATCTTAAACGGCATGAGCTTTGTTAGCTCCGATAGAGAGTCCCAGGTTGGCTGAGTGACTCAATTGTCATCAGGTTCTTCTGTCTGTTGGATGTCTTATTTCTCATGTAGTGTGACAACGTATTTCTTCATCCATGACCAGAGAGAGGAGGACACTGGACTTTCCCTGACTCCTTGGGAAGGAACAGCTTTCCTAGAAGCCTCTGAGAAGCCTAGCCATCTATTTCCTTAGCCCATGGCAGGCCACAGGCAGTTTCTAAGCTGGTGAAGGGAGGGGATCTTTGATCAGTCCTGTCACTCACTCCCTGGTGAGGGAGGGGAAGGGGCCAGCTTTTCTCTGGCTCGGAGGGAGCCTTGATACTGGAACCAAAATCGATACTTTTTTCTTTCCTTTTCTTTTTCAAGGAAAGAACATGTATACTCGATTGGTCTTATTATCTGACTCCAAAAGCTTGGTCTTGATGGGGAGAGAAAGCGAGGGAGGGTGAAGAGAATCAGCTCTAGTTACACAGGGAATCAAGCCATTGTGTGAAGCAGTGATCGTGGGCCAGCTGTAGGCTGGGAGGTGGGGAGGCTTCTCAGGGAAAGCGGCCCTAGATCTGGAAGAGGTGAGCACCGGCAGAGGGGGTATTTTAAACCAGGACAGTGGATCACCCCAGAAGGAAACCCCACACTCATCAGCAGTCCCTCCCTGTTCTTCCCCATCCCCACCCTGACAGTCACCAGTCTCTGTTCTGTCTGTGGATTTGCCTGGAAGTAGAATTAGGCAGTCTTTTAAAAAAAGACTGGCTTCTGCTTACTCATAAATTAGAGGTTTTCATGGATTAACAGGACAGTTTTATCTTAGCTCATGGTTCCCGTGGTGTCAGCGCATGGCCAGCTGGCTGGAAGGCAAGAACAGCACAGTGGAAGAAAGTGGTGGGGAAATCTCCCACCAGCCAGGAATCAGAGCAGGAAGGCCCAGAGAGAAGGTGCTGGGGACCAGAAGGTCCCCTGTGAAGCCGCTCCCGGTGACCTGCCTCATCCAGTCCGTCCCATTTGGCTGGTGGCAGATTGATCCTCTTGATGAAGTTAGAAGTCTATGGTCTAGTTACTCCCCCAAAGCCCATTGACTCTGAGATTTTGGGAGGCATTTTAGGTCTAAACCATAACATTCTACCCCAGCTCCCAAAATTTCATGTCTGTCATAATGCAAAACACATTTAATCTGTCTCACGTGTCCCCAGAGTCATAACAGTTCCAGCACTGCTCAGCTGTTCACAGTCTCTTCTGACATCCCAGGCAGACTCTGAACTGTGAGCCCCTGTAAAATACGTAGCAGGTTACACAGCCCTGAGATACAGTAGTATTTACAGCTGAACCAGACACGTTAGGTACAGTAAAGCTGCTATTACTGTACAACTTTTACTGATTACGCTCAACTTGGGCATTTAACCAGCAGGCTCAGCTGCTGCGAACATCGAAGTAAATGTGACAGGTGCACAAACCCACGGTAGGGTAGGGCAGCTGGCATAGCTGCTCGGTTGGGAAGGTGAAGAACGGAAGGAATCTTCCCCCTCTTTTGGTGAGAAAACACAGCAAACTGAAAACCTGCTTTCCCCAGAGAGCAGCTGGCTGGGTTCACATCAGATATGATTCCAAGGACGGCAGACATGGGTGTCATGAAGGCAGCCCGTGGTGGCATCAAAGCCTTGCCAGTGACTCTAGTGATAACGTTCCCTTCCGCTGCTGCAGTCTCTATCTCCCTTGGGAAGTGTCGGGGGAGGTGGCAAGAAGTCAGGAAGAGCAACCACCGCCGGCTGAGCGCTGACCTGGAGGAGGCCACCCCGCTGCTGGGGAGTTTGGCAGAAAGCTGCCAGAGCTCCAGGGTACTTTTTATATCCTCAGTCCCTTAGCTCTTTGAGCATCTCTTCTCAAAGGCATCAGAGGATCAAGAGAGACGTAGTCCCTGGGATCTGGACCTGGCTTCTAAAGAAAGGAAATGTTGCTGTGAGTGTTTCTGAGTGTGAGGTGATAGCTTTTCAGAGGCTCAGTGAAGGCAGCAGCTTCTGGACCAGCAGAGCGGATGTCACTCCGGGTAGCAGTGTCAGCAGCAGTGGCCCAAGGAGTAAATCCGAGCCTTGAAAGATGATGAAGTGGGGACCTTGATGGCGGAAGGGTGCACGAAGGAGGAGGGAGGAGGCACACTGGCCCTGGGCCCACAGAGCACCCAGCACCCCAGGAGCTGTGAGTACAACATCTAACGTGGGCTGCGAAGCAGACTGGTGGCTCTGCTCTACTGCCACGTGTGTCCTAGGGACCTGGCTGCCACAGTGACCTCCATCTCAGCCCTTAGCCCGTGTGGCACAGTGACATGGGGATCCCTCACTGCAGAGGGCTTGGTCTCGTGTTGCTGGACAAAACTCGGCCATGCGGGGGCCACTTTGTGGTTGGGGAACAGATGTGCTGGTTTCTGTGTGTTTTTAGGAAGACAGTGTGAAACTTCAGCTTAGGACTGCCGGGACCCAGCAGCCACTCCCACATCCAGGCTGTGCTGCAGCCAGCACTTAGCCCTCCCCAGGCCACTGCGGGGTGTCCAGTCCCAGTCATGTTGAGAGGCCTGGGGACAGCTCCATAGCCTCAGACATGCATGGCCCGACAGGAGGCTGACATGTCAAGGCGGGAGAGGCCAGGCTCCTCTAGGCCTGGGGGCCACTTGTGCAGTCCCAGTCGGGGTGGCTCCCTGCCACCTGCGCTGCAAGCTGCTGTGGAAGCCTGTAGTTCTCCTGGAAGCGAGTGGTGATACCCAGGCTTGCTTTGTCTGCCTCTTCTCCTCTTCCGACACTAACCACTGCTCTGCAGTGAGAGTCACCAAACCCCTCTTGTTCCTGGGAGGTTTCTGGGCTGCAATCAGTTATAGCAGGCAGCGTGGGAATTTTCCATTCCGAAGAGGCTGGAATTTGTTCCGTTTTACCGGCAGTGGTATAATACACCATTATACCCATTATGGCTCAGGGGGTCAGCAGAGGATGAAAGTGTCCTGGCCATGTGAATGCCTGTTTATGGGCACAGGGCAGCCCCCCAGAGCAAAGAATTGTCAGCCCCACGTCAGGAGTGCTGAGGTCGGAAGCTTTGGGGTGGCTCGGGGCTCTGCACAGCCCTTGGAGTCCTTCTGCCTGTGTTTTACTTCTCCATAATTTCTTTAGAAAGACCTTGTGCCTTGTGCCACTTGAATTTTGAAAAGGCCTTAAGATCTTTCATTTGAGAATTTCAGACTCTGATTTGGAAAACGGCCTAACCAGTGCTTCCCATGCAGTATTCGAGCAAACCGTAGGGTTTGGTCTGGGTGCCACTAGCTTCCCCAGCTCGCTGTTCTCTGTTTTGTGTGGTGTAATAAAATGTCCTGCTCTTCCCCCACCCCAAAAAGAAAGGTGGAGAGCACTGGGCATTCCATGCTGTTAGCAGACTGAGAGAAAAAAATCCTAGTCATCGTGTACTTTTGTGTTTCAAGATTGCTGAAGCGTTTGTGTCTTTTGCCTTAAAGCCTAGGTGAGCATTTTATTTCCGTGATGCAGGGACAGGCTACTGCGCCTCACATGGATGCACTGCCTGCCCTTGCACAGTAGCTTGCACTGCAGGGTGTAAATTCCCTCCAAGTTAACAGAGTGACAAGAGCGGCGTGTGCCGTGAAAGGTGAGCTGCGTGTTCTGATGTGAAAAGCTTTGCACATCTACTCTGGGTGCTGCTGTGGCTGATCACGCCAAGAGCTGACACCCCAGACATGTGCTGCTGTGCTTACCGGTGAGTGTTACCAGCTTGAGGAGCCAGCTGTACTAGGAAGCCTGGTCACGCTGCTGCCCTTTCACTGCCTTGTGCACGTGGAAAACATGGAGTGAGCACTGGGCAGATGTGCAGGCTGGGCGTGCGGTGTGATCCTGGCCATTCAGTGTAACTGCAGGGTAGCTTCTGTGCTTCTTCCTGCAGACTAAGAAAGGAAGTGCAGGCTAGACCTCAGGCTCGTCCTCCCTCTCTCCCTTCCCCAGCAGGAATCGTGGCTGCCTGGCTCCTAACTTGAGTGACTGACCAGGTGCTGGCTGCTGGGGACGTTAGTGCAGTCCCTGCAGTGGTGAGCTGGGGTTTTTCTCTCTCTTTTTAAATGTCATGCCTCGCTTGGGAAATTAAGCACTTTGTCAGTTGATGGTGTTATTTTAGGATCACCAGCTTCAGGGGAGCATGCTTAGTAACCAGGGGCCACGTTGCTGTGGGGAGGTTTTCCAGAAACCTGACTGGTAAGCAGATGTCCTTAAGGCCCGAAACTGAAGGCAGTGCCCCACCTGGCCCACCTCAGAGGTGGCGCTGCTGTGTGCTAGGTTTTGTTTTATCAAACACGATACCTAAGTAATACTCCTGTGTGATTTCCCCTGCCTGGGACTGCTGTTGGAAAGCAGGGCCCTACTTGCCTGAGCGTCCAAACCCTGGCATAATCAGGGTCTCTGACCCTAAAGGGGCGGGCAGCTGTGAGGCAGGGTTCCTCTGGGAGAGACTCCTGCAGCAGAAACTGGCTAACTTTATCCTTAGGGAATCATTTCCTCCCTAATGTTTCTGTATAAAGTAACATTTAAAAATCACCAAGCTAGAGGCTGCATCCCTAAAATGTGGACTTTGAATAAAATGAGATTTTGCTAATATTACTGTTCTCTTCCTGTCTTCCAGGGAAGGGTAGAGTACAGCCTCCTTAGCTCACCAGGTTTGAAAGAAGAAAGTCCTTAGTCTGTTCATTGGCTAGTGTTTACTCTCAAGGGCGAGGGTTGCCATGGGTTTCCAGAGAGCTGAGGCTGCTTACTTGGAGCTGTTCTCAAGCTGTCCTCTGAGCCCTATTTTTGTTCTTTCCACTTTTCTCTGATGGCATCCCGGCAGGAATAATTTGTCTTTCCTGGGATTGCTGTGGGAACGAACATTTTTAACTGGGACAACTTTGTTTTTACAATTTCTTAAATTTTGTCAGTCCTAGTAATGCATGCTTATGAAAAGTTTTTAAACAGCATAAAATTGTAATCTTTTTTTAAATGAAAGTGATCTTATCATTCTTTCCTCACTTTCCAGTTGAATAATTCAATCTAAAAGATGCTAGGTGGGGCCGAGTAGAACAAGGATATTCATGACATAAAACTTAGACCCTGCAAGAGAACAAACCAGTGATCTTGCTGCTTCACAGCAGGAAATTCTTACTTGGAAAAAACAAGCCACTGCAAAGTACATTGGGAAAAACTATTTACATTGTTATGAAAAGGGCCGATTTTCCTTCTTGTAAGGAGAGTGTACAATAATTAGGCAAAAAGCAGCAACCCAGTGGGAAATCTACAGTGGAAAGCAGCAACTTGTTCATAATAAATTCACATAATTGTTATGCAAATGAGAAATTTTGTTACGCATAGGAGAAAATGTGTGTTCTCATTGATAACAGAAATGCAGTTTTAGGGGCTGGGGATTTAGCTCAGCAGCATAAGCACCTGCCTTGCAAGCAGGCGGTCGTGAGTTTGATCCCTGGTACCGATAAAAATGAAAAAGACAAAAAAAAAAAAAAAAAAAAAAGAAATGCAGTTTAAAAGCCTACGAAAGCATAAAAACATCAGTACAAAGACCAAGTGAGCAAAATAGGGAGAGAGTGGGCACTTTTTATTTATTGGATTCACAAAGATCAAGAGTTAAAACCTCTTTCACAGGGGGGCATTACTCTACCATAAAGAAGGATCCTCTGAGTCCCACATAGGACCCTGAGTGCACCCTGAGCCATAATGTTAGGTGAATAAAGTAGGCACTCGGGGTTCAGTGATGAGGGAGGGGGAGCAGGATCGAGCGGGGTGGGGGGGATGAGAGAAGGTTGAGTTGTGTCATGTGCACGTGCCAACTCCTCACCAGGAACATGACCATCATGTCCTGCAACTGCGAGCTACCAAACACCAGAAATGGGAGAACAGGAACTGAAACGCCTTTGGAAACATCTGTGGGAAAGCAGGCACTTTCCAGACTTACATCTCATGCGCAGTATGTGTAGAGCTCAATTTGAGAACATCCAGCTGCTTATTAATGCACGTCCCCTTGACCCAGCTGTTCCACTCCCAGGGACTCAGCTGTCCCCACAGAGATGCACTGCCAGGCTCCTGCAGTGACTCACTGCAGTATGATTTTAACAGCAAAAGTGACCGACAGCACAAAAAGCCCATCAGTAGAGGCAGTTAACCCTGAAGGATCTGAAACCTGGAGCAGTGTGGGTGGCCACTGACAGTAAATCAGCCAGGTGTGGAATGGAGGCTGGGCTGTGTGCTAAGCGGGGAAGGTGAGAGAAGCGTGCTGTGCTGTGACACTGTCCTGGGAGCGGAAGGGTAAGGATCCACTCGTGCACACGCAGAGCACCTCCGGGAACACGCAGGGACGAGGAGCGCGGTGGCTGGTGCGTAGGGACGTGGGTTTTCCAGTGCAGACCTGCTTCTGCAGTTCAAGTTGTAACCGTGGGACTTGACCCATGTGGTAAATGTGCAGTTAGAAAGCAGCATTCTGCAGGTCAAATAAAAACCAGAAGCATCACAGACTTACAGATTCTACAGGCGTGCAGTCATCAGGTGATGTTTTTCTCTTCATCCAACTGAAAGTTCTCCAGTTTTGCAAGGAGACCTGTTTATCAGCTCACTCTACTGAATCATTCCTGGAGTGACCCAGAGTGGCACTCTTCTAGTGCCACGCCTGTTTATATTTAAATTTCATCCTCAAAACTATTCATATTTAGAACTGAGATTTATTGTATTTCATTTGTTAGTCATCTTTGAATGTTTTGAAAAGAAATAGAAAACTGTAAAAGAATCCCTGCCAGGGAGTTAACTCAGCACTTGCTGGGGATTTAGCTCAGCGGCATAAGCGCCTGCCTTGCAAGCAGGCAGTCATGAGTTCGATCCCCGGTACTGATAAAAACAAAAAAGACCAAAAAAAAAAAAAAAGTGAGGTCCTGAGTTCAATTCCTGGTAGCCCCCCCCCCAAAAAAATGAGACCCCCCCCCACCAGAAACAACAACAAAGGGAGAACTTTGCATTCCCCTTTGTTTCCCCTAGCCCTCAGGCAGGCAGCAGAGTCAGACCCTTCTGTGTGTTTGCACTTGTAGTGATTGCACTTTTACTGCAGGAGGAAGAAGGAAGCACTTGTGAGACTCAGAAGACTTCCTGGCTCCAGGGCTGCGTTCTGTCCTTGTCTCCAAACAGTGACCTTATGGTCATAGCGCGGGAACAGAAGGCTGTGTTTCTAGTGCGTGAGTAATGGTTATTTTGGGGGACCTTCATTTTCATGCGTAGGCCAGAACAGAAAGGTGCTTGGGTGGAAAGATAAAGGGGCTTTCTACTGTATGTATCACCAGTGGCATCCATGGACTCTGTGACACTTTTCTTCTTCCTCCCCATGGTCTGTCTTCTTCGTCCACTTTCTGTTTTGACTTCAGCTGGTTCCCCGTAGCGCCTCAGAGCAGCACTGGGTGTTTTCCAGTGCTTGCAAGAAACAAGGTCAAAAGCCCCCCTGTTTGTGAATTTTATTTTCTTTAGTACATATTTGTAGTACATGGAGACCACATTTACCCTGGGAAGCAGAACAGACTCTCCCTTTGGTGAGCGGAGTGATTTTACAAAGACCACAGGCTGCAGGCTTTTATTTGGAACAGAAGTTTCAGCTCAGGAGTTTTTGTTGAAGGTTAAATTTATGACTTGGGGACATGTGGAATATGAGAAGCTCATTGGTCAAGAGAAGGCTACACATAAAACAACTAGGGAGCCGGGTGTGGTGGTGCACGCCTATAATCCCAGCACTCAGGAGGCTGAGGCAGGAGGATCATTGCAGGTTTAAGATCAGCCTGGGCTACAAGTAAGCCCAAGGCCAGCCTGAACTGCCCAGTGAGACCCTGTGAAACCCTGTCTCAAACCAACCAACCAACTAGGGAATAGTCTTACAAAGCAAATCTATGCTTGGTAGCATAAATGCAATAGAACATTTTCTCTGCTCTCTGAAGATAAAAGTGATCTTATAAATAAAATAGGATGATTCATAGAAATTAAAAACCTTACTCTGTAAGCACTATGAAACCATTGTATGAGTTTAATTGAAAGAACCAGAGACCAAAGCCTGAGAGACCAAGTGATGTTATAAAATCACTAAAAATGTAAGATTATCTTTATTTATAAACTATAAAAACTCCAGGTGACTTAATATGGAACTGTTAAATTCTCTACCCGTCATGCTGAAGGGAGAGAGTGGAATGTGTGAGTGACTTGTCTCTGTTTCACGTGGTGTCTTAATTACTTTTTCAGCAAAGTGGAAGCAGAGTGATAAAGGAAGGGAGGAAATGCAGTTTGCCGTTGCTTGGAGTGGCCCCTTAAGTGTCGAAGAAGGGTAGGTGCCAGTGATTTGTTTCTCTGCTTTGAACACATGCGTGAAACTGACCTGTTACTGATTTGTGAACTTACCCCAGTACCCACCAGACAAGTTTTTTCATTTGAAATTACTTAAATGTGTGTACATCACAACTAAAGGTTGTAAGGAATGATTTGAACAACGAATTCTCATTTTGCTTATGTGACTTAAAGTCCAGTTTGAAGAAGACTAGAGGTTAGAAAAATCCCAGAAAACCATTTTTGCATCCTGTCCTTTCCCTCTGATCTCCGTAGTTAAATTCACCAAGGGTGCTTGCTTTCTGGTCTTACTAGTTTTGGGCTTGTGCACTACCACATGCTCACCAGTACTCCAGGAATGCGAGTTGGTGCATAGTGACCCTGTGAAACTTCACAACCCAGCTCTCTAGTGCGGTCAGGGATGGGGCTGCTGGTGTGGAACTGTGGGCCGAGAGGAGTGGTGCTTGGATTTCATGCTGGACTCCACTGAGAAGGAAGGAGAAGGTTCCGCAGATTCGACCCACATAAAAGACATCAAGTGGAGGTGCCCAGTGTGTGCGTGGCACACTGGGGATAATGAGGCATTTTGTGCTGTTATCGAGAGAAGCAGAATTTTTCATTTTATCAAAGCATTTTAAACAAATTAAAATGCCTTGTCTTAAATGACCAGCAGACATGTCACTTTAATACAGACCAACGGAGTTAGCACCATTTGGTGATTTCCTGGAGTGCCTGTGACTTCCTCAGGTCTGACCGCTTGGCCATCAGGGCGCAGTCTCTGAGCTTCTGACAGCATTTTAAGTCCATAGAGCAGGGGAAACCGCCTTGATTTAGGTTGTGTCAGTGGTAACACGTACTTAGCAAAATGGTTAAAAGGACAGTTCTACAAAATGTGAGGGAGAAGCCAGCGAGGTGCACTACAGAAGCGCCTAAAGTAACACTCTTGCTGGGGTGGGGCTCAGGGAAACATAAATGTACATTCACATCCTGCAGAGGTCCATCTACATACAAGGTGACTGTCCCTCCCACCAGCCCTGATCTCCCCAAGAGGAGGGTGGCCTTCTTTCTTCACCATTTGAGACAGGTTGTGGAACAGTCGGTTGCATAAGTAAAGGTTTGCTTTCTTTCATGCTTCTTCCAGACAGCAGGGTAAATACTGTTTTTTATTAACTTGAAATGAGTATATTGTGCCTTATGTGAGTAAACTTACACACAGTGGCACGGTGTTTTACTTAAAGGTCAGCTAGAACTGACTTCTTACCACCAAACTATAGGTAATTGAAGTAACTGCTAAGTTCACTGCTTAGGCGTAAGATTTGATTTTGCTTCTGTTTTTGTGTTTTAGGGAATCCGTGACTAGTGCTCTGTGTATCCCACTTGCAAGCCAGAAGAGGTGAGGGCGAGTGCAGGCTGTGTCTGTGGCATAGATGTGTGAGCTGGAAACTCATGAGTGTTGTTTGTGGCAGGAGTTCCACGGGGCGTCCCGACTGGACCTGCATCGTGGTGGGGTTTACGTCGGGTTACGTTCGCTTCTACACCGAGGTGAGTAGGTTTGCAGCAGTTAGGAGAGCGGTTGCCCGCAGCACCTCCTCGCAGGGCTTAGCTTTCCCCACTTGGAAACATGGCCATGATGCTGGGGCGAGGGGCGACCTGGACAGGGGGCTCCTGGCGGGAGAGTCGGAGAAGAAAAGCCAGCTCTGAGGAGAGAGCCGGTCCCATGGGGACACGGCCTGACCGGCGCTGTCCTTTCGCGGGGAAAAAGCAGTGGCACCTCTGTGCTTCCCCCCAGAACGGTGTGCTCCTGCTGGCGCAGCTTCTCCACGAGGACACTGTGCTACAGCTGAAGTGCAGGACCTACGCCATCCCCCGGCACCCCGGTGTGGCTGAGCAGGTAGTACGGACTGCAGACCGCATGGGGGTGGCCGCTTTGCAGGGAGACTAATGTTCCCCTCGGGCCCAGGGAGTGCCATGCAGGATGCCGGACTTGCTTTTACCTTTCTGTGAAATGCTGTGTTTCATCCCATAGTAAAATATTCTAGCCAGACACCAACAGGTTTCTTAGTTTTAGACTTTTAACAATTTAAAGCAAAAATATGGCATCGTATGACTTACTTATATTTCAACTTAGGTATCAAGTTTAGCAGCAGCAGAAGTTAAGTTCCGATCTCACCATTAGTAGTGTTAGTGTAGCACTTTGCGCTTAACCACATAGCTGTCTCAGAAAGGGCTTTTATGGAAATACTGTGAAAAACCTCCCGCTCACTGTGGAAGGCGCGTGCTCCTGCCCACGTGCCTGCGAGCGCTCTGCTGCACCCCAGGCCTCTCACGGCAGTCGGAAGATGCGTGCCATACAGGGCCCAGCTCGGTGGTGTGCAGTGTTCACCCTCAGAGCTGGGTAGTGTGCCTTGCTTTCTTGTGCTCCTGGGGCTCCGAAGGGTTCCGAGCACATGGTTGCATGTATGTGTGCCTGGGAGGCCGAAATTGTAGGACAGCTGGCCTGGAGCTGTAGAGTAAGATCCCATCTGTAGGAAGGGGAACTAGGTCAGAGTCTCTTAATACCTGTGAATGAGTCAGTAGCTTAAAATGCCTAATTGCTGATTTCATGGCCAGAATAAATTGGATGTAGGAGAAGGGGAGATCAGTTAAGACTCAGAGAAAGTGTCATGGAGAAGCTGAGATTTCACTCAGGCCTTAAATAATGGGCATAGAATTTAATAGGTGATAGAGAAGTATCGGAGCCGAGAGAATGACAGAAGATTCAGCTGGAGGAGTGTGTGGGACAGTGAGGAAGCATGGCAGGCAGCAGGGAGGAGCCCGTGAACAGGGAGCTCAGCCAGGTTTCCTAGAGACTTGAGTGAGTCAGAGAGGACAGGAGAGAGGAGAGGGAGGAAAGGCACCCAAGGGTGCATGAGCAGGAGGCACAGAGACATGAGACCTTTTCCTCCGGGCAGCCGGCCACCTGGGTTCCACAGTGGGGCCGAGGCTCCGAGCAGAGGGAGGAGCTGTGCGGGCAGAGAGAATGGATGCGAAAGCCACAGAGGAAGTGGTCAGTAGGCCGTGGTCATCGCCTCGGAACATGGCGAATTGGAGATGCAGGGCTCGAGGGCAGTGCTGCCCGCGCTGGAAAAGGAGCTAAGTCAAGGCTGTGACACCTGGTATGGAGCGCTGAGCTCCAGGCAGCATCAGGTGAGGAAGCAGAGCTGCTGCGTGGCGGAGAGGCCAGATGGTGCGGAGCCAGGTGTCAGAGTCTCGGGAAGTGGGTTCCTAGGGTAAAGGGTGGGGACAGCAGGGCTTCGGGCTGAGGTCTTAGTAAGGTCCATCTTAAGGGAGAGAAGGCAGAATGATTGGAGGCAGTGAAGAAGAAACAGTTAAACCTAAAATGCAGATGTATAAATTCAAGATCTCTCTCCAGGCATTTTCCACTTTGTACAAAGCCAGTCTGGCCTGGTCACGTCTATTGATGGAAAAATCACTTGATGCTTAGTAATATGCTTGTTATTTGCTGTGCAAGCCAAGAAAATCACCTTAGACCCGTGGACATGAAAGCCTGCGTGGGTTCTGCGTGCCAAGGGAGCCCCAGCACCTGGCGCAGCCTGAGAGCACCTTTGAGCACCTGAGAGCATCCCACTGGCCCACTTTCTGCAGTCCAGATCCAGGGCAGGTCATGGGAACTCCTGTCCTCCTCCTCAGTTCGAGTCAGGGAGCAGTCAGAGTGACCCCGAGGCACTGTGAGGCAGGCTCCCAGGGAAGGGCGCTGTCCCCTCTGCACTAGACCCTCCTGTCCCTGTACAGTGCCTGCAGGCTTGGGGCCCGCTGGTGTCTGTGGGAGGTCGTCTGGCCCAGGTGGTTAGGACCTTTCTGTCCTCAGACTGCTCAGCCAGCAAGGGCCCTCCCTGCATGCAGGTGTGAGCTCTTGCAGGTGTGAGCTTGCGTGCCAGCTCCCCTGCCCAGTCCGGCTCCTCGTGGCCCAGGGTCTCTTCACAGAAACAGCCAGCAGTCAGGAGTGGCAGGAGCAGGGGACCTCCAGGGAACTGTAATTGGCCCCAAAGCATGTGAGAAAGTGTAGCGCCTTCGTAATTTAAGAAGTGTGAGGAGCCTATGGTGCGATCATTTTCACCTGCTGCATTGACAAAGCTAGAGATCCACAAAACTGGTGGTGGTGATAAGAGAAACTGGCACTGTCACATTAATTATGGATTGGTAAGGACCTGAGTCTGTGTGGTAGTAACACACACAGGGAGGAAAACTGGGGCTCCTCTGTGACCCTGCAGACTCACCTGAAGGAATTTTGCTAAACTGCTAACATGAAGAGGTAGAGACAGGAGCACGTTTGTCGCAGCGATGTTTGTCACAGTGAAATGAATGTACCCATTCAGCCCACACTGAATGTGCCTCTGCCTTGTCCCTTTGGGTTCTAAATCCTGAAGATTCATAGGACTGCTATGCTCAAGGTCCCTGCAGATGGGGCCCACAGGGTGATGGCAGCAGCTGTGATGAGCAGCTGGAGAGGACTAGCTGGAGGAGGACAGGGGGGCATCGTGGGCAGTGGGGGCGGCGGCTGAGCTGGGGCCTGAGCCAGCACGAGCTGGGGGTGAGCACTGGCAGGAGGCCCGGGTGCACTGCGGAGGTGTGAGGTGTTGGCCCCTCTGTTGAAGGCAGAGGCTGTGAGGTGACAGACCTGCATGCCAGGTGTTGCAGGTGGTTTTACCCCAGATGCAGGTGCAAGTATCGTGATGTTTTCAGGAGCGTCATTCCATCCACCAAGGCTAACAAAGCTGATGCCGCCGTGTGTTGTAGAGAGCATTACAGAAGCAGGAGGCCAAGTGAATGTCCATTGAGAAGCATCGGTTAAGTAAAATTGGATACGGAGCTGGGCACACTGGCATATACTTGTCTCTGCTCCTTGAAAGGCTGAGGCAGGAGGATTGCTTGAGCCCAAGAGTTCAAGGCCAGGCAGGGCAACATAGGTCAACCCAGTCTCTAAAAAAGGAGGGGGAAATAGTGCTTTACTTATTTGCTTATGGAAGCAGGTTGGCACTATTGGGTAATAAGAACAGTACAGAATACAGTGTGGTACAGTCTCGTGTCTGAGTGTCTGACTGTATTTGAGGACGTGCTTTGGGCCCATCTGGGACTTCAGGTGAGCTTCCTTGTTATGTAGCGCTTGTTTCTGTGCATTGATCGTATTTAGTTTTTATGATAGTGAAGATTTTTTGTGCGCTTCCCACCCTGTCCTGAGACCATTTTCTTACCATTTCCAAGAGCTCATACTTGAGAAGAACTCGAAGTCTTTGGCAGAGGCTTTCTGGAATTAATTTTCCACTTGTTTTTATTGTTCCTCTGCCTGATACTGCCTTTGTGTTGGACAATCACAGTGTTTTACTTTACATTACTTATGACATCAGGTGTTTTTTAAAAGTTACTTACTTTCCAAATCTACTTCAGGAAAATTTATTATTTCCTCCTTGCTCATTTCTTTACTAGAATGAAGAACTGAGTATCTTGTATCCAGCTGCCATTGTGACCATTGACGGATTTAGCCTTTTTCAGTCTCTTCGCGCCTGTAGAAACCAGGTAGCAAAAGGTACTTTTTTAGCCAGAATGTTTCACTCGTTACAGTGTTGTCATTTTGAATGTGACCTGGTTATGGGATGAAACAAGTCCTCTCCATGAACGGGGACTTCAGCTCTGGATTTAAGAGGCAGCACTGGCCTGGTGGACGTGAGACTGCCCTGCTGGGGGGCTGCTTGCTGAAAGGCAGGGCTGGGACACCAGGGCACTCCAGGTTGCAGCGGGGAGGGATAGGCCCGCCGGGGCTTCCCTCACCAGCTCTGTAGGGCGACCCCATAGGAGAGGGCCTCGCAGCTGGACAGAGGCCGGCAGTGGGTGGGGTTGGCTGCACAGAGTACATTGTTCAGCTGATCTGCAGGTCAGCTGTTGGGCTGCACGTGTCCCTACACTGCTCCTTCCTCAGGGCATCGAGGTGTCTTGGGTACAGGGCACGTCCCACTGGCAAGGCAGAGCCCAGTATGGAGTCAGAGCAGCCTGGTGCCACTGACCTGGACACCTAGAGACAGCAAAAAGCAGAATCTGAACCTAACATATATCCCAGGCCCTGCACCACTAAGGTGCACTCTGCCCAGCTAGGGAAATGTCCTTACCCTGCTCATGGTTTACACTGCAGTCCCATCTCAGCCTTGGAAGAGCATAGCATATTTCACCAAATTCAGGATCCTACTGGCTGTCAGGTGCATGTGATTTTGACACTAAAAAGAAAAAACAGGAATGCTGGTGCGAAACACCACTGATGATTTCTAAGCTCTGTCTTAGAGATGTTAGGGTAGGAGGAAGAGAAGGTGGAATCACGAGAAGTACTGCTGGGTAGTAGGGCTCACTTCCTCCTCCCGCCTGGGCCGGGGGGGGGGGGGTCACTCCTCAGGGGAGACAGTTCCTGAAATAAACACTTCCACTCGGGGAGGTCTGCTGCTTCATAGACTTCTCTAAGTCCTGATCGTCTGTGAGATGCAAAGCAAGCCATGTCTTCTGGGGAAAAGTACCATTTCTATTGAAGTAGGAAATTTTTCTGTTCATAGTAGGCTGTGATTAGCAAAATTCTGAAGTCTTGAATATGTGGTTCTTTTTATTAGGATGTGCTTATTTTTTAAATAGGTCAGAATATTTTTGAATTTTATACCTATAATCATAATCTTTTAAATTGCTTAAGTTTAACCTACCATAAACCATTATTTAATCACTATTTATTTAAAGTTATTACCATTTAAAGTTTGCAGTAATCAACATTTTAAAAGGTCATCATTAGTTTAATATATAATTAATACGTGAGGCCCAAAGAGACAGGCAAGTTTCCATATGTAGTCGTTCTGTTAACGAGCCAGAAATGGGAATTCTGTTAGGACTAGCATGGTTCGTGGCCACTTGGTGTCTCGCTGGTTTTGAATTCCTGTTGACTTGTTACTGGAGGACCATATGACCATCACGTCTCCTAGGAAACAAGGCCGTGTTCCGAGTTCCTTGGGAAAGGCTGGTGACTAAGCTGCAGACGCCTGACGCTGATCCACAGTTCAGGCTGTTCTCTTCCGGCCTCCGGCAGATTGCGGGGTCTGACCTGCATTCTCCTTACCAGGCTGTTCTCATCTCACCTCCCTGCAGCAGCAGAAGTCAGCAGCGCTCTGTGTACGGGGAGCTGCTGAGCTCGGGGCCTTGCGGGACGTACGGCAGAGGTGATGGGGCACGTTTCCCCCCCACTTCTCACTGTTGGGGGGCCGGCGGCTGGCGGTGTGCACATGTGGTACTGTGGATGCACCCATCCGCTCTGGCACCGTCACCAAGGCCAGACGCCACGACTGTTGCTTTTTCACAAACAAAGCGCAGGTCACTATTCCCAGGATTCCCCTGACTTTCTCAGCGGGAGAAACTGGTTGTGTGGCTTTGAGCCCAGTTTGAATTCCCCTTAGTCTTTAATGCTCTTCTAGGATGCTTACAGTCTTTTTTCCCCCTTTTTCCTGTCTTTTTGAACTAGCGTCTCAGTATGCAGTTCAGGCAGGCCTTGAAAACTCTCTTTGTAGCCCAGGCTGTTCTCAAACTTGCCACAATCTGCCTGCCTCAGCCTCCCGAGTGCTGAGATATAGGAGTGCGTCACAACGCCCAGTTTAGACTCTGGTTTTTTGTTTGTTTGTTTGTTTGGGGTACTAGAGATTGAACTCATGACCTTGTACTTGCCAGGCATGTACCTGTGCTGCTGAGCTAAACCCCCAGCCTGAAACAGCCATTAACTGTTGGCATTTTTATGTCCACTGCTATGCCGTGAACAGTATCACGATGGCTTGTTTCCTTAGGTTGCTGCTCTGGTAGGTGAAATTTTAGAATAACATATTACTCCATTCTGGGTTACTTCTGCTGACCCGCATGTCACCCGTGGAGGTTATGGACTGTCTGACTTCTGTTTCTGGCAGCCGCGGCGTCGGGCAGTGAGAGCGTGCAGCCGCCGCCCCTGGCGTACAAGAAGTGGGGCCTGCAGGACACCGACATTATTGTGGACCATGCCAGCATCGGTGAGCCACCGCCCTGCGCTCTTGGCCTCTGCTTCCCAGGCCGGGTTGCGTCCGGGTGAGGAGTGGCATTTACCCTTCTGTGGAAGTACAAATCTCCTGCAGTGAGGTGCTGGAGTTTCCATCAGCTCGGGTCACAGTGTCGCTGTCTTTAAGAAATAGTAGCAGTTTTATCAGATTGCATTATGGCCTTCACAGCAGTGTTGAAGTTGCTCCTTATCTGACAATTTTTCTGCAAATAGTTTTTGTCCGTTATAATGACTATAAATCAGAGTTTTCAAAGTCTGACCTGTCAGTCAGCAGGATGCTGCTAAAAGCAGATTGCTTCTTGCGTCTGGAGCATGGGGAGAGGAGACCCGGTGCCCCCCGCTGCCCTGCGGGGTGTGGAGCTCAGCCTGTCACGGGAAGGAGTTGCCAGGGAGCGCGGGGAAGGCGTCTGGCCTTCAGGGCCTTTGTTCTTCACTGCCACAGTCAGGGTTCCTGTGCGAGCTCTGCCCTACCACTGAGATTCCAGGTCCTCTGAGCAAAGGGACAGCAGCACCTCAGCAGTGTCAGGAGGAGCTGGGGCAGCAGGAAGGGAGGGCCAGGACTGGTGAGGAAAGTGCCGTGACCTTGGGGAGAAGCAGCTGTCTGAGTTAGGTTAGCAGAGTGGGGGAGGAGGAGAAGCAGTGCTGTTCCGCAGCACTTACCGGTTTTCCTGTCCACGCAGTCAGGATATGCTGGTTGAAAATCCAAATGGTACACAAATGCACAAAGAGAATATTCCCTTAGCCCTGCTACTCAGAGTTCACCCTGGGCAGGGGTAAACATGGAGACTTCACGGTATGTGGCTGTGTGCGGTGTGAGGTGCGTGGTGGACACTAGGACGTGTTCTCCCTTCTGGGTGGAGTTCTTCCAGTGGGCGCACGTGAAGGCAGTTCCCTTTGGGTCCCCTCGGCCCGATCCCTACTCCAAGGCAGGGCAGCCGGAAGTCAGGTGACTGCAGGAGGCTGGGACTGAGGTGCTCCTGACAGAGGCTTGGCGCAGGAGAAGCAGCAAAGAACAGTTCAGGGCCGCTTCCCAGCGCCCTGCTGTTACCCACAGCGAGGTTGGCAGAGGCAGTGCCAGAACTAGGAGCCAGGGCGGGAAAGCAGGGTGACTTCCACTCATGAGCCTGCCAGCGCTGGGGAGGGACCCAGGAAATCCACAGCTGTCCTCACCCTCCCTCCCTCTTGACCGCCTGAGCGGAGTCCCACTGAGTTCAGCAGGAAGTGAGTACGAGCCCTACAGACTGGCCAGGGGAGAGCAGGAGGACACGAGGTGTCCAGCACACTGGGGCCCCTCCCCGCTCTTCGCTGTACAGTAACATGAAAGTGCGAATGTCAGAATTCCAAAGCGTTGAGCTCAGTTCAGGGTACCCTTCCCTGCTCTGGTAATTAAACTTTGGAACACTGAACTGGCTAGGGCAAGTGCTTGGATAGAGATTGTCCTCTATCCATTGGTCCCCAGCCTACAGCCCTGTGCCTTCAAGCCAGGGCCTAATGCAGGCACCCGGCAGATGAATCCTGTTATGTTCACGGAACAGCAGAGGTGCTGGGAACACAAAGCAGGCCGAATCCTCCAGGTGGAGCCTAGGGCGTGTGGTGGGGCTTTAGCTGAGGAAGAACGGAGGTTTATGTAGGGCTGAGGCGGTGAAGAGAGGCAAGATGTGTTTGCACTTGAGGAGTTTGAAAGAAAGGAAAGGACCTCTGCGGTTCCCTCATTTCTCAGCATGAGCAGTGGAGCGCGTGGCAGAGTGAGGACGAGGCCCTGGAGGCAGGGCTCTGGGGGCAGCTGGGGCGCCAGGTGCTGCCTTCCTTCCGACGGAGGCATCGGCTGGACAGGTGGCAGGCTTGGGCCTGAAGGCTGGGCGGGTCCTCAGAGCTTGGGGGGCAGGTCTGCCAGGCCGGCCGTAGAGCTCTTGACTGACCACCATAGGAGTGTTGAAGTGGGATGAGGAGAGAGAAGCCCACATTGGGTAAGTTTAAGGCAAAAAGATTTCCACTTCCTCCCTTCAAAAATCACAAAGAACACTAGAAATCAGCCACCTGGGAAAAAGCTGCACTCAGGACTGCATGAGGCTTTGGTGGGACACCTAGACACCGCCATAGGGGCACACATATGTGTGTGTGTTCACACACACGTACCTGCCCCCAGGCGGGCAGCAGCCTGCGGTCTGTGAGTCAGTTGCCTTGTTTTGGAATGTCCACAGAAAGGAGCAGGCAACTGGGGAGGGTGAGGACTTACAGGTCCATTGGGTTAAGCAGCAAGGACAGTCCTTGTCCGCAGTGTGCTGTCCTTTGTGGCCACAGCGCCTCTGGGGGGCCGCAGGAAATGCCCTCGCTCGCTGCTCCCAGAAGTGCGCTGCTAGCTGGGGCGCAGATGCCCCATACATTTCCTGCTCCTTCCTAGGCTGCGTCTGCTCAGATCAAATTCTGGTTCTATAATATTTCACGGGCAGAGAGCTACAAGTTCAGTATTTACGAATGCTTAACGTTGACTCTGGTGTGAAGGTGACCCATGTCTTAGCACTGAGCAGGGAGCACAGTGCAGTGCAAACACAGCGTAGAAGGCCCACGTCCCCAGTGCGTTCAGCTTGTGTGTCCTGTCACCTCTCTGCATCCCCAGGTATCACCACCCTGTCCCCTTTCGATCAGATGAAGACTGCCTCCAACATCGGCGGGTTCAACGCGACCATCAAGCCCAGCCCACCAGCCATGTCACAGTATATCACCGTGGGCGCCAACCCGTTCACTGGCTTCTTCTACGCACTGGAGGTAGGCGGGCACCCTTCTGGCGGTGTGGGCTCAGGACCGCAGCCGGGAGACTCAGCCGTTCGTGTTTCTGCATCTCCGTAGCTAGCATGCCTCACCTTTAGGGCTCTTTTTGGTAGTGTGGAGCCAGGGCAGAGCACACTTGTGTTTCTGGAGCCCCGGTGGACATGGGTGTGGGAGTCCATGGTCGCCTGTGGGCTACCAGGGCTCGAGCGAGTGGGCAGCTATGAGGCGAGCAGGCTGCCAGCCGTGGGGGACATAGGCAGTGACGGTTGCTTCCACAATAGGCAGCAGTGAGGCGTTATTTTTGGCAGTTCTTACTTCTCACTTAAAAATCAGCCTGCCCCGAAGTGTCCAGACTGTCTTTTCACTTTTATAAAAATACACACTTTTAAAAAAACAAAGCCAGCTATGTGTATACAGGGAACCCGCCACTCATCTGGGATAATGTCATTTTAACAGGACAGTTTGACATATTTTAAGCTACAGTTTAGCGAGATGCTGAAGGTAATACAGCCTGTAGGCCAGACTGAAGGTTTTATTTTAAAGCCACAGAGTGAACACTTTACCATCCTGCTGGTGGAATGAAGGTGTTGCCACTTGTGTGGCTGAGCTGCTCGTGTAGGCTCTGCAGCTTTCAGGAGCGGCCTCCTCTGGAGGGAGGGTCATTCCTGTCTCCCGTGTCCTGCTTTTCAGGGGAGCACACAGCCCTTGTTATCCCACGTCGCCCTCGCAGTTGCAAGTAAACTCACTTCTGCTCTGTTCAACGCTGCCAGGTCAGTTCCCGGCGGCTGCTCACCTGTGTGTGGCGTTTTGCTGGCTGAACTGTAACCCTCGAAGCCCTAGTTATGTTCTCGATTTTCTTCCTGCTCAGTGGGTGGCTTGGCTGGAAAAGTAAACACGAAGAAGAAGCCGTCCAGAAGCAAAGGCCGAAGGTGGAGCCAGCGACGCCCCTGGCTGTAAGGCAAGTGTGCCCTGACGCTCCTGGCGCAGGACTGGCAGGGATGTGATGCCACAGCTGAGCAGAGGGTCACCCTCCACTTGGTCCCAGCTACTGCGCAGGCTGAGCAGGAGGGTCCCAAGTTCAAGACTGTCCTGAGCAGCTTACCAAGAGCCTGTTGAAACGAAGACTAAGAGGACTGGAGATGCAGCTCAGTCGGTGGAGCACCCTTGGGTTCATCTCCAGTGCCACAAAGACAGTGAAAGAAAACATAGGGAGAAAGGAATGCGAACGCCAGCATTAGTGATCCCACCACATGGAGTCTGCTGACGTGGCCAGTTTTAGCGGGCACCTTCTAGCTCTCTCTGGAAAGGTGGGTCGGGCTGGAGATACCGCTTTGTGGTGGAGCACCTGCCTGGCACGTGTGGAGGCCCGGTGCCTGCTGCAAAGTAAATCAACTTGAGGGCTAGCGTGGTCACTCGGCGTGGGGCCCAGGGTCAGTACCGCCCAGTACCTGCCCTGACCCCAGGAAAAGGGAAGAAGAAAGGAAGGCCCGGCCTCTGGTGGCCGTGGAGCCTTCCCTCTCGGTGTGCGCGGGACCGCGGCCCCAGGGTGCAGCTGACCTGCTCCCTAGCAAATGTCTGTGAGCCTAGCCCACGGGGCCGGGCAGCGAGGGCGCTGCTGCTGTTCAGGTTCTTCTGAAACCTAGCACGGGTGGAAGCACTGCACGGCTCTGGGCTGTGCCTTCCTATTCACCTCCGGGGGTGCGTTTGTGAGGGTTTTCAGGGTGGAGGGAGACAGGAATTTTATGGTTTTGTTGTTAAGTCATTTCTTATTATTGAATATAAAGTGCAAGTACTCCCTTCTTTGTAAAGTTGTTCTTTAGCAGCAGAAAGCTGTTAAAATTTATTGACGTTTATCTGCTGAGATTTTTTCATGTTATCTTAAAATATAATAATGTCTCACATTTCCAGTTTACTCCACAGTCAAGAAATTAGCCAAGTGCTCTCTGTAGCTATAGTTTATGTAAAAACTCTAGAAACGTTCATCCTACCCACATTTCCTCATGAGCACACCCTCAGTCCAACGCTTGAGGCCGAGGCAGGAGGGTGGGAAGGTTAGCTGTGGGCTGGTGACAGTTGGGCAGGCTGCTCAGAGAAAGGGAAGTTCTTCTTGTGTGAGGCAGATGAGCTGGTGCCGCCCATCAAAAAGTGCAGCCTAGGAGCAGGAGAGAACAGGCGGGGACTGTGGTGCAGGAGCCATCCTCCTGAGCCCGGTTGGCCGGAAGAGAGTGCCGTCTTCCACTGCCTCTCACTGAAGGAGCAGTGCCGTGATCGGTGTTCTCTGAGGAGACGCCGCTGTGGGTTTTGTGCTGAGCCCGTGTCCAGTTGTGTCTGTGTTTCTTGTGTTTGGTACCTCGGATGTTATGGACTAATGGATTAACTAGTAACCATGAGGTGCCTATTTCTCTGTGCAGACACTGTCTTTCAATTGTGCATTTCCTTCCATGGGTGTGTCGGGACTGGGACGTGACTTTTCTTTTCTTTTGAATAACAGATTTGGGCTTCCAGACTCCAGACGCCATGGCGAGAGCATCTGCCTGTCCCCGTGTAACACGCTGGCAGCAGTGACGGATGACTTTGGCAGGGTCATCTTGCTGGACGTCACCAGAGGCATTGCAGTGCGCATGTGGAAAGGTACCGGCCTGTCCTGTGCGGCAGGGCAGCCCCACCCCACGTCCACCCTTTCTCTCCTCGAGGGTTCACCGCGGCAGTGCTCAACGTGGACTCTGTTGCTGGTCCTTTCATCCGGTCCTCCACTGGGGCCTGCACCCAGGGGCTTTTCTGGAGTCCCCATTGGTGATGTCCAAGCTCAGTGCCAGCCCCCCCCCCCCGAAGCCAGTGCCCCCTAATCTAGACTGCCACGTGTAATGGCTCAGGGTAGAAAAGGGGGCGCAGTCTCTCTGCCCTGACCTGACTGGTATACAGACACTGGGCAAACGGCTGACCAGTCACAATATCAGTGTCGTGTCCTCACAGTGGCTTCCCCCTGCACCCCAGAAGGGAAGAGGGGTGTTCCTGCAGCTCAATCTGTCCCTCTGGCTTCTCCCACGGCACCAAAGCCAGGTCTTAGTGACAGAGTCATGCGAGCACTGCCAATTTGAACACTGCAGGTGTCAGAGAGGGGCCGCAGGATGGGCCTGTGGGTGTGTGACATGAAGCCAGATAGGTGTGAGCCCAGTCTGTGATGCGGGTCCGATGCACGCTGCTGACCTTGCCAGGGACTGCAGAGAGAGCAGCCTGTCTGTGGGAATAGTCCTGGTGTCACACGTGTCATGTCCCCCTGGTGGCTGTGTTCTTGGCGAGACTGTCTGGCTGCCCCACCCTGCATCCTCCGTGCAGCCCTACGGCAGCCCCACCTGTCTTCCTGAGGATGCTGCCATCAGTCTCCTGAGGACAAAAGACAGTGTGGCCACTTCTATCACACACAGGATTTCGTGTCACTACAGCGGCTTTGCTTCTGTCTGGAAGCTGCAAGGGGAAACCGATGGGATCTTCATTTTAGCTAGGCCTTTACTTCAAAGGCAAACCTAGTCATCTTCCAGGCTCCTAGAAGGGAGGCGCAGAGGGAGGGAAGGGGCTGGGAGCGTGGCCGAGGGTGGAGGCGGTCGTGGTCCTATCTGTTCCGTGTCAGATGTCCTACAGTAAAACCATAGTGTCGTTTGCAGCTTTTCTGGCGCCCCCTCCCCCAGTTCTCCTGGCCTCTGGGGTGCCTAGGTTTGTAACTGACGGCTCCTGTTCTGTGTCCCCAGGGTACCGGGATGCACAGGTCGGGTGGGCCCAGATCGTGGAGGACCTCCAGGAGAGAGCGCCCGACTCCACCGACGGGGCCCCTTTCGGGAGCACCCAGGGTCCCAGCCGGGTGGCACAGTTCCTGGTGATCTACGCGCCGAGGAGGGGGATCCTGGAGGTGTGGAGCACACAGCAGGGCCCTCGAGTCGGGGCCTTCAACGTGGGCAAGCACTGCAGGTGAGCCCAGCCCTGGCTGCCATGCTGCAGGGATGCTGGGGACGCTGCTGGCCACACCATGCCATGGGGCTTGGAGAGGTGTTCTTTCTGTCCTGGCGGTTTCCCTGTGAGTGCCCGGCGTGTGATGAGGACCAAGTACTTCTGACCCAGAGTGAGTCTGGACAGCCAGGCCAGCTCAGGGCACAACTCTCCCTTCCTGTGCCACAAGGCCCAGGAGCGAGGGTGTCCTCCACTTCTGCTGCTGATGGACACATGACAAGTGCTTTGTTTGCCCCTGACTCGTCAGCTCGCCCGTGTCATGCAGTCTCTTGCACCTCATCACAGGGGAGCAGTACTGGATGGGTCCTGCCTTCCATGTGTGTCGGCCTGGGCCTCTCCAGTGCCCCTGATCTGAGGAAAACTCGAGGTGCCCTGACTGGGGTGACACTGCTGTCTGGCGCTTTCCTTTAACCTCTGTGCTGTCTTGGCATGTGCTTCCCTTAGGCTGCTGTACCCTGGCTATAAAATCATGGGCTTAAACAATGTCACCAGCCAAAGCTGGCAGCCGCAGACGTACCAGATCTGCCTGGTGGACCCCGTGTCTGGCAGCGTGAAGACAGTGAACATCCCCTTCCACCTGGCGCTGAGGTTAGGCTTGGTGCTGGCAGCCACTTGGCATCCACTGACTCCCACCGCACCGGGCTGGAGTTGGGGTCGCCGGGCCGATGGCTCTAAAGTTGGTGGGAAGCCGGGGGAGGAAGACAGCCTTGTGGGCTGGGCCGCAACGGGCTGTGCCTTTGGTATTTCAGCGACAAGAAGAGCGAGCGCGCCAAGGACCTGCACTTGGTGAGGAAGCTGGCAGCGCTGCTGCGGGCGCGGCCTCCTGCTCTGGGTAGGTGCCGGGGCAGCAAGGGCCCAAGGGCCCCAGGCATCCTCACCTCCACTCACGGTCGCGAAAACTCAGCTTTGATTTTCTTACTGTCTTAGAAAGTGACAGCAGTCTTTTGATTTTCTTATAGATTCCACTGAGACAGAAATAAAGGAGTTGATTCTGGATATTAAGTACCCTGCGACCAAGACACAAGTACGTGAGCACAGTGGGAGCGGCTGCCAGGCGTCCCTCCACAGCCACCTCACCCCTCTTCCTTCTTCCCACCCAGGCCAGGTCTTCTTCGCAGCTCTTGGCTTGTGCTCTCTGCCCCTTTTTCTGTCCCCCTACGGGCATTTTGCTGTTTCTCTTAAACCTTTAGTGATCTCCCTTACGTGGGTGCCTGTGCTTTACGAGCTTACATGTCCTGATGCGAATGGGGATCAGGTGCACATGGATGCGGACGCCAGCCTGGGATGCCCATGTCTGCACCTTAGAGGGGTCTAGCCCTCCACGCTCTGCTCCTCACCGCTCATCCTGTGAGAAACTGCGGGTCAGAATTCGGTTTTGCCTCTCTTTGTGGGCACTGGGCGTGAGTGTGTGTGCCCGCCCTCCTGGGGCGCTTCTGTGAGCTCTGTGAGTGGAACCACACTCTGCCTGCTTGCGGAACGAGTTTCTTCTTCGACATAAGGTTTCCCAGAGGTCCGTGCTCCGGGGGTGACCTCTGCCCTGTGACACTGGGCTGGCTGCTCTCTCCCTGTCAGTGAATGCATGGTTGTTTCCATTTTGCTAATACAGACGCCGACGCTGTGCCGCCCTTTAACATGCTCCTGGCTGCACACGTGCAGGAGTTCTGGGTGTAGAGCCACCCCTGCTGCCCCACTCTTCCAGTACTAGGGACTGAACCCAGAGCTTTGCACTGAGCTACATCCGGGCCTTTACTGTCAAGACAGGGTCTGGCTGAGTCTGGGAATCCGCAGCCTCCTGCCTTGGGGCTGGGGTGGAGGGTGTGCACTGCCATGTCCGGTCCCTAACTGTACTGCTTAGGCCAAGATGCCTGGTAAAGCAGTGCTTCAAGAAAAAAGTGTCAACGATTTTAAAAATTCAAAAAGAAAACTCAACGATGAAGAATTGGGGTTGTCAGAGGAATCAGGAGGCCCCAGGGTGCACAGAGAAGAATTGGGGTTGTCAGAGGAATCAGGAGGCACCCAGAAAGTGCACAGAGAACCGCCAGCTGCAAAGGCCCAGCTCAGGCTCAGAGCAGAGGAGGGGCTGCAGGCGGCCGGGCGCACACTGGCCGGCCTGCCTGAGGCCCGGCTCCCGGAAAGCAGGCATGACAGCAGTGTTGAGTAGCAGTGTTAGAGAAAGCAAATTCTGTATCTTCTCCGTTGCCTGCAGAGCAGGTTGCCGCTGGGGCATGAAGTCCTGAGAGCCCTCCCCAAGCTGAGGTTCTTAGCTGGGCTCAGGCTGCCGGCATGGGAGGAGCCAGGTGGGCTCCTCCTCACTGGCGGAGGAGGAGGTGGCGGCCCGGCCTGCCCTCACGGGGGCGCGCACAGTGTTAAGTGAACACACACTCCGAGCGGTACTTTTGGTGTACACTGCGGACCCGGACATGAGTGCACTGGGGCCGGTGTGGCAGTGGCACTGGGCTGGCGGTGGAGCAGGAGTGCACCATCCCTGCGGGGACCAGGCCACTTCTTAGGAGCAGTGTCACTGCAGTGACCCTTACATGCACCATAAACCATCTGCGTCTGAGGATAGACTTGGTTACAGGCAAAGAAGTACATATGCTGTACAGCGCTGCCTTGGTACGAAAGAAGGAAACCCTAGTGGTCCGGAGCCTGCTGCCATAGCGAGGCTGTGCTGCTGATTATGGCACTGGTCCCAGGCGCCCCACGAGCTTGTGTTGGTCTGGAGATACACAGAGCTTGTAAAGCAGGCTGTGCCGTGTGATAATTTGGGGGCAGATTTGAAGTGTGTACATTTCTCCGTCAGTGTTACCTGCAGAAGTGAGGGGCCCTTGAACAATGTAGAAAAATCATGGAAGAAATTACTAGTATACTCAAGAATGCAGTAAGATCTGGGAAAAAAGGCAGTAAGAGACAAAAGTAGGCTTTTTATGGTAAGGACGCATACATTTTCAACAATACATCAAAGGAAAAGGACACAGGTACAGGATACAGTCATACAATTGTTTGCTCAGTGGTTACACCTGTGATTTAACTGTCTGTACCTGGAAAATCCTTAGGTGCATGGGCATTCTTACTGTGTTTTGAAATTAACAAACGACTTATACTTTGAAAAACCACACATTGTAAGCAGATGGTTATTTGACTATACCCTTAGCACAAGAATTTTTACAAAAAGAAATGTTTTATGCAGCACAGTATGGCCAAGTCGAAAATTTTTAGCAACACAACCAAAAACAAAGCAAAAATGGAGCAAAATCATAAACTTTGGAAATCGTTCGGTGTAAAATTTGCTCAGTGGGATGATAAAAGAACTGTTCACATGTTAATGACATATAAAAGTCATACATGTACATTGATCAGAGAAAACCCTGGAAGCGTAAGGCCTGATCTTGTCTTGATTATAGTACTACAAAAAAAGGCATTGACTTAGTAGATCAGATGTCCCTACAGTGTCCTACGGAGACCATCACAGTGGTGTGAAAACATCGTGCTGCAGTGATTGATGGTACAGCAGTTGTAAATACATTATACACAGCAGCATCGGGGTGCTCCTCAGATTCCACTCTGAAATCTGTAGAGTTAATTACAGATAGCCGTTAACCCAAGAAGAAACGCCACAGGTGCAGGCGTTCTCAAAAAACATTCCCTTTATTGAAGCTTAGTATCAGCAAGAAACGCGCACAAGCAATGTGGAGAATGTTGTTGAAATTTAACTGAGAAGTAGGTGCCACTTGTGGCCTGCGGAGAGGCTGGATGTTACGTGTGTCCTGCACACGTCAGCCACCTTTTTTGTGAAATGTTTAAAAGAATTCACAAATACAACTTCAGTGAAATACAAAGTAACACAAAATGATGCTGTGAGGCTATGAAAGCGGCTCGGAGTGAGGGGCTTTTCCTGTCCACTCCGCTGCTCAGTCTGCGGAGATGGATGGGCTGACCCCACCAGCCACCCTAGCAGGCTTTCCAGGTGGCTCTGGGCCAGTGTTCTCACTGGGTGCCCCTAGTGAGAGCATCAGATCCATGGGTTGAGGCTCAGTCTTGGGCTGCCTGCCACTGGGAACCAGTCAGAAGTGGTAAGTGTCCCCTGAGCTGACCCACTGTGACCCCTTCTGGGGTTCCGTTCACTTGCTGGAGCATTTCTCAGACTCTGGGGTGACACTTCTGTTTCCCCTGGTGCTGTTGAGGCTGCGGCAAACCCAGATGCCCAAGGGAGGAGAACGCAGGCCGGGCGTGGGGAGGACACAGTGCTCCGGCTGCTTCCCACGGGCACCGTCCATAAGCCTCTGCTGTCCAGCTGTGTGCAGCCCCAATGGACCGGAGCTGAGGCCCTGTCCTCTGGGTTATTTATGGGAGCTCTTTCCTCAGCCCTGATCGATCGTTTCATTGGCTTTGATGATCAACTCCACCCTCAGCGCCTCTCCCTGGGGCTGGGTTGGCCCCTGAGTTTCTAATTCTCTCTCCACCACCACCCTAAGACTGTCACGAGCTGCCCAGCGTTGCCCCGTTAGGACATCAGGTGCTCCTGGAGGCCAGGGACTGCTGGAAGTCTCAGGAGTTGTGTGTCAGCCCCACGGGGCAACCTGTGCTGCAGCAGCCAGTTCTCAGTGGCAAGAAGTTGCAGGCTCTGGTCAGCGGCAGTGGGGACTGACCCACTGCCTGGGCTCAGCCCGTCTGCATGCTTCCTGATACTCACTGCTCCGCACACGAGAGGACTTGGGGCAGGGGCTCTTTGTTATGGTCACTTTTACAGTTTGCACTGTGTTGTTACGTTGTGCTGTGCCATGCCTCTGACTGCCGGTTGGTTTTCGTTTTCCTCCATCAATAAGGTGACACTGGTGACAATGTGGGTGCCTCACAAGGCAGTTTAGGATCCCGTCTGCATAATGCTCATGACCCCAGTTCCATTCTGACCTTACACCTCAGAACTGCAAAATGGGGAAACTAGTGTAGACAATCCTCACAGGATTGTCTTACTGCCGAGTCAGGTACGAAGCTGTTTTATTTTAGGTCCTGAAAAATCCAGTAGCAAAACTGATCTTTATCCTGCAACTGCAAAGGAAGAGGAGAATCGAGTTTAGTCCTGGGAGGGACCCTAGCTGGCCCTGCCACGGCCCCCAGCCAGCCCTGCCACACAAGGCAGCTCCCTGGAGGCCACCCAGGCCCTCGTCCTTCCCGGAGCCGCCTTCTCTGGCCAGAGAGCACACAGCCCCCACCAAGCCCATTTCTCTCCCACAGACGCACAAGTCATTATGTTGTGATCCAGCATTTGTGTTTTGTCACATTTTTTGTCTGGATTTTAATGTTTGGTCTCAGTTAAAATCTAGCTAATGTGCCAGTGTGCAAGCAGATGCAGAAACCCTAAGCTCCGTTGCCGGTGGCTGCTGCGCATGAGAGGAGAGATTTTGGGAGCGCAGAACTGGCTGTGAGGACCGGGGGAGGGCGCAGAGAGGTGGAGAGCGAGGTGGCTGCACCTCAGCATGCACAGCCTCTCTTGTCCCTGCGTCCCCGAGGCTTTTCCCTCTCCCTGGAGCAGAGGCTTGGTTCGGGCCTGGATCCTGGCGAGTGGCTCTGTCTGTTTCAAGCTCCTGCTTCCTGTCTGGACCCCGTCATACACCGAGTGCCACCTGACATGAAACGTCACACACTGCCTGGGTGCAGCCTGAGTCTCAGGCCTATCTGCCGAGCACCCAGAGAGCAAGCTTCTTTGGAATGCGGGGTAGTGACAGTGCAGACAAAGGTGACATTTAAAGGCCGCGGCATGGCCTAGGAGTGGCTGACCTCGCTCTCTGTCTGTCTTCCAGGCTTTGGAAAGCATCCTGGCGAGCGAGCGTTTACCGTTCTCCTGCCTTCGAAATGTCACGCAGACGGTGCTAGATGCCCTAAAGAGCCAAGGTAATGGGTCTGGGCCAGCAAGGCCATGGTCGCTGCTGCCCTGGGGCTCCTGGTCGCTCCTGTCTGGGGCCCTGGTGCTCACATCCCGTTAACCTGGACAGGATGTCGAGTGGACATGAACGTGGAAGCTAGGCTCCCCTGTCGTGCCGTGGGCCTGCCTGCACTCTGGTCCCTGATGCTGACTGCACGTTTGCTCTGGGCAGTATTTGTGGGAGATTCCCACTGTGATGGGAGGTCAGTCAGGTCGTGGAAGCAGTTGTTTTCCAGCTGTGGACAATGTATGCACCCCCGCAGAGCCCGGGCAGTGCTCCGCTCCATGTGGCTCCCTCGGCGGTTTCCCTGGGAGCGTCCTCACGACATCCTCCTGAGAGCGTATTCCTGCTTCACTTAATGTGCGTCCTAGGTCGGATCATGTGTTTCCCTCATGAACCGTCAACTCCTCCAGCATTAAAGATTTTAGTTAAGTTGTTAGTGCTGAGTTTTCTAGTGGATTTTCACCACTAGAAATTCATGGTAAAATCAGTTTCTATTTGAAACCAGTAATGGTGGTGCATGCCTGTAATCCTAGCATTCAGGAGGCTGAGGCAGAAGGGTTACTCTGAGTGTGAGGCCAGCCTGGGCTACATAATGAGATGCTGTCTCAAAAACTGCAGCTGTGTTAACCCCATAGTCCATCCAGCCAAGCCAACCAACCTCACCCTATCCTTAGTTCTAACATCAGGAAATTGTAGCCAAGCCTTAAGTTAATTTACTTGAAAATCGTTGCTTGTTGATTACATAAAGCCAGACTGGAGTTTAATTATATTTTGCTTAGTTGTATTTAAGGCAGCCCATGTGGATTCAGTAGATCATACATTCTTTCAAGATGTCAGCACCCCAAGTTAGAGGCTTGTTGTGACTGCCAGCATGTAAGGCTGGACTCCTTAGTGTGGACGTGTAAGGCTGGACTGCTTAGCGTGGACGTGTAAGGCTGGACTCCTTAGCATGCCCAGCTCATTAGAAATCCTTTGAAAACACAGTTGAGCCAGATGTGGCACACGTCTAATCCCAGCACTCGAGGGCTGAGGCTAGAGGGCTTCCCTGAGTTCCAGGCCAGCCTGAGCTGCAGAGGGAGACCCTGTCTAACAGATAAACAAACAAAGTTGATGTAGTACATTGCATCTTCTCTGGAGCTAAAGGAAGAGGATTGTTAGTTCAAGGCCAGCCTAGGTAATTTAGACCCTGTCTCAAAATGTTTATGTAAAAGATAAAAAGGATGCAGCTTTCCTGGCCTGCACTGCGTCCAGGTTTCAGTCACCAGGGTGAAGGAGCCATGCAGACAAGCAGTGCGGAGGGGCTGAGCGCAGCCCGCCTCCCGCTGCTGGGCCTGTTGCCAGCGGCCTCGTGAAGTCTGTTTTATCGTCTTCTAAAGAATGAATAAAAATCAAGAGTGTTACACTGAAAAGCCCCTCCCTTGAAAGTCTGAAGATGTGTTAAGGCCCGAGACTCTGCGCCGTGCTGTTGGGGTTCTGTAAAATCATCACAGGGCCCATAAACGAGGGTCCTTACAGCTCTAAGTGCTTCGTGAGTTTCCTGTTGCTGTGTTCTACATGAAGATGCTTCGAGAGTATCCACACCCGTCCTCACAGAATCGTGTGTCAGATGGAGTGCCGGGATCTAGAGAGCGCCCGGTTCTCTGCTCAGGCCCGCAGCCTCTCCAGCGGCTCTGCACCATCTTCTGCAGCACAGGAGGGAGGGCGGGAGGGAGTGGGGCTGGCCGGCTGTGGGGAGCTGGCTGAGCCTCTGCCACTGTGTCCCTCTGCCCTTCAGAGCTTGAGTCGGTGGACGAAGGGCTGCTGTGCTTCTGTGCCGGGAAGCTAAAGTTGCTGCATCTCTACGAGTCCGTCGCTCAGCTGAATTCCCAGGCTTGTCCTTCAGAGGCTCCGTACGCCGAGAAGGTGAGTCCCGCTGGCTTCGTGTTGCACCAGTCATCGCTTTAGTGATATTTGCCTGGTTTTGGTTTCTTTGGGTTTGTGTTTACGTTTAGTAGTGCACGCTTGCAGGCTGTAATGACCATGCTCCTGCAGGCGCATGGTGCGGGACTCGGTTCCCGGTGCCAGACAATAGATAGGTACAGGTGTGATTCAGGGTGCACTTCAGAGACTGTCCACACCGGATTATGATGCCTCTTCCCACTTCTTTGTATTGTTTATCTATTGTTTTGTACTTCATTTAACACTTAATATATGTTATGTATTTAGATCTATGTATTTTGTATTTTCTCATGTTAGAAAAACCATGTGGTATTTAAGCTTGTGTTCCCTTAACATTATGGTCTCAAGGTACATCCGGTTTTCTACAGATGATCCAAATTTATCATCTTTATGGCACAGTAGTACTCCATAGAATATAAATAGTATGTAAATAGCATCTTACTTTTATCTGTTCATCTGTTGTTGGAGATGTAAGCTGTTTCCGAGATTTAGCTGTTACGAGTTGCACTGCTGTATCCGTGAGGACGCTGTATGTACATTGCTGTGACATGGTGTCTTTAGCTGTTTTGGGAAGTGACCTAGCAGGAGTTTCTGCTTCTAGTTTTTAGAGGAATCTCGGTAGTGCTCTCCGAAGTGTCTATACCAATTTACACTCCCCCCAACAGTGGAGAAGTGTTCCTTTCTCCCCGCAGCCTCACCAGCTTTGTAACTGGTTGATATCCATTCTTTCTGGAGTGAGGTGGAGTCTCAGCATTGTTTTAATTTCTATTTCTCAAAGAGCCAGCAGGGTGAGCCATCTTTCATGTCTTTATGAACCTGCTGTACTTCCTCACCTGAGAAGTGTCTGTTCATTCTGGGCACCCATTTGTTAGCAGGACCTGTAAGTCTGGTGGGTGTGATTTGTGGAGTTCTCTGCGTGTCCTCAATCAGCAGCGGCGAGCGTCTGCGCACCCAGCAGTAGTGGGCAGCCCGTCACAGCACTCACCCTGGCTTTGCCCGCTGCTCTGGACACAGACTTGCTAGGGAGCAGCCAGCAGCGTTCCCCCTCCGCAGGTGGTCTGTCTCCTCCCATCTGTCTCCTCCTGGTGGTTTCCCTCGCTGCCTAGCTTTTTAACCTGCCATGATCTCATTTGTGAGTTCTTGGTATTGTTCTTCCTACAGCCAAGGCTTCGTTCAGACAGTTGGATGTGGGCACAGTGTGTGCACTGCATGCTGGCTCTAAAGAGTTACAGTGACATCTTTTATTATTTTTTGATGATACAATAATATGTATGATGTCCCTGCACGTGCGGTGTCCCGCACGGTCCAAAGGCTGTTGGGTCGTATGTCACTTTCACATCTCTGTGTCCCCAAGGGCGACACAGAGGACTGATAAGTGGATCTGTGAGCACTGTTTTTCCAGGCTTTTGTTTCATGATGCTTATGCTGCTTAATGTAGAAGCATTGAATTCTGAATTCTTGCTTAGTTTTAGCATAGTGACAAGAGTTATAGTGACATCCTTTATTATTTTTGATTATGCAATAATATGTGTTTATTAAAATCCCAGCAGGAGTATAGGAGACTTCCAAGAAATTTTCCAAAATGGTATTCTTAGTAGTATATAGTTTCTCAAGATTAGCTTACTCAAATAACCTCCTTACTTATAAAAATGTAATTTGAGAGTGAAACTTTTAAGTAGAGTTCAGTCTAGCTGTCACACAATTGACAGTCCCCTTACCAGGGTAGTGAGGCTGCCCAGGTGGGTTCGCAGCAGGAGGCCTGGCCTGCTCAGAACCTGGTTTTTTCTGTGCTTCAGGACCTGGCTGTGTTACTGCGGCTTGAGGAGAAGGAGCTGCGTAAGCTCCAGGCATTGCTGGAGAAGTACAAGCAGGAGAGCAGCAGGGCCACGGTCCGCTTCTCTGATGACGGAGACGGCGTGCTGCCCGTCTGGACGTTCCTGGAGTACCTGGAGTATGAGGGCGACGCGCTCAGCATCAAGAAGAGAGACGAGGAGGTGGACGTGGCTCTAGGTGGGTGGACCGCGGGACTGCCCTCCACATCCCCCGCTTCCAAGATCATACAGTGTCCCAGAGGTTGCAGGCTGGTGGGTTAGCCAGGCTATAACATTTGTAGTTTGGCCAACAGACACTGCTCTGTGTGAGCGCGCACTGTCATGTGTTGATAAGGGTCCTGAAGGGAAAGTGTCAGACGTGTCGTGGTGTGCTCGCTCCGCTTTCAGAAGCTGGACTGAGCCACCGACTCCTCTTCTCATGCCTTTGCTCCCCTAGATTCTAGAGTGTAGTTGAGGAAGATTGTGAGTCCAAAGGTAATGGTGTCTGGTGAATGTGTTTTACTTTTGGCTGCCAGGCAGTTTCTTCTTTTGGAAGTGTCTGCATGGAGAAAGCTCCACTGAGGACATGTGCCGCGTTCTGGAGGCTGCGGGACTCAGCCCTCAGCTGCTATTGGTAAGGCTCCTGGCCCGTGCATGCTTGTCTTCCCGGGTCCTTGCTTGTCACCACACGCGTGTGCGCGCACACACACACACACACAGCTGTGTTAGGGCGTGAGGAAGAGCAACAGTCCCCACATTGGGTAACATTTCATTTATTTATTTTTGTTGACTATAAATAATGACAAGTACATTTACCAGGTAAATAAAATTTGAATGACATGAATGCATTTTCAGTGGACTTTGATCATCAGTAAAGATGATTGTAAAAAAGCCTTAGACAAAATAAGCTTCCTCTAAAGCTCTCTAGAATTGTGACCTACATTTCTCAACTCTGGGCACGTTCTGGGACATAATCTTTATGCCACAGCAAATATAAAGCAGAAGAATCAGCCCATGGAAAAACCACAGTACTAAGGTTTGCTCCTTCTGGACAAAGCCAACTGGGTGGCTCTGGCGGTGGTAGCCACCCAGTGCCTCTGCCGACGCACACCCTGGGTCCTGCTGCTCCCGTCTCTGTTCAGCTAGGATCTGCAGCTCATGAGCTCCGGGCTATGGAGTGCATGTTTCCAAGGAATATTTAAGTTCTCTAAAAAACAGGTCCTGTTCAGCTCTCCATGAAGTAAACACTAGGTCAGAAAAGACGTTAAAAACCCAGGACTGATGTGAGTGGTTCTAGGCCAGCGCCTCCCTCAGTAGATACCGAAACAGCCCTCAGGGCATCCTCCCAGGGTGTGGGAAGCACGGCACCCTGGAGGAAGCAGGAGAGGTCAGCCTCTGAAAAGTGTGAACTGCACCCCACCAACACAACATGTGTGAGCCAGCGTGGTTAGGGTGCCTGGCCGGGCTGGCGCAGCGGGAGTGAGACATTCGGTGGTTCACATCCAGCCGTGGTGGCGAGGATGCAGAGCTGCCTGTGTGGGGGGACCGCACAGTCACACACACAGCGCACGCATTGCCAGTGAGACCAGTGCGAGCCCTGGGGATTCCTGCCTCGCATCTGGCTCTAATACTGAGAGCCATGCCAGTGGGTGGGGCTCGTGGGTTCCATGTCCCCTCTGGGAAAGGTAAGAGAGGCTGAGGTGAGGGGTGGTGCACCGCCCTTCCAAGCCCCTTGCATTCCTGCTCCTCATTTTGAAAACACAGTAGTTTTAGAGGAATCCGTGGAGAAGTTTGGTACTTGTTCCCAGAGCTCCCAGCCCCATGTCCCCATGAGTTGCTGCTCTTCGTGGGCATCCTGGGAACCAGTCAACTGAACCTGGCAGGTGGCACGCATAAACGCACTGCAGTCATGTAGACGACCCAGGCCTTGCACAGGCTGCAGGGCTCCACCTGTGACACTGTGACTCCAGAGTCTCTGTGGTCCCAGGTGTCTGTGACCACATTTTATAAATCGTAGAAACGTGAACTTCAGGAATTATGCTGTTCCACCTGCGAGTCACTGGTGTGGCCTGGTGTATTTTGTCTAAACGGGCTTTTTGGGACTCGCTGGCCATTTACAGTGGGAGCAGGTGTTACCCCCGTCAGGTGCAAGGCACTTGGGTCTCGAGGAGGCAGTCAGGTCCTCCCTGTCCCTCCTGGTGGAAGGTGGGTGGGAAGGCAGTGCCAACAGAAAGCAGAGGCAGAAGTGGAGGCACATGGCTGCCATCAAATAGGAAATATCAGATCACCTCCCAGACACGATACCACCATCAGCCAACTGGAAGGCTGTGTAGGGACTTGAGGGGCTCGGCTGGGCTATGTGTGCCTTTACTCTGAAAAAGATGTCATTTTGATTCCAGTCTCTGCTGTTGAACGTGTGGCTCTCCAGGGAGAAGGATGTCCTGGAGAAGCTGCAGTGTGTCTGCCATCTGCACGCGATGCTGGCCCTGCTAAGCAGGATGAAAGGTGGGCTGCGTGCGGGGCTGGCCACGGGAGGCGGCGGCTTGCCTGGCAGACTGGTTCTGTACTGATTAGAGGCGCGTGGTGCATCTGAAGTGACTTTTAATTCAGGAGAATTTACGCTTGTGCTGATGTTTGATGGACTAGTGGTTTCCGACTCAGTGAGGAGGGTGGACTGGTTTTGTTGGGGGAGTGTTTTCCTTGCATTATCAGAACAGGACCAGTGTTAAAACATGCGGGGGAGATTTTCATTAGTGGTGAAACAGTCCGGAGAGGGATTCCGGATTCGGTATTGATGCAGACACAGGGCGACACGTATGAGGAAACGGGAGACCGGTGTCTGGAATAAAGTAGGCTGAGGTCCATCCCACAGTTATTCAGAAATCTGCAGGCCCCTCTTTGGGAGAGGTAGCTCTGAGAGGGAGTGATCAGACAGGAGTAATGCACCAGGCCCCCTCATGTGTCCTTCTGGTTGCCACAGTGGCCATTGATGAAGCCTGGGACTCACAGTCTGTGTCGCCGTGGTGGCAGCAGATGCGCCTGGCCTGCATGCAGTCCGAGAGCAGTGGGGCTGCACTGCTGGCCGCGCACGTTGGCCACTCGGTGGCTGTGCAGATCTCAAACCACGCAACAGAGAAGAAGGTGAGTGGCTGAGGCAAGCTCTGCCGTGGCCATCCCTCAGCCGAGGCCAGGGTCCTTGTTACACGCTGTCCTCTGGGGTCGGGGGAGGCTGCCACCACATGCAGTCCCCATGTCAGACCTCTGGGAGGCACAGATGGCAGCATCTGGTCAGCGCTGCCAGAAAGCTGGGCCTCACCAGGGGCCGAGCTTTGGGTGGGACCACCCAGTCTCCTAGCCCGTGTCACCCTGGGGAGACAGCACCTTCGTGCTGCCCCATGGGGTGTCATCTGTGGTCACCCGTCCCTGCCCCGTGGTGACAAGCACCTTCCTGCAGTTCCCGCAGACAGTGGTGGCAGTCGACGGAGAGGCCCTCACGGATTCATGGGAGGCGCTCTCCCTGGACACGGAGCACTGGAGGCTGCTGCTGAAGCAGCTGGAGGACTGCCTGCTCCTGCAGAGCCTGCTACACAGCGGGCCTCGGCGGGCCCGCACCACGGCACCGCAGGCCGAGCCGCTGCCCCGGCTGTCCGTGAAGAAGCTGCTGGAAGCAGGGAAAGGTGAGGGCTGGCACTGTTCCTGGCTTCGCACTGTGGGTTTGCTGGTGAGCTCAGCAAGCGTGGGCTTCACTGACGAGGAGGCGCCTGTTACACCCACTGGGGCCCAGCCTGCATTCCCCGCCACCCCTCGGGTGTCAGGTCATCTTCCTCCCACTCTCCAGATTCCTGCAGCTGCATTCCCCTCTCCTCCTCCCCCACCCCAGATCTCTGTGCCACTTTGGTTTCTTCTCTTTTTGTGCTTTTAGGGATTTTTGCGAACTGTATTTTAATTGTGATCATTGTGCACATGTGTGGAGCGCAGTGCCATGGTTCAATGCCCATGTACGGTGCCCATGGAGTCCAGGCGCTGCTGTCTTTGGTCTCAGATCATGCTACCTCTTCCTGGTGGGGACCCTGGGTCCCCTCTCCCGGCTGCTGAGACAGCACCCACGATGCTCAGCAGCTGCTCCCCTCCTGGGCCTGCCCCTCAGCCTCTTAAGGTCCACTTCGTAGCTTTCACTAGAGGACACAGTGTCAGTGTCTCATCGCTGCATCTGCTGCCCACCCACCAACCTCGGGCTCTGCAGCTCACATATTGTAAGAAAACGAGCATCTCATACCTGTAGCCATCTTTGGGATGTTCTCTTCTTGTCAGAAGCTCTGCTAGGCATTTCATACCAGAGGATGGGATTTGAGGGTTATCCAAGTGTTTGTGGCTTTTTGATGTCCACACTTTGTTTTGAGACTGCAACCCCAAACCCAGGCCCTTCACAGAGCTGCCCCCCAGGGCTTTTCATGGAGATGAGGTCCCTAAATTGCTCCCCTGTCAGGCAAGGCAGACTGAGGCCTCCCCCGCCTGGCCTTGGGGAGCTGGGATCACAGGTTGCCGGTCCTGGCCGAGTGTTAGTGTGAGTCTGTGGTTTGTGTCCTGTACCGCACTGCTGATCAGTAATGGCTGAATATCGCCTTGAACCTGTGGGCACACTTATTGTCTGGTGCAGGGAAAGTCACGGTGTCCTGAGACCCCTAGCTGAGTGTCAGACTGCCATTTCACTTACAGCACAAATGAAGGGCGCCTTCCCTGCCCTGCGTCTGGCCCCGCCATCTGGAAGGCACGGCATGGACATGTACTCGTGCACATGTGTTCCCCTCACATTTTCTGATGAGATGGAGATGCCGGAGCAGCTGACATCTCCTCTATGTGCCCTGCCATGCTGTGTGACAGGCAGGGGCGGCACTGTCCATCTCATGGCCTGAGGGACCCGAAGTGGGAGCAAGCGTGGCTCTGCGTTTCTGCCTGGGGAGATGGGCGTCAGTGCTCCTGGCTCCCTGCAGCTGCCAGTGCAGGCTGTGAACCCTGCCTCTTTTCCCCCTCAGGTGGCATCGCAGACTGTGTTGCCAAGTGGGTATTTAAGCGAGACTTGAGCCCTACAGTGTTGAAACTGGTGAATCAAGACACAGCTGGGGAGAATCCAGAGGAGCCCCAAGGTCCTCACGGCGCTTTCCTGCAGGTGGCAGTGGCGGAGGGGGACTTAGGAGCCATCCCAGGTGACTGAAGGTGGCCGTGGGGCCTGGGGAATGCTGCGCCGTCCCCCGGAGACTGAGCCCCACCTGTGCCTTGCAGACCTGCTGGGCTTGGCCTTCGAGCAGTTTCCCTGCAGCCTGGAGCCGGACATGCTGCACGCGCACTGCTGCTGGGAGTACGTGGTCCAGTGGAACAAAGACCCTGAGGTGAGGCTGGAAGCACTGGCCCTCCGTGTGCGTCACTGTTGCCCTGTCCGCTGTGCCCTCTGCGGTATGTGTTGCAAACCCCAAGCTGCTGGTGGAGATGCGCAGCGGATCTGGGACACCTGAGCCCTTGTCCGTTTCCTCCTGAGACGGGGCTGTAGGCATGGTATGGGGGATGGTGGGGGTCACACCCAGCCTCCTTGTGAGGGCCTGGGCCGGTGCCCAGCAGCACAGCGGCATTTCGGTGGAGCCAGATGGCAGCCCATCAGACGCCTCCCCGCCACCCTTGGCGCAGCACAGCACCTGCCAAGCAGGTGTCTGACGCCGTTTCCCCTCTTCCACCAATTTGAAGGAAGCGCGTTTCTTTGCGAGATCCATCGAGCACCTAAAGTGCATCGCCAACGCACACGTGCAGCACGGTAAGGACCTGCGAGGTCATAGCGCGGCTTCCACCTCGGGAGCAGCATCGGGGCACACACGGGCATGCTGTCGTCCTGCATGCGACTGGAGTGCTGAGCCCTTGCTGTCCCACTTCGGGGAAAGTAGGGCTTGTCTGTCACCTCTGCCCCACCCGGGAGCTCGGGCTGCTCTGCCTGGTCGCCAGCTCTGTAGGTGTCTTCATTTAAGGTCACTTGTTAGCCAGGTATCACCACAGAGCCCAGATTGGGTGGTTGGTGATGTTTTCACATTTTGTTCCATTTTTTAACCCTCTGGCTGGGGTCCCTGCGGGACCAGCACTCAGCAGCAGTGCCAAGCCTGGGGCTCGGGTGTCCATGGGTTCTCAGTGCTGCCCCTCAGGTGCTGTGAGCTAGGTCCACGAAGACCCGGCCGGCAGCTCCCCACAGCACACAGGGCTCCTCGGCGTCAGGAGGGAGGCGGCCGCTAGGGGCTGGCAGCCAGGGCCTGTGCCGCCCCGCACCACCCCAGCCGGCCCTCCCGGCCCCTCCCCGCAGGCATCGCGCTCATGCTGTGGAACACGTTCCTGGTGAAGCGGGTCTCAGCTGCCGCCTACCTCATGGACAAGGTAAGCAGCCCCACTGCCCTAGCCCTGCTGCCCCACTGCCCTGAGGCCTGCTGGTGCTGCGTGGCTCCTGGGACTGCAGCAGCTGCAGCAGGGGAAGGGCAATGAGACGCAGCAGGCAGGCCAGGTGCGGCTCAGCGCCCACCTGCTCCCACGGAGCCTGCCCTGGGGAAGAAGAGCTTCTCGGGGAGCACTCCTGGGGATGGCCCTTGGGGAGCAGTCAGAGTGGCTATCTGTCTGTCCAGCACAGAGGTCCAGGCTCCTCGAGCGGCCCTCGGCCCACTTCTTCTGCAGACACAGGCAGGTCCCCCCAGGGTCTCCCTCTCCTTGCTCCTGTCACTTAGTGCCGCCTTCCTTGGTGCTGTCACTGGCCGGCTCGAATTCACCTCGGGTTTTTAAGGTGATGCAGTCTGACTTTGCCAAGTGTAGCTGGGTCGCCCAGTGTTTCTTCCTAATTCAAAACGACAGGGTTCAGTGTTGCAAAGGATCATTTCTGAGTTCATTTTTAAGTTCCACCAAAAACTTACTATGTCACTGTTAGAAGAACCAAGTTAATAAAGGCAAGGTCACCACATTTATGTAAAGCTGGCTATTTTCTCTCCCCTGTACCTCAGTGGCGGCTTTCAGAATCCTAACTGCCACAATGTCTTCCTCTCATCCTAGGTTGGCAAAGCACCAAAGGACAGATTGTGCCGCAGGGTGAGTATCGCTTGATGCCCCTCGGCGCACACAGCGGCTTGCCCAGGTTCCCGTGAGCCAAGAGCGTCACCTTGGCCCCACGTCCACGCAGTGGGTTAAAGCCGACTCACACCTGTGTGCACAAGCACAATGCAGACAGCACTGGCATAGCACGCTTAAGGGGCTGAGGCCAGCAGTGCTCGTGTCTGCTCAGAACCCCGAGCTCCGGCCACAAACACCTTGGGAAATGGTGGGATGTGCAAATCTTTGGTCCTTAAACAGAAATCTGTGCCCTGAGCACCCGTGTGTGAGGAGTCAGTCCCTATGTATCGTGAGCAGCATGCCTGAGAGCCATGTGTGGTGCCACACGTGCACGCACCATCTCCCTGGAGTCTAGGCTTTGCGGTTGGAGAGTTGATCATGTGTCACCCATAGGGACAGGGCTCGTGTGTGCCACCACTGCGTGACCCTGGGCTGTAGTTCGCAGGCTGCAAACCCTTGCCCTGGTTAAAGGGTTCGGCTCAGGCCCTACAAGCCAAACCAAACTGCTTGCCGTTCCTGTGGAGCTGGGGAGGTGCTGGGACTGAACCCAGGGGTACAGTGGGTGTGCAGAGCTCACGCACTCCCACTGAGCTGTATTGTGGGCTCAGCACATCCTCTTTTCTTGGTTTTTTTAAACAGTCTCGCTTTGTAGTCCAGGCTGGGCTAGAACTCACTACGTAGCCCCGGCTGGCCTGGAACTCATGGTGATTCTCCTGCCTCCACTTCCCAGGGTGCTGGGATTACAGGGGTGCACCTCCATATCCAACCTAGAACATTTCTTTTTAAAAGCTGACATCAGCACCACGTTTTAAAACTCAGATTTTCAGATCGGGTGCTCCCCGCTAGAGTCAGCCAGTTCAGATACGCAGGTACCTGGACTGCGGACCCTGCCTGCCTGTGAGCATGGGAGTCCGTGGGGCTGACGGCGTCCTTTCCACACACAGGATGTAGGCATGAGTGACACGGCGCTGACGCCCTTCCTGGGCTGCTGCCTGGACCTCCTGCAGACCTTGATGGAGGTAACCGAGCCCGCTCCGCCATGGTGAACGGTGGGTGGGGAGTTCTCGGGGTGGGGAACCCTCGTGATGTGCTCCTTCCGAGTTGTCCATAGGTGGGGCAGTGGCCTGTGGCCTGGGGGCCATCTCCGCCCCGCTAGCCCGTGACGCAGCTATCCATGGACACCGCAGGCTGATGTGGGCAGGGACGAGATGCTGGCACCTGTGCTGGACACTGAGGATGCATGGCTGTCAGCGGAGGGGCCCGCGGCCATCGTGGAGCTGGCGCTGGAACAGAAGCCCGTGCACTACCCGCTGGTGCAGCACCACTCCGTGCTGTGCGCCGTGCTCAGTGCCGTGGCGCGCTTCGCACTCAGGGCCGTCAAGCCACTCGCCCTCTTTGACAGCAAGGTGCGGTTGGGGTGCAAGCTGCAGCAGGGCGGGCGGTGCCAGGGAGCTCCTGTGACCCTGGGTGTGGCTGAGCAGGTGTGCGAGGTGCCGTGGGTGGCAGGCCGGTGGCTTGGTGTGAGAGCCTGCAGCCCCCTGCGATAACCCTGCCCATGACCGTGCTCTGAAGCCCCTCTCACGCGTGGTCTTGTCCCTGTCACCTTACACAGTGACTGCTGGCGGGCCTGGCTCCTTGGCCACACGGTCACCCCGCCACCCCACGGGCCAGGTACCTTGGGGCAGCTGTGTCCCTGAGCCCAGCATGTAAGTGACACCTGTCACGAGCCCCAGTCGAGGCGAGGTGAGAGGACTGCAGACCCGGTGGTTAACCTGGGTCAAACAACCATGTTGCTGAAGTCTTAGTGCAACTCAAGGGTCAGCGCGACCCAGTGTGATGATGCTCACGTCGTCCCCTTTTTTCTCCCTGGACCCGCGCTCACCACTTCTCTTGATGTCTTGTCTTCAGGGGAAAAATGCATTTTTCAAAGACCTAACTTCCATCCAGCTGCTGCCCAGTGGGGAGATGGACCCAAATTTTATTTCTGTTCGGCAGCAGGTGAGTTCAGGGTGTGGCAGCTCTGCCGCTGGGTGGCCCGGGCTGCTGGGACAGTGGCGTCGAGGTGGCGCAGGCACCACCAGTGAGGCCTTGCGCTGTCTCTTTCCAAGTTCCTGCTTAAGGTTGTGAGTGCCGCCGTCCAGGCCCAGCACTCGGGCCCGAGGGACGGGGCGCCCTCGGCAGCAGTGGTGAGCGCACCTGGGGACCAAGACTGGGCGGCTCTGGCCATGGCCTTAGCGCCGCACCTGCAGGTCAGCGAGGACGTGGTCAGGCGGCACTACGTGGGCGAGCTCTACAGCCATGGTGCCGACGCACTGGCGGAGGAGGTGATGCTGCCGGCGCCAGGCCTGCTGGGGCGGGGGGGGGGGGAGACTGAGCTGGTCCTGTCCCTGTCCCTGTCCTTGTGGTGAGCAGCAGCCAGGCCGGGGGCAGGGGCAGGGGCAGGGGCAGCTCAGCCAGGTTAGGGCCCTCCCTCTCCTCTTCCCCTTCCCTCTGCCCCAGCCCTCAGCAGCCACGTTCCCTCCTGAGCCAACAGAGCACTGAGCTGAGCTAGGGCCGGGCCGGGCCAGGCCACCAGGCAGAGCAGCGGGTGAGGAGTGCATGCCTGGCCTGGAGCAGTGCTGGCCTGAAGCCAGTGCAACATGGGTGCAGTGCACAGTGCCTGGGACCTCACATGCACTGCGTCCTCACATGTGTCCCCACAGGCCACCCTGCAGGTGCAGGACACTGAGGTGCTGGCCTCGCAGCTGCTGGTGCTGAGCGGGCAGAGGCTGGCACACGCACTGCTGCACACGCAGAGCCGGGAGGGCATGGAGCTGCTGGCACGGCTGCCACCCACGCTGTGCACCTGGCTCAAGGCCATGGTGAGGCCACCGGTGAGGGCAGGTGGGCGGGGCATGCGGGAGCTGCTGGGCGGCTATGACAAGGCCGTGTCCCCGCAGAGCCCCCAGGACCTGCAGAACCCTGATGTGCCGATAGCCACAACGGCTGCGCTGGTGCGGAGGGTCGTGGAGCTGCTGCCCGAGCAGCATGGGCAGCACAGCCTGGCTCTGCACCTGCTGGAGGCCGTGGACGCCGTGCCCACTGCCCCGTGCTGACGCCACCCAGCGTGCTTGCTGTGGGATTTTATGAAGATGTCTTTTTGTAAAATAAAAATATATATTACTTTTAACAAAGTGCGATCCTGGCCCAATTCCGCTTTGAGGAACACTGAAGAGGGGCTGTAAATGCTGTACCGTGGTGATACGGGGGGGGCTGCTGTTCACTTTTCCTCTGAACAGCAAGTGATTCTGTCTGCTCTCCAACACTAGCCGTGACTCAAGGGCTGGTCACCGTGAGCCCGTGTCACATTCCAGCCACAGCTACTATCTTAAAGTGATGTGTGCAGCCCTTCAGCCAAGCCTCGGAACGGGCCTGTGGGCCCCTCTGGAGTGCTGAGGACAGATGAATGCCACCCTGCTTTGCCCAGGTGGGCATCTGGGCACCACAGCCCCTGGTCCAGTGCTCATGTAGTTGTCAGAGGATAAGGCTCGAGCTAGAGGTCTGACTCTTTTAACTGTTTGCCAAAATTGAGATCTGAGATGCAGTCAACCAGCACAGCCAGTTACAATGTAAGTTATGTTTTTACAAAGTTGTATCCACATCAGGCAAATGTAAAAATGTATTATCTTGTAAAACTATTATGTAAAAAAAAAAAAGTTTTGTCCAACTTTATTGTTCCTGCAAGCGTTTTGTCTGCTCTCAGGATCTGCCAGTATAACCTGTCCCTGGGAAGGATAGGCGCAAAGCCCACTCGGGCTGTGCGCAGACTTGGTGCTCCTGCCCCCGGGCCGGCCCCTGGAGCACTCCCTCCCATGTGCCACAGAGGGGTCTCATGGTCCTCACTACAAGGTGTCGTCCACACGAGAGTGCAGCTGGCGCCAGGTTCCCGCTCTGACAACCCGAGGCGAGGCCTGCCATGCGGCGTGAGCACAGCCCTGTGTCCTGGGCCAGCTCTTGCTGTGGTGTCGCTCCTCTGAGAGGGCCAGTGTGCAGCAGGACAAGACTGGGATTGAAGCTCGAACCCTGGCCCAACTCTACGGCCAGCAGGGGGCGCTTCTTGGGCCTTTAGACAGCGGAGCCGGGTAGCTGGGGCTGTGGGAAGCCACTCCACACCCGGCCTCCTCGGGCACAGGCTCCGCTTCTCTTCTAACTCAGCACTGGCGGCCCTAATGGGGGGCGGGGGGGGGGGGGGCCTCAGCAGTGACTGCTCGGGAGGGAGGAGACGGCTGCACTCTGCCGTGGGCGAGCCGCGCCCCGAGCTGCAGTGACTGAGGCAGGTCCCACACCGCAGGGCGCAGGCCAGCGGCCCCGGGCCCCCGCTGGCCCCAGGGGCAAGTGAGGTGGCAGGTGGGAGCACTCGCTTCAAACACTAGACTTTTGCAAAAGGAAGCAAAGTTTTACTTTCGTTATAAAACCTCATCAAAGATTGAAGCAAACAATCTTCAGCTGCTCTTTTAGGAAGTCTGATTAACTGCCATTTTAGCCCCTGGGAACTGAGCTGCTGTCCTGGAGCTCATGGTGGGTAGCTGTCACCTGCCTAGGAGGGCTCTGTACCCAGAGATGGGAAGCTTCGGGCCACACTGCTGTGTGCCCACTGCTGGGGAGGCTGTGCACTACCGACCAGACGCCCGGCTCCTGCGGTGCTCCCCTGCTGTCCCCCCCACCCCCGCCCCAGATCTCCTCCCATCACAGCCCCCGCCCCTTCAGCAGCCATCAGTACCCAGAATCCGTCACAGGACCTAAGATCCCAGGCGGGAAAGGGTCCTACACACCACACACCTGGAGTCCACCCGCTGCCCTTCCCAGTCTGTCGTGGGCGGGCGGCCGTGTGCGCAGTCCTAGCACATCCACACCCTCCCAGGGGTGGGACATCCACAGGCTATGCCTGGCCAACGACCTCCGCGCAGCGGGGACATAGTGTGTCCGCGGCCTCCGCCGTGTACTTCCAGCAGCGGGGGCACTTCTCCTGGGTCGCTGGTGTGACCAGCACTTTATAGGAGGCCTCCTCGCGGATGTCGCCACCTGGGAACAAACACACGTGTCTGACTTGGCTCCTCCGTGCTGATGGGGCACACGGGTGACACCGAGAAGACCGAGGAGCGGCTGCTCTGCGCTCCAGCTCAAGCTGGGACAGCCGTGCTCAATGGAAGATGCTGGAAGGGCAGGGACAGTGCCAGTGACAGCTGATGAGCAGTGCAGCCAGGAGGACAGCGGGCTGCAGCTGCCACACCTTGACCACCCGGAGGACGGAGCTGGAGCCCGGGTAGGGGTAGGGGTAGGGCGCATCCGCCCCCCTCCCCGGCAGCTCAGGTCCCCGAGGCTGGAGGTGACCTGCAGGGCCCGCTGCCATGCCCTCCTCACCTTCCAGGTTGATGAGGAAGGTCCCCCCGAGCTCAGTCACGTCCTCAGGCCGCTGCAGGGGCTCCTGGGCCAGCAGTGTGCACCTCGAGGCCATCATGAGCTCACTCAGCTGCGAGGAGCTGGATGTCTCCTCAGCCTGCAGCATCTGGGGGAGAGCGGGGAGGAGCCATGAGGATGGACGCCCCGGAATGCCCGTTCGCATCCGCTGGGGCTGGGGTGGACGCTGCAGGCAGCGAGGTGAGGTGAGGGCCGCAGGGCACGCTCCTGTCACCTCCCAGCCGATGCCATCTGTGGTGGCGCCTCAGCTGGGCTGCTAGGTGGCCACACCCTGCACCATGTGTGGCCTGGCCCTGAGCTCGGCTGCCCAGTGCTGTGCAGCAGGGCGAGAACACGTGAAAGCGGGGAGCAGGCCACCAGGCCAGCAGACGACGCCCACAAACCCGGCCCCAAGGGCGGAGGCTGGGCCTGGGTCCTTCCCTACCCACAGGGCATAGGGGAGCATAGCGCAGGGCCACCTGTTTCCTGGCTGGCTGTAACCTCCCGAGTGCGGCCCCTGGCTAACACACACTCCCCTCGAGAGGAAAGCCGTGCCTACTCCCTCCCTAACTGTCCTCTCTCCAGTCGAACTGTTGCTCCAGGCACACCGTCCTGCCCAGCTCACCGACCAGCGAGGTGGTCATTCTCTCTTTTTTTTGGTCTTTTTCCTTTTTATCGGTACCGGGGATCGAACTCACGACTGCCTGCTTGCAAGGCAGGCGCTTATGCCGCTGAGCTAAATCCTCAGCCCCTGAAGTGGTCACACTTTCTGAGGAAAACCGACAGCCGGGAGTGGTGGCGCAGGCCAGTAATCTCAGCACTTGGGAGGCTGAGGCAGGAAGCTCAGGATGAGCTCCAGGAGGTCAGCCTGGGCTACACAGGAGTTCAAGGCCAGCCTGAGCTATGTGGTGAGACCCTGTCTCAAAAATCAAAACAAAAATTACTAATACTTTAACTCTGCAAGTTTTGTAGTAGTACCATTTCATTCATGATGCAGGTAATTTCATGTTCAATTTTGTTACTCATTTTATCGATCTCATCTACTGTATGTGTATTAAATTTGATTTCTGCTTAAAAAGAAAACTGATACCAATAAATCTTTTAAAAAGTGCGTCTGTGCCCACCCTCTTCTCCAGAGGAAACCCCAAGCTGACCTTGTGACTGCTCATCTGGCTGAACCACCCCGAGACCCAGCCAGGCCTCGGCTGGCCTCTCCCAGCACAAGGCGGACCGGACCCCTGCTCTCCGGGCTGCAGGAGGAGACGCTTCCCTTTGGGCTGGCCGAGCCCCCTGTGCTGTGTGCTGACTCGCTGGTGCATGGGAGCCATCTCCCACCAACAGGGCCCAGGCTGCGGGCTCAGCAGAGATGCACGGTGCTCCTGCCCAGCCCTCTGAGTACATAGAACACGCCCTCTCCCAAGCCAGAACAGACACAGAGGTGTGGGGACAGAGTCAGACACACATCAGGACTGCACTGAAATCCCAATTCCTAAATTAACAAAACAGTTACCACCTGGTGTGGAGGCACATTCCTCTAATCCCAACACTCTGGGAGGCTGAGGCAGGCAGAGTGAAGTTTAGTCCAGCTTGGGAACTGGCACAACCTAGCAAGACCCTGACTCACAACTTCCAAGGGGCCAGGGATGTGGCTGAGTGTGAAGGTCCTGGGCTTGAGCCCAGCATCTCTGAAGAGAAATCCAGGCATTTTCAAAGAGCAGCTCCGTGGGAGCCACCCAGGCCCCTGCCTGCCTACCTCTATGATCTCAAAGAGCAGGCCAGGCTCGATCACCACGGTGACCTCGTACTCCGCCGCGTTTCTGCCTGGGATGCTCCCGAGAAAGGCATCCCGCATGGCACACGCGCCCTCCACCGCCTCCTCCAGCCCCGGCTTCTTCCAGATGGTGCTGGCACTGATCCAGCCGGTGCGGAAAACGCTCCTGGGCTCTGGAAGACAGCGGTAAGCGGACACACATGGCCTGCTGCTTCTAAAGCCCTCGCCGTCCTCGGGAGAGCAGAGCAGAAATCGATCAAGAGGGTCTTGTGAGGACAGCAGGGGGGACAGCCCAAAACTGGCAGCGGCAGGGGTACAGGCTCCGGAGGAACTGCCTCCCTCCTGCCTTCACAAAGTAACGCCATCCAGGGACGAGGGCCCTGAACACGCTCACTCAAGGGCGTGGGTTTCAGCCAACCCCGGAACCCATCTGGAGGGCACGGGGCCGCCCGCTGGCCTCACCCGCGCCATAGGGCAGGTGCTGGAAGACCTCCTCGGCCAGGTGTGGCAGGACCGGCGCGAAGGCGCGCGTCAGCACGTCCAGGATCTGCGCCAGTGCTGTCTGGCAGGAGCGCCGCTTGGGGTCGTCCTCCCGCTCGCAGTAGAGGCTGCCAAGAGGACCCGGCTCAGCCACCGCCATGCAGCTTGGGCAGCGCTGGTCCCACCCCCGGCCAGCCCCGGCCAGCTCCCCCCTCCCCGCCCCGGCCACACACCGGTCCTTGACGATGCTGAAGTAGAAGCCCGAGAGCTCCCGGGTGTAGAAGGCCTGCAGCAGCCGGACCACCTTCCCAAAGTCGTACTGCTTGTAGGCGTCGGTGACCTGGGAACGAGGTGGCACCGGTGAGCTGGGTTAAGTCCGGAGCTTCGGGGTGAGGTGAGACAGAGCAGAGCGCGTACCCAAGAGGCTTCCGACCGCTGCTCGTCCCTGGGTCCCAAATCCAACACCTGGGCGCTGCCACAGGGCACGCTCCGAGCCGGGAGGGACCGAGGTACAGGGACGGGAAGCCAGGCCTGAGCATGCAAGGCGGAGTGACACCCAGCCCTCCAGGTCCCCAGACAGAAATCACCATTTCCTATTCTCAATTTCTGGTGTTTTTTGTTTTGGAAATAGGGTTTTGCTATCTAGTCTAGGTTGGGCTCCACCTCCCGTGTGCTAGGATTACAGGCATGTGCCAGTACTACTGGCCTAATGACACCATTTTGGTGGTTGTTATTTGAGAGGATCTCACTATGCAGTTGAGGCTGGCCTGGATTTACTGCGTAGCCCAGGCTGGCCTCAGCCTCCTGCCTCAGCCTCCCAGGTGCTGGGATTATCGGTGTGCGTCCCACGCCTGGCCTACTCACACCACTTTTAAAACAGCAGACTGAGGGTCACCAGCAGCTCATTCATGCTCTCTCATTTTCCTGACTTGCGCACAAAGTGAAGTCTGTACTCAGCTCAGCACCCCGAGGCAAACACACTCTGACCACAGGGCACTGACCGCCTGTGTCTCTGCCTGCACACAGTGGTTGCAGCTCAGAGCCCAGGCAGAGCACTCCAGCTGCCTCTACTGTGCGGTCCTCCGTAGACACCTACACTGCAGAGCTGGTGGCCCAAGGAGCGGAAGCCAGTCCTCTGCTCCCTCACTGTCTCTGGGGTGCAGAGGCACAACCCAGAACGCTTGGGACCCCAGGCTGGCAGGATGCAGCAAGCAGGGCTCTCCCAAGACGGCTGGGACACTAGCCTGGCTCGCTCCAGAAGAAGCGAACCCCCTCCTCCACAGCCACCTCCGAGGCATACGCACCTTGGTGGCCAGGCTCTGCAGCAGGTGCAGCATGTACTGGTCCAGGACATACATGCCGTCCACGGGCACAGAGTCTGTCTGGGGGTTGAAGCCGGCCAGGTTTCCCAGGAGGAAGCGGAGTGTGTTCCTGAGCTGCTCCGGGAGGGAGGGCACAGTTAACCACGACTCGTGACCCTCCTGTTTCCTGGAGCCATTTTATAGCACCTCAGGACCCACCCGACTCCTGTCACTGCGAAGGGGAAAATCCTGCTCCATCACTCCCACACCAGCGGATGAACCGCTCTCCACCCATTGGGAAGCCACCTCTGGGCCCAGGCCTACGCGCTACAGTCCACTGTCCTGTGGTAAACAACCCAGCAGGGGTCTCCTTGTGTGCGGGTGACAGGCATCACTTCACCTGACTCACAGAGACAGCAAAGATACACGGAATAAATGCAAGCCCCTGAGGGCGTAGCAGACTATGACATAGGCTGTGCTGTGTCTCATGGGTGAGAAGGCACATGCAGGCCCCATCCCTGGCGCACTTACCTCCCGTAACCCAGCAGCAGTGCCTGCCCACTCCTGTGCTGGCCGCGCTGGCCTAGTGGGCACCCAGGGACAAGTGCGGCGGCACTGACCTTACTGATGTCCTCCCTGGCCGCACTCAGTGCGGAGGGCCCGAGGGTCACCTCCGTGAAGACGTTGGACTCGGCCACCCACCAGCGAAGAATGTCCGCCCCAAAGGGAGGCTCTGCACTCTCATCCTGCATGCAGGGAAATGGTCAGAGGCCTCTGGGCAGCTCACAGGGAAAGGCCAGAGCCACACCAGTGCCACCGCCATGACACAGGACACTGGGGTCACAGCACCACTGCACAGGCCTGGAGCGGTCCCCTCCGGGGCCACGGGGTGGTGTGGGGACAGCTCCACCCGCCCTTCCTCTGGCCCAGCACCTACATGCAGAGAAGCACAGGAAGGGGACAGCACACAGTCTGAGCAAGAGACAGGTGCAGCAATGCCAGGCCCCCAGGTGACCAGCGGACACAGGATTCCTGAGACTCAGTGCTACAATGTATGCAGCCCAACCTGGGGCCCGCCTGACAATGCCCATAGCCCTGAGCATGAGCACCCAGCGGGCTCAGACACCCCGAGTACAGCCTGGGATGGACCCAGGGCTGGGACAGCTCTGTCTTTTCTCATTAGAACCGCACAAGGTGGAGAACTCAGAAGAGCGTGCTCATCTCTGCGTGCAACGGGGAGGCGCTCACTGCGTTGCCCACGCTGCCTGGAGCTGGCAGCTCCAGCATCCTGCCCCAGCCCCCCAAGGAGCTGGCAGCTCCAGCGCCCTGCCCCAGCCCCCCGAGGAGCTGGCAGCTCCAGCGTCCTGCCCCAGCATCCCGAAGAGCTGGCAGCTCCAGCATCCTGCCCCAGCCCCCCGAAGAGCTGGCAGCTCCAGCGCCCTGCCCAGCCCCCCGAGGAGATGGCAGCTCCAGCGTCCTGCCCCAGCCCCCGAGGAGATGGCAGCTCCAGCGTCCTGCCCCAGCCCCCCGAGGAGCTGGCAGCTCCAGCGTCCTGCCCCAGCCCCCGAGATGGCAGCTCCAGCGTCCTGCCCCAGCACCCCGAGGAGATGGCAGCTCCAGCGTCCTGCCCCAGCCCCCCGAGGAGCTGGTAGCTCCAGCGCCCTGCCCAGCCCCCCGAGGAGATGGCAGCTCCAGCGTCCTGCCCCAGCCCCCGAGGAGATGGCAGCTCCAGCGTCCTGCCCCAGCCCCCCGAGGAGCTGGCAGCTCCAGCGTCCTGCCCCAGCCCCCCGAGGAGATGGCAGCTCCAGCGTCCTGCCCCAGCCCCCGAGATGGCAGCTCCAGCGTCCTGCCCCAGCACCCCGAGGAGATGGCAGCTCCAGCATCCTGCCCCAGCCCCCCGAGGCGATGGCAGCTCCAGCGTCCTGCCCCAGCCCCCCGAGGAGCTGGCAGCTCCAGCGTCCTGCCCCAGCCCCCCGAGGAGCTGGCAGCTCCAGCGTCCTGCCCCAGCCCCCCGAGGAGCTGGCAGCTCCAGCGTCCTGCCCCAGCCCCCCGAGGAGCTGGCAGCTCCAGCGTCCTGCCCCAGCCCCCGAGATGGCAGCTCCAGCATCCTGCCCCAGCACCCCGAGGAGATGGCAGCTCCAGCGTCCTGCCCCAGCCCCCCGAGGAGCTGGTAGCTCCAGCGTCCTGCCCCAGCCCCCCGAGGAGCTGGCAGCTCCAGCGTCCTGCTCCAGCCCCCGAAGAGCTGGCAGTGGAGGTGGTGCTGTTGAGTCACGCGCATCTCCCATGAGCGTGACAGACGAGCTCTGTGTGTGCTCCTATTTTTACACCGAAGTGACCTTATGAAGAGTCTGGGCTGCCAAGGTGGGAACCTTAAGGAAGCTAACATCGACCTTAGAGCAGCGCCTACCTGTCCCCCATGGATGACCACATCGGGATCGATGACGTTACCCAGAGACTTGGACATCTTCTCTCCCTTTTCTCCAAGCGTGAAGCCATGCACCAGCACCGCCCTGGAGAGACAGCACAGCCCTGACACACAGACACTGGCCTCTTGGCAGACACCACAGCCCCAAGGACCCCTCAGCCGGCTGTGGGGAGGCTGCTCCTCAGAGCCGTGTGCTGGCCACCATCTCCCCACCGCCTGCAGTTCTGATTGCTCTGCTCTGCAGTCAGGGTGTGGATGTGGGACACACCGGACTGTGAGCGGGACCAGTGTGCTCCCGTCCTCACTGCTGAATCCACCCCAGAGACAGCATCCCCCCAAGTCACCCAGGTTCAAAGGGCTGGAGAAACATGTGCCGCTGCCCTGCTTAAATGTTACCTAAGCAACAGACACTCAGCTGGGTGTGACAGAACACACCTGCACAACCCAGCACTCTAGGAGGCTGAGGCAGGAGACCTCAAATTTGAGCTCATCCTGGGAAACATTAGCAACTTAGTGAGACTGTCTCAAAACAAGAATTTTTGAAAGGCTGAGTGTGGAGCTCAGTGTGAAGGCCCGGGGCTCAATCCTTAGAACTGCTCCAAAAAACAAAAAGCAAAAACCCCACATTGTGCTCTGGAAAGATTAGCTATTTCAAGACCTAAACGAAGCTCTGCCTGCCGATCTGAATAAGGGAAGCACTTGTGTGTGCCCCGGTGCAGTCCCATCCTGTCCCTCCATCAGTGCTCCCCGCGCGCCTGCCATCTGCTCGAGGGGCTGCGGCTGGCCTGGTCCGCAGCGTGCTTCTCCGGGGCTCAGTCTGTAGTGACGGATGCCACTGTGCCACCTGCTCTGTATTTCCTGCAATTCTCACTTCTCTACTGGGACAGGAGACAGAGCGCCTGTCCACACTGTGTGAGCACGTGTGCATGCATACCTGTGTACGTGTGTGTGCACCAATGCATCTCTGCATAAAGGGCGGTGCCGCACGGGCTGCACGGGCCAGCAGACGTCCAGCCTCTTCTGGCCCAACAGACCAAGGCAGCCTCCTTTCTCTTGGAAACCACCTAACCGAGGTAGCTCCAGGCCAAGTAAGGAGGGTGCTGGGCAGTGCTGTTCTGTCAGCCAGCTGCACACACACCACCAACAGCACTTCCAGCCAGTGCCCGGGCAGAGCTGTGAGTCCTGGGGCAGCCCACCGCCCCAAGAGCAGCAGGCTGTGTGAAAAGCAGCTTCCTTTTCAGAACAAGAAACTTATCACGTGCAGTACGACAGTGGCTCTGTGCACTCACTTGAATGGGGCCTTCTTCCTGGCCGCGATGCTCGTCAGCAGGGACGACTGGAACCAGCCGCCCAGCTGGTCCTTGCCTTCCAGGTACAGATCCGCCCTGGAGTCGGGGCCTCGAGAGAACATGAAAGACAAACACGGCGTCAGCCCGGACTATCCGCTGTGCACGCGCTCAGAGTGTCACCTGGACAGGTCGCATGGGTTTCATGTGTCCCGCTGCTGCCCACGGCCCAACAGCCTCTGCCAGGGCTATTGCTACAGCCTGTGTCACACAGCTACCTGGGGCTGCTTCAGAATCTGCAGGGACATCTGTTGTGAATAAACGACGGCTTTGTGAATTCAACAAATGTCCACGGGCCACAAGCCATGCGCCAGCCACCTCACAGGCTGGGCCGAGGGGCAGTCTTTCCTGCCGTGCGGAGCGGTGGGAGGCAGCTGAGCTCCCTGGCTGCAGGAGCGCTGCCGACTACACAGAGCGCAGGCGCCTGGACTCAGGCTATGCTCTTCGCCAGGCAGCTGGCCAACCTGAGTGGGCCTGTCTCCATTATTTAAAAGAAAAGGGCATGCAGAGATCAAATGATTGACTCTAATGTCACGATGACTCAGCCAAAAATGGACCAACTAAAACTCTGTGACCCAGGCATGGGGGGTCTCGCTACACTCTCAGTGCTCAGAGGCCGAGGCAGAGGGATCAGGACAGCCTGGGCAACGAGGCAAGACACTGTCTCAAACTTCTTTTAAAAAAGCAGTGCTTCCATCTTGCTTCCTGAATAGACCTTTAAACGAAAAGAAGAATCCACAACTTCATGTGTGACCCAGCTGTTACGTCTGCGATTCAATTCTACTTTACACAGCACCTGTAGCTCTTAACACAGCTCTACAGACTCATAAACTGCTCTAAGGTCATCAGGAAACAATTTAACGAATAAACCAATCTTTAAAGCAAATTACCAATGAAGGGTAATCTATGATTTATTACTGAACTTGTTCAACCCAGGTAAACTGATGAATTCTAAGCTAGGTTTCCACACTTGACTAAGATATATTACAGGCTCGGCACAAGCAAATACGGTAGAGCTCTTCTGCTAAACCAGCGTATATCTGAAAATACATTAAGCCACAACCCCTAAAAATAATCAAATGCAATTACTAATTTTTTAAATTATGGTTTCTGATGTAACCTTTTAAAGTCAAGAAGTTATTTACAAGCCTGAGTTGTAAGTCTAATTTTCTTCAAAAAATGACCTCTTTCCTCTATTTCTTCTTTTTATAAAAACAAAAAAATCTGAAAGGAAGTAAGGTAAGTATTCTACATCATGGGGCTGCTGCTTGACTACCGGAAGTAAGCTGCAGCACACACAGGCCAAGAAGCTGTACTCAGGAGGGGACACTTGTGGAGTGTCCTACAGTTGGCCTGCAAGGCGGGGTCCCCAGGGGCTGAGGGAGAGGGAGAGGAGGCCTGGGCAGCATCACGGCCCGCTTAGCACTGCACCGAGGAGTCCCAGCACCCGGGGCTGCACCAGAAGGGGACCCCTGCTGTCAACCAGGCCGGGGCTGACATGCTGTCCCTGCAGAGCTGGCGACTGTGACACAGGAGTGCTGGCGGTGGGGAGGCCACACGTCCTCCTTTGCATCACTGTCTGTATGAAACCCGCTGCATTTCTCACTGCACTTCATGCGGATACCTTGCTGCCCACAGAGTGACCCGCCTCGTGTGCCCTTCCCCTCAGAGGTTCATCTCCAAACAGCTCGGGGTGGGTGCAATCTGAATGGGCAACAGAACAGGAACTGGGCCCTGACGTCAGTATGCGTGAGCCCCACCTGCTTCCCTGCTCTAACGCTGTCTGCAGCAAGGGAAACTGTCAGCCAAACCCTTCTGGCCCGACATCAGCCACAGGAGCTCAAGTGCACCAGGGCCACTGCCCTCAGGAGGCACCAGCAGGACATGGTCAGGCAGGTAGACTCCAAGAAACGCAGCATGCAACGGGGATGCCCAAAATGACTGTGCAGGCCACAGTGACAACCAGGGCATGGGTGCAGCTCCATAGCCTCTCCTAGCATGGGTGTGGCCCAGAGCCCATCCTCAGCACCCCAGAAAGTGTTAACAGTCCCACAGAACAGCTGGAGCAGCGAGGCCTACTGCACTGTCACGCACATGGTAGCTGCACCCGAGGACACACAGAAAAAAGGCCAAGTGCAGGACAGCCGCTCCCACTCTGAGGCACACTGTGCTTGGCCTGTGAGGCCAGGTGCTCACTGGCAGTCCCTGCAGAGGAGCTGTTTCCCACCACCTCTCCCTCAGGCACAGCTGGCACCCACAGGAGCATGGGAGCATGTATGGCACCCTTGCCCCCGAATCCCACTCTGCAGGGAGACCCCCAGGCTGTGACTGCATCTCTGCTGGCCACCTCTGCCTCTCCCTTCCAGCTCTGCACAGGGCTGTCCTTCCTCTGCAGCCGAGGTCCAGAGTTCGTTTGGCCCGGCATACTTGCTGTGCCAGGTGACTGCAACCCACCTCGGCTCACATTGAGCTGCTTCCCTGCTCCACAAAACAATGGGGCAGAATCTCTCTGTGCCTCTCACGCTTTGCTTTAGGAAACCGTGCCATGGGGCTGCCAGGGGGCTGAGAAGAACAGACAGCAAGACAGGTGGCGAATTCCCCTCTGCTCAGCTCAGTACTGTGGCTCTACCTAAAATTCACCTTGAAAGACAGGTTTGGCAGATTTTTTTCTTTTTCTTTTTTATCGGTACCGAGGATCGAACTCACGACCGCCTGCTTGCAAGGCAGGTGCTTATGCCGCTGAGCTAAATCCCCAGCCCCTGAAAGACAGGTTTGGAAAACACTGTGTTAAATGACCTCCCAGGAACTTTCCGTCTAAAATGATGGCAGGCGAGCTTCTTCCAAATACATCACACATTTTTCTCTTTGCTTACAGCACTCTTCTAGGTAACACTCTGTTTTCTGCAAATGATCAGTTTTGGGAGTCACCTGGAAGAACAGAAGCCCATGAGGTTCCGCTGTCAAACCAGATGTCCAGGATGTCCTGGCCGGGCAGGTACTCCAAGCCATCAGGGCCGCCAACCTAGGGATGGGGAGAAGCACCTGGCTTATCTGAGCTCATGCACACATGAGAGCACCCCAAAGTCTGGAGGCCGTGAAGCACGAGCACTAAACTGTGCTCCTCAACACAACTTGGAGCCCCCTGAGGTGGGCACTGCCAGCACAGCACCTCATCCACACACTCAACCGGAAGGGCCGGTCAGGGAGTACACTGTCAGGTGCCAACAGTTCACCCACACATCCCACATGGTCCTGACCGCCATGCTAGGGACAGTCCTGTCTCGGTCAGGAGCCAGTTCCGGTCCAGCCTGCCCCGGGGAGATGACACATGATGCTAACACTGCTGTTAATAACCTGCTGCTGCCACTGAGCAAAACGTGAGCCAAGGCTGCGTGGGCTTCTGGCCCACACTGGGCCAGCCACTAACACACACATCATACCAGCAGAAGCTCCCGCCACCCGGCCACTGGCTGGCACACAGGGCCGTCGCACACCCGCACAACACACCTGGGACAGGACCTCCTGCGGGAGCAGCTGCTCGGGGGGCAGCGTCCACCAGACGTCACTGCCGTGCTGCTCCACCAGCCTGGCGACATGCTCCACGGTCTGGCTGCGAAGGAAAGGCCAATTACTCGCCTCAGTCGTGAGGGATGCAAGCAGCATGACAGGGGGCCACACTCTCGCTGTCCCCTGCCCTCACCTCAGCCGCAGCCACAGCGGCTGCCGTCAGGAGCAGGCACTGATCCAGCGCGCATCTCACCTCTGAGGGAAGGCGCTGGGGTGCAGCTCATGCCAGGGCCCGGGTTCCCCCAGAACAAAAACTATCAAATACAGGAAGAGAAAAGAAACTGCTTCTCCTCCTCATCTCCTCCATCCATTGCTCTATGTTCTGCCCAGGTACGGTACCCGAAACCTCCTAATCTTACCATCCCTCTCCAGTGTCTCCCAGTTCTACCATCCCATTCCATCCCTTCTACCCTGCAATCTGTCCCTGTCCCCGTTGACACTGCAGCGTTCCCATCTGACTGCCTCCCTCCGCGCGAAGGGTACAGGGGTCTGACTCCCCAACTCCTCTCTGTAATTTACACGGCACCCCTGAGAGACACGGTCCTAAAACAGTTTTGCACAGGATTCTGTGCTCAAAAACAAGGCAGCCAGGTTTGGTGGTGCCCACCTACAACTCTAGCACTCGAGAGGCAGAGGCAGGAAGACTGCGAATTCCAGGTCAGCCCGGGCTACTTAACAAGACGCTGTCTCGGAACTATTTTAAAGAGAAAGAGAGGGTCCTCTGGAGCTCGCTCACTGCTTACAGGACCGGGTTCAAACCCGTGTGCCACCAGCAAGGCCATGCAGGGGTATGGGCTCAGACCGTGCCAGGGGCACAGCCATGCCTAAGCGTACAGCTGCTGGAGACATGGCTGGCCCTCTGGCAGGGACTCCAGATTCCTGGTTCAAACCGAACGGCGCTCCTCCAGCACCTAGCCCCAGTTCTAGGCCCGGGATGAACCACAGCTGAGACTCCTGCTCTGAGGGAACTTGCATGAGTGCCCACCACACACCCCAGAGTGACAGGGGACGCACACAGCTCAGTGCCTAACACAGCTGCACAATGCCAGGTGTCATGGCAGCCTGAGACCAAAGTGGACACCAGGTTTGGCTTTGGAAATATGCACAGTGGCCACACAGCCATCTGAAAAGTCAACTCTGGGAAGAACTGACACTGGCCAGGCCTGATCAAAGAGATACACGCTTCCCCTTTTGCACAACAGGAAACAGTAGCTTGCCCTGGTAAATGAGTAAAGGCAATAAACAAATCCAACAGTAGGCTGGCCTGGACCCTGGAACTGCCTGACATTCGCTCCGTGTACCCACCCGCACCAAACTGTCCATGCAGCTTTGAATTAGGGCATTCCATCCAGATCCTTTGGGACCCTTTGAAATCCAACTCCAAATCCTGAAACCCTGTATCCCCTCAGTCCTCCCTTCGGATGTTTGCTGATGCCATTCCAGTGTCAGCCCTCCTGGAGGCGGACAGAATAAATCTGACCTTGCCCACACCGATGCAGCAATCCTGATGTTTCTAGCCACAAAGACATGTCTAGTGGGCAATGGCTCAGAATCGCTACTTCCACAGACTTTGCCTCAAGCCCCAAGTGCGCTGCCCTCAAGGGAGAGCCGAGCCACACAGCCCTGGCTGCTTAGAGCCACTGCACCAGCCAGGTCCTGGCCTCTCTGTGCCTTAATCTCTTGGTCTGCAGAATGCAAGTAACAGCCAAGTCACTAGGAAGCTTTGAACAGTGATGAGTGCGCACACACACAGCAAGCATCCATCTATAACACGGGGCGGTCAGGCAATGGGTAGGCAAGCTGCACTTGCAACCATAAAACATGCTATCAAAATGTACACTGTTTGTATACTTAAAGGTTGAAATAATACACCCAGGTCACGTCTGAAATATCATCACCTGTACCCTACTCCACAGCCCAAATTACCAAGACCTGGCGGCAGGCAGGCGCCAGGAAGAGTGGTGGGTCCCAGTCAGCATCTGGGCCTCGCTAACCGTGACCGTGCAGGGCAGACCACTGGGCCACTCTGGCTCTGATCGTGCAAAGATGCGGGCAGTGCTGACTACAACCCTGCAGGAAGCAAACTTCAAACAGGTGCACTGAATGCCCTCTACAAACTGAAATGTCTTAAAAAGGACAGCACTGTGTTTCAGTTCTGTAAAGGACAGCGTGAAACGCTGTAACAATACCCACCAAGTATGGTGAAACACTACAGACAGTAAGAATATGAACTATGACAGAAACAGGCTGACTTTTTAGATGGCTTTTTGGGTTTTTTTGGTTCAGGCTGGTCTTGACTCACATGTAGCCCAGGCTGGCCTCCAACTCTCAATGACCCTCCAGCCGAAGCCTCTTGGGTCACTGGGATGACAGGTGTGAGCCACCACACCCAACTTAGATGGACTTTTAACAGTAAACTTCAGTATAAAGAGACCATAAAATTTTCATGCAATAACTACTTAATTGTATGATGATAATATCTAGTCACACATTATTATTTTATGTAGCTGGCACAGAACATTTTATTAGTTAAAAAAATATGAATAGCCTGTAATTAAAAAACCTGAATACATCTAGCATCTGAAAAACTGAAGAAAGAAACAGTAGGAAAGTACACTGCACACACACATAAATTAGCGCAGATATGCTCTTCAAACCAGTTAGGAAATTTTCATCAAAAAAGCAGGACTCTAAAATGTGTGTCACTTCGCCTTCTGTATACAGCAAATCTAAGCTGCATACAGGGTATTGAGAAAAAGACACAAATAAGCTGTAAGTGCTCACATTCCATGCTAACTCACAAGCTGGGCAGAGCATCAGAACACGGCCACTATTCAGAATCCAGCACGCACCACATGCTCTCCCTGAGGCAATTCACTAGCACCCCAGCTGGTCACAGAAACCCTGCACTGGGGACCCTTCCACCAGGTGCCCCAGGGAACAGTCAGAAATGGTCCTGGAGTGTTGTCCCCAAGCATGGCTGGGCGGCATCTCTGCTATCTCTGCCTCCCCCGCCCCCCACCCCATAGGGTGTGCCAGGTCACGGGACCCACCACTGATCCCTGGTGCAAAGGGCTCTACCAACCCATGCCTGACCAGTACTGTGTGGCGGGGACCAAGCAGGGCGACTGGGGTGTCGCAGATTAGCAGGTGGTCAGAGCGCGCTGGGTCCAAAGGTAGAAGTCACCCTGGGACTTCCCGCAGGAACACGGGAATAAAGCAGCTGGCTTCTCTGAGCTTCGGCTGCTGCAACACTGGGAAAGCTGTAATCAGAGAGACTGTGGAAATCGGGCCCTGACAACTAAGCAAATGTGCACCAGGGTGGGCAGTACACGTCTGCAAGCCCAGTATCAGGATGAAAGTCAGCCTGGACAACACATAGACCCTTTCTTAAAACAAACACCTAAAAGAAAGAAAAAGAATAAGAAGTAAGTAACCTAAGCTGTATGGAGGAACATTTCCCCAGTCATTTCAGAATGCAGATTCAACTGTAATGAAGCCAGGCTTTTTCATATCCTTAAAACATCAGGTAAATCAATGACATTTTAAAGTTGTATTTTAAGTATTACTTAATTATACTGAAATCTGTACTAACTGTATGAAAGTACCAAAGGAAGATTCCAATTTTGCTCTTGGCATGTTATTGAAGCAACTTCAAAGTCCTATCAAATTCATAAAACATATCTAAAATTTGTTTTAATCACATTTTCTTATAAAGATAAATTCACTTATATATGTAATGTTTTCTTCCAGAAAGAAATGGCACCTTCCTTCTTGCTTTTTTTTTTTTTTGAGTGTTAGGGATTCAACCTAGAGCCTCATGAATATTAGACAAGTAATCTACCAATGAGCTAGAATCCGAGCCCTCTGAAAACTTTTGGGGCCCTTCTATCCTATTTTCAGACAGGATCTCACTGCCCTGCTCAGCTCAACCTTGCAAACTCTCTGCCTCTTGCTCTCAGGTGTCTGGGACTACAGGCATGCACAATCACGCCTGGCTCAAACACATTTAATCTGCCAACTCGGGGTGCTTGTGCACAGTACCTCTCCCATGTCACTGTGTTCCTCTACAAACTGCTACGTAAGATGCTTACATGCATCTATGCAAGACACGTGAGTCCTTGTACTTCTTACCACGCTAACAAGCAATTTCTTAGACAAGGAAACAGCTCGTGCTTTGCCTGTGTGTGTGCCCACTCCAGTGTGAACCTGGGGCCTCACGCTGTCTCCTGCTTGCAGCCTAGCCCGGGCTTCCCAAGCACTTCTCTGTGATACTAAATGCTATCCAGGGGGACAAAAACCAAAGAGCAGTCACAATTTAAACTGGTGGTTGGAAAGTAAGGATTCTCCTGTATTCCGCGAGGGCCATCCCACCCATATACACACAGTTAACTTGTAGCTGCAAGGTGGCTCCAGTGGCTGTGGACGAAGGTGGCGAAACCACCTATCACTGCCTGACCCACCTGCCTCCTCCCAAGGCTGCGCTTCCTTTCACAAAGCAATTAAGGGGCCATAAAGCTCTGCCCTTTACTCAGGGCTCCCAGCGAGCCAGTGTACACAGTTCTGGCCCTCCCGAACTGGAGGCCAAGACACCGCCCATCACCCCAGACTCCATTCCAAGCTGCACCCCGGGCTTATTTAGGGCAAATCGAAAATCCCAACCCCAGAGCACCAGCTGGTAAGGAAGCAGCCGCTGTCACTGTGAGGTGCCAGCTCTTCAATGAGGCAAAAGTATTCAGGACACAGACAATTCTCTAGTGCAAGTTACCAGAGTAAGAACAAGGTAAAAAAATAAATGTTAACTATTATTTTTTACTAAATGTAATTTAAGAACAAAAATGAATTTGCAAATGAGAATTTACATATACACATTATATATGTGGGTATATGTATGTGTGTGTATATGTATATATTTTTGTTTTGGGTACTGGGGATCGAAATCGTGACCTCACACTTGCCAGGCAAGCGCTTCTGCCACTGAGCTAAATCCCTGGCTGAGAATTATATTTTTGGATTTTTTTTTTTGCACTGGGGATTGAACTCATGACCTTGCAATTGCCAAGCAGGCCCTGTGCCACTGAGCTATTTCCCTGGCTGAGAATTATATTTTTAACTTAATCCTACACTGATGTTTTGCAGGTGATAGGAGCAGGAACAATTTAAAAGAAAAATGTATTGAATGAACAAACTTTTCACAAAAACATTACTATTATTTACATAAGCAAAAATTTAAAACAGCTAAAGTCAGCACTCAAATTAAACTGGAGATTTCTTACCAGTGATAACTAAATTCCTCATAATTTTCAGAGGTCAAGGTATACCTTTTTTTTGTCTTTTTGAGACAGGATCTCACTATGCAGTTTAGGCTGGCCTTAAGCTCACTTGGTAACCCAGGTTGGTCTAAAACTCACAATGACCCTCCTGCCTCAGCCTCCAAAGTACTGGGATTATAAGGTATACATTTCTTAATGCAAATGTTAACAATTGCCCTACTACTTTTAAACTGATTATATGGACCTCTAATCAACAACTTCTTTTCCTTGCTAGGCTGCCAATGTTTCTAAAATTTTTTCTTTTCTATACTATAAATTATTTATTTGTTTCACTTAGCTTGAAATAGATTTTAACCTAAATTATAAAAGCATTATGTTACAGACTCAGAAAATGCCCAAAGATATTAAGTTCACAAACTGAATTACTTCCTGGGACAATACGGGGAAACTATTAATTCAAACCAGATTTAAACATCAGAGTGTAAATCCTGCACCCCTGCCAAGATGTTCCGCTGGGAAACACCCACTGAAAGGCAGCACAGTCAGAGACGGGGAGGTGGCGGGTGCAGGGTGGACGCCTGCCAGCACACAGGCCCAGCCCTGGGATGGACCCCATACCACATGAGCTTGCACACTCAGAAGAGCAGAGTTCCTGTGATGTGCCTCATGGCATCACCAGGTGTAACAGCCACTTCATGCGGACCATGCCCACATCCAGCAGAGATGATGGTACCTTTGGTACCCGACAACTTGCTGCCACGCCAGGACTGAGCACCAGGGAAATCGGGCCACTGGTGCTCATGTGATGAGAAGGAAAAAGAAGCCTGCGTCCGTCCCATAAAACTGACAAGTAAGAATGAGCATTGATACAAGAGCTGTGTCACAGAAATGATGCACTGTTACCGAGTGGGGTGCAGGAGTATGACCTACAAATTGACAGACGATGTGCCTGAGTCTGTCTGTCACTTCTGTAGGCCAACATCCTGTACTCCGCCTCAACCCCAGACACCAGATGAGTCACCAGAGGGAGTCGGGCGCAGGCGGGGCCTCAGATCCACGGGAGCACAGCATGGAAAGAAAGTTGCTGGCGCTGGGCCCCCTGCGGGTGGCTGCACCCAGTGCCTCTTTATTTCAGTCTCGGCCACGCAGGCATAAGCCTGCAGGCCAGGGCTGGGTGCGGGTGCTTAGCACATGCAGCTCCCACCTTGGTCCCCAGCACCAGACCCAGGCTGCTCTGCTCTTAATACTGAACATGGGGCAGGGCTGGGAGCACCCCAATCTCTTCTGGAAAATTCTCTAAACCCTTGCTCTCCACTGGAAAGGGGAAGGAAAACCAATGAGGGGGGTGAGTGCACGCACCAACTCCCCACTCCATGGATGAGACCACTGAGTCCTGCAAGCGTGCACTAAAAAAAATAAAAATCTGGAAAAGCCTCTCCAGTGTGAAGTTTTACATGACACTAAATTCATCCCATCATTTTAATTAACCACGGAATGAGTACAATGCAATTAAAGAAGTGCAGAGGTACTACTTACCATTTTACAGTTAACCAACATTAAGGAAAAACCAGCGCTTAGACCAAGAGTCCACAGCTAGCGACTGCCAATGCTGACGCAGCTGCGATGCCGGCCTCCACTTTTTTATTTTTTGGATACTGGAATCAGACTCAGGACCTCATGCTGTGCGCTAAGCTAAACCACAAACCCCTCTTCTCTCCTTCCTTTTGCAAAATACTCCTCCTCAGGCCTGCTTCAATCTGAAGCTTCCTTCCTTGCCTGAGGCTCCCTGCAGCCTACTGGGCCAGCCCCTCCCGAGCAGCCCTCCCAGCCCCACCCCTGCCCTGCCTTCCTGTGGGTCCCCGCTGCAGCCCACCAGTCTCCAGCCCAGCTGTTCCTCAGGCCCACCAGATACCACCCCCTTTCTAAAGGAGCCCATGAGCCTCTACTGTCCGCACCTCGGCCAGGAGTCAGACGTAAACCTGGCTGCAGTCACCCTGGCAGCAGACTAGAAAGAAGCCTCATACCAAGGGGATCAAGAACTGCCCAACCAACCAGAAAACCAGAGGAGAAAGCAGAGCAGGGTGTGCACTTGGGCCTACGGGCCGCACTGGGTTTGGTCCCCAGCACCATGTTAAAATAAAAATGAGCTGGTGCAGGGGTGTGCACCTGCAAGCCCAGCTACTCGGGAGGCTGAGGCAGGAAGATCTGGAGTTTGAGGACAGCCTGGAAAACTTAGTGAGTCTTGTTTCAAAAAATAGAAAGCATAGCTTACAGAATGTGTACTCAGAAGGCAGAAGGCCCTGGGTTTGATCCTTATCATCAAGGAAAGGAAACGAAGGAAAAGAAAGAAAAGAGTGGGCCCTGCCAGGCCTGCCCTGCCCTGTAGCTGGCACCTCGCACTTTAAGGAGGGTTCTCACGCCCCCTACTGGGGCCAAGCACTGCACTCAAGGCCAAGCCTACGCAAGGGTCACTCAGGGCTCAACACCACCCGCCAGCAACTTCGCCTTTCCTGATTCCACAGAAGGGGGAAGTTAAGCAAATCCCTTAAATTCACATGCAGCAAGTGGCAAGGCCTGGGTTCAAATTCAGCTGTCATCTTTCAAAGCTGATATCTCTTTTAGTGCCTGCTCTTTCGAAAAGAGCCCAAGATGCAAGGCATGGTGGCCTGTGTCAGCAATCTGAGCACTGGGGAGGCTGAGGCAGGAGGATCACTGTAAGTCATATAGTCTGAGCTATGTAGTGAATCGTTTGGGGGTGGGGGAGAAGGGCAGGGTACTGAGAATCAAACTCAGGGCCTCATACCTGCCAGGTAGTTGCTGTGCCACTGAGCTACATTCCCAAGCCCCACATAACCAGCCTGGGCTACAGAATAAGAAGGTGTCTAAAAAAAAAGACATAAAGTGAAAAACAGATGCAGAGCAGCGTGTGTAGGTCATCCCTTTGTGCAACTGTGTGCGTGCAGACAGAGGAACCCACCTTCGGGGACATTCAGAGGGCTGGTGAACAGGCATCACAATGATTGTTTTGTTTGAGGCAGTAAACATCTCCACTCTCCCTGTGGAAGCTTTTTCACTCTACTGTTGCTTACACCTCCATCTGCCATTTTTCCAAATTACAAAAATAAGGATAAAACAAGAAATAACTGAGAACGTAATAACCAATGCACTCATGTGCATTTGGCGACCTTACAGTTTCTTTTTTTTTTCCTTTTTATTTTGAGGCAGCAGCTTGTTATGTACTGCAGGCTGGCCGTGAACTCACTATGTACCTCAGGCTGGCCTCAAACTTGCAGCAATCCTCCTGCCTTAACCTCCAAAGTGCCAGGGTACAGGCCAGTGTCACCATGCCCACCTTAGTTTGTTCTTTTTGGTACCAGGAATCAAACTTGCTACCTCACTTGGGCCCAGTGTGAGACACTTGCCAGGCAGGTGCTTACGCCGCTCGGCTAAAGACCTTAGACTCTTAAACGTAAAAGTATCTAAACAATCAGAGTCATTCCCAACAGAACGGGAGTGGACGCACGCCAAGGGAGTGGCTCTGATTTCCCACAGGAAACCCCACCAGCTTCCCCCCCACACACACTGCTCAGCTGGGACCCTCACGCTTTAAAACTGGCATCACACGTTCCCTGGAAACAGCCAGAGCCTTGCTCCTTCCTAGACATCAGCATAGAAACACCTACTTCTCATTAATACTGTGACCACATCAAAGCTTTGAAGTTTCCATGTCAGCCCTTGAAAAACCTTGCTATATTAGGATAGTCTGAGCAGCAGGCATAAATCAACTCCCCTTGGCCCAAATCATTTTCCATTTTTAAGAATACACTACCCGATTCGAACAGTGAAAGAGAAGCGCTTGCCTGTTGATCAGGCACTCGTCCTTGGTCCTGTGAAGGAACACGGGGATGGGAACGCCCCACGCCCTCTGTCGAGAGATGCACCAGTATGGCCGCCGCTCCAGCATGTCAACCATGGCATTCAGAGCCGACCCAGGAATAAACTTCACCGTCTTCAACACTTCCTGCACGGGAGGCAAACCAGCCAGTGAGAGAAAGTGAAGGGAAGGTTCTAGAGCAGCCTTTCTCCCCAAAGACCAGTGTGGTAGCCTGTGCCTGCAGTGCCAACTTCCTGGGCCGTCGGAGGCTGAGAAGGAACCTCACTTGGGCCAGTGTGAGACCAGCATGGACAACCGGCCAGACCCTGCCTCAACCAGACAGGAAGAGCACGTGGGTGTGGCCCATGCCACACACACGCACACATTTCCACGTCACCCACGGCACTGGTGCACCAGTCCTACCCCCATTTGCTAACTCAGAGCAGCACCGCTGAAGAGGATTCCATACTGGGTCTGAAGGAAAGCATCACAAAGCACTCGGGCAGTGCTCTGCAGTCTTCTGCTCACCCCCGTCACCTACTCAGGCATCACCCTTGGCAAACGAGGGGTCACAGAGCCGAAGCTCACAGAGGGACGGCAGCCTGGGGCCTGGGTTCTGCCCTAACTCTCCACTACTCTGCTGGACAGGACACCTGGGGATGAGGAAGCCTCGTCCTCCACACGTGGATGAGGGCTGAAGCCCAAGAGCCTCTAAGATCTGAACCAGCACAAGCTCAGGAAACAGCGCCAAGCCTGCTGACCCCTCTGGCCCCTCCGCAAGACCCGGCAGCACGCCTTTCACACCTTGGCCGTGGGCTTGATGTCCGAGATCTTCACAAACCACTGCTTGCTGGCACGAATGATAATGGGCTTCTTGGTCCTCCAGTCATAGGGATAGCTGTGGATCAGTTTTTCCTCTTTCAACAGACTCTTCGCATGCTGCAGCATCTTTATAACTACCAAAACGTTTTATGTCAGTCACAGAAAGTATCATGAAAACCAGGTTCCATGGTGCACATTTGTAATCCCAGCTACACAGCAGACTGAGGCAGGAGGACTGGAAAGGAAATGTAGCAAGGCCCCATCTTTAAAAAAAGGCACTGTGAAAATCCTACAAATTACACTTGGGCAATAGGGGCCAGCAGGAGGAGCCACATTCCTCAGGGACCACAGCCTGCAGGCCTCCTGGCAAAGCAGAGCTGGGACCGTACATCTTAGCACACTCTGAGATGCCACTTATTTCAACAGGCTGGACAGGAGCGCTGGCCGGAAGACACAGAACTCCAGACCTGGAATTCAGACTTACAGTCTTCACAGCAGGACCTGGAAATGTTCTTCAGGAACTCAGGGGCAACCAGGTACAGGGCTGAGTTGTGTCCCCGAACATCCTGACCCCTGTAGTGTGTGCGGAGAGCAGTTCCAGGCATCTGGTCTCCATACGCATGAAAAAAGTCAGAGATGATCAAGACTGGAGGCCCACAAGGGACTGATCCACACACGGTCTGCAAGGGCCGGATCTCTGCACATCACACAGGCAGTGGGGGACACAAGCACCATCCAGGCCCAAACCAGAGCTCACCTTTGTTAAAATAGCACCCGCCCTGCTGCCTGTCCTGATGTGCTGCTCTGAACAAAAGATGGAACCCCAGACTCCACTTTAAACCACGCGGCCAAACAAAACAATCAGAGCTTCTGTTCTGCTTGAAAACATAAGGGTGTGCTGGGCACACCTGTATCACCAGCACTGGGGAGGCTGAGGCAGGAGGATCATAACTCTGAGCCCAGTCTGGACAACCTGGTCACTGACCGAGCCATGAGACCTCTCTAAACAAAATAAAAAGGTGTGAGGATGGAGTGGGGGGAAGAGGGGGCAAGGCTGCTGCCCGCTGCTTTTCAGACAACGCACTCAGCTCTTGGTGCGCGAGACTCACCCATGTCTGTCCCCTCTTCCAGCACAGCCTTGCCCTCGAGCTCAGGACCTGCGGCAGCCGTGAAAGTCCCTCCTTCGTCCACCGAGCAATCCTAGAAAGTTATGCAGACAATGAAGATAAAGGGGCAAGACAGCCCATCGGACACCACCTCAGGCAGGGGTGTGTGCACTAACACCTTGGCACAGGCTCCTGCCTGCACCGACAGTGTGGGGCTTCTCATTCAGGCCCTGTGAAACCAGCCACCCAGCTCACCGTCAGAGGCAAAACGTACTTCACAGTGTGTGCCTAAGGCTTACTAACAGAAAGTAACCAAATACGCTGCAGGTCTTTATGTGGTCTCTATTTATAGTCAGGGTAACGCACAAGCAGTACACCATGAAACTCAAATTTTAACCAAGTGAAAAAATGTACTAAGTGATCAAAATTAAATAAAACAAAGTTAAAGGATTGTTTAGGTAAAAACAAAACAAAGCTGCTCTTTTCTATTGAGCCAGGCCTAATTGCCATTTTTGGGGGACTGAAAGTACCTTGTCTATATAACTTACTACTTGAAAAAAAGCACAGGTAAGCCAAGCTCTACAGGGGAAAGGTACCAGGTATCTGTTTAAACACTGGATTGCTATTTGAACAAATATTTGCTATAGATTCGGATTTATCCACAGCAACATACATTTCCAAAACAACAACAGCAGGCAGCAGGCAAGGCAGCGCACATCTGTTACCCCAGCACTAGGCACAAAGTGAAGTCCAGCTGGCCCTTTAGTGACTCAGTAAGACCCTCTCTCAAAATAGAGACAGACTGTACTCTCTCCTTCTTACTGGCCAAGTCTTATGATGCAAGAAGTATCTGTGGGGTTGAGGATTAGCTCAGCAGCATAAACACCTGCCTGGCAAGGGGGTGGTCGTGAGTTCGAGCCCTGGCACCAACAACAACAAAAAAAAAAAGTACTCTGTACTTCTTTAATAAATATAAAATCTCACTATGTTTAGATTAAAAAATAAGACAAATTTTACAATTTTTTAAAAAGAATAAAATACCCAGGCATGGTGGCACATGCCTATAATCCCAGCACTGGGGAAGCTGAGGCAGGAAGATTGCCATGAGTTTAAGACCAGCCCAGGCTACACAGTTCAAGGCCAACCTGTACTACATAGGAAGACCAGGTCTTGAAAAAGATAAATACAGAACATAAATAAAAATTTATAAAAGGGCCAGGGATGCAGTTCAGTGTGAAGGCCCTGGGTTCATCCCTGTCCTGCAAAGGAAGGAAGGAGAGAGAAACAGAGAAAAAGGGAAAAACATGGAGGCAGAGCTCAGAGAGGCTGCAGGTTCAGCCACAGCCCACACAGTAAACCAGCCATCACAGCACTGCAAGTCGCATGAATTCTCCAGTTGCCCAAAGCACATAAAAGTTATGCAGGCTCCTGAGTGTGCACAAGCTTTCCGTCCAAAAAGACAAAGCCTGTCCTTACCTTAAAAATAGCCTGGAGCTAACACTTTTATGTGCGGATGAAAAATGGCGCCAAGAGATTTGCGCAGCACACTTGCCACAAACCTGATGTGTGAGGAAGGCGTATCTACAGTCACAGGACAGGGGCACGGCCAAGTAAGGGAGGTGTGTGTTTAAAAAGGGCCCCCTGCAACCCGCACTCCACAGTGGGGTTCCCTGCTAACACTGAGAATTCTTGATTAGCATGAACCAGTGAACCTGCGGCCTCACACACACCTAAGCACCGCACAATTTCACTAGAAAGGCAAAGTCTTAACATCAAGTCATGGAAAGCTCAGAATTGGTCCCTTTCATCCTACGAGATTAACAAGGAAGACAGCAGTACCACGGGCAGGCTGTGCTGAGAGGCCACCCCGTAGTCCTCCATGCCGTGTGCTGGGGCCGTGTGTACCAGTCCTGTGCCCTTTGCCATGGTCACGTGAGTCGCAGGTAAGAGAGGTGACACTTTATCTGGAATTAACGGATGACTACAAGTGCCATCTTCCAAATCTACACCTGCAAAGAAGGAAAATCACTTTAAGAATGTTCTTATAGCTGGGCGTGCTGGTATAATCCCAGTAATTAGGAGGCTGAGACAGGAGAATCCCAAGGTAGAGGCAACCTGAGCTAAACAATAAGACCTGCCTCAGAATACCAAAAACAATGGGTGGTCCTGTATGATGGTTCTACCACTTTACGCTTATCAACGGAGCATCAGATTAAAAGTGCAGAACCTCAGAAAAGAGGTGAGGCTCGCCTTCTCCCCTGCACCATTCTCTGAGGGTTAGGGGTCCCTCAAAGGTAGATGACCACGGTTTCTAGTTCAGAGCGTGGCTGCGGGGACAGCATGCAGACTTAGCACAACACCTGGCCCACAGTAAATAACACTGCTAGCAGTTTCACCTGCTCCCTGCTGCTGCAACAGAGAGCAACGGTGCGTCTCTTAATTCATGCACTGCCATGTAAATTCTGGAATGTATGGACAGAAATGTCCAACCCCTTCGCTGCTCTGCCTTCTTAAGGGCAGGAAATGGTGAGTAACCATCGGCTGCTGAGCTTCCAGAAGCTCCGCACACGTCCTCACTTCGTGAACACTTAGCAGTGTCTGGGACCACATGACCTAAACTAATGAAACCTGAATTTTAAGGCAGGTCTGCTCCAGCTTTAATGGCCTGCACAATTCTAGTTCCCCCAATAACACTGTGCATCACACGTGTCATCGCCTCGGTTTCCTGTTCCACTACTGTTCCTCCCTTTGCTGTCTCGGGTTCCACAAACTAATCTTTCTACCACATGATCTGTAAGTAACTCCCAGACGGGGCAGAAGCACCGATCGATCGATTGGCTGATCCACCTGTGTCCTGAGTCTGCCTGCACTCACTGCTCAGAATCCCTGAAGCTCAGGCCCTGCCCACAAGGTGGTCTTCACTGCATACCACAGAATGTTACCACAGCATGTCTGCTTGTAAAATGTCATTCTCAGAGAACTGCTCCTCTGCCATGATAGGTCTCTCCACATTTAGTAATCATAGCTAGGTAACTCCTTCATGTCACCAAAAGAACAAAACATTCTTCTTAACTCTGATGTTTAACTTATTAACCTGTGGATAGTGGGCATGGTGGTGACTCCCTGTAATTCCAGCACTTGGGAGGCTGAGGCAGGAGGATCACAGCAAGTTTAAGTCCAACCTAACTACATAGTTCAAGACCAGTCTGAACAACAGGGCAAGACCCTATCTCAAAAAATTAAAAAATATTTAAAAAATAACCTGTTGCTAACTTTAGGCTGACACAGCACAATGGTATAAAAGGCTTGAGAAAAACCAAAAGATTCCTTTATGATTTTCATGAAGCTCCCTTTTCAGAAAAAAAAAAAAAAAAAGAACTCCCAGTGCTGTTCAGCTTAACTGGCTTGGCATTTTATTCCCAGTTATTTACAAACTTGAATACTTCTTGGTGTTTTCTTTCCCTAGATAAATCATAATGATATTAACGAAGAAAACTGTCAACAATAATATCCAGAGAAATCTGCTTTCACTTGCTTTTCTGCAAGTTTCACAAGTAAGACCAACTCCCTAACCTCATGCTCTGCTCTTTATGTATTTATGATACATAAAGATGTATCATAAATAAGTATGATAAAGTTGTAGGAAAAGCAAAGCAAATTTAATCTAGCTTTCCTCCATACCAACACTTTATACCAACACTTACTTTATCTACCCTCCAACATTCTCCCTCAAACGTCCCATCCCCCAAAATATTTCAAAGTAGTAAGAAATTAATTCATATCTTCTTGGAAAGAAAATACCACATACAAATGTTAGCTGTGTCATGCTTTCTAGCTAGATGTCCCCAAAGCCTCATGCACTCACAGGCAGGACTTTTAGAGGTGACTGGATCATAGGCTGAGGCAGGAGGATCACCACAAGTTCGATGCCAGCCTGGGCTACAAAGTTCAAGGCCAGTCTGAACTATAAGTAAGACCGTCTCAAAAAAATAAATAAATAAAATGAACATTACAAAGGTGTGATGGAGTAAAGATAACAAAGAACACCTGTTCCTATAACTTTCTGACAGTACCTAAACTAGGATCAGATGGGTTCCGACATCCGGCCTTTGCTATAAGAACTTTCGAGTCTGTGATGGTTGTTTCTGGTTCTAATTGGCTTGTATCTGAAAGAATGAGTTCGGAGTGCTTACCTAACTAGCTATGAAAATTCTGAGAGTAATACACAAAAATGTTTAACATGTAATCAACATAAAATCCATTCTAGAAAGGCAGAGATAGTATCTGTTTCGATCCATGATTATTGCTGTTCAATGAAGTAGTAAAATAAAAAAAATCAGTATTTTGATGACTGATGCTTTGAAAAACCTATAAATCTTCACCTGAAAATGTTGCTATAACCTCCAATGTCGTGTCCAAAGTAGAACCAAGAGGCGCTACTTTATCTGCGGCCACTATGTAGCGGTTTCCGGAAGTGGAACACTTCACAACAGCATACCTAACAGAGAACGTGGGCAGAAAATTACCAATTATGATGATAGAAGCAAAGTCAGAACTACATTTTAGTTTCAAATACTGTTTTAGAAAAACTAGATCAAGATCAAAAAGTAGATGCAGAGAAGAAAGAGGAAGTAAAAGGATGAAGACATGTTATATATATGGATTACCAACTCCCCAGGAGGAATGCCATCAGGATCTACTGTATGTAAGTACTACTAACGTTTTTTTGAAACCTTTGTTTCTGTTTTCTTTGCAGTACTAGGGACTGACCCCTATGCTTCATGAATGCTAGGCAAGCACTCTACCATGAGCTACATCCCCTAAAACATTTTTAAAAGATCAAAACATACTATTTCCAAAATGCACCATACTTTATCCTTTTGCTTCATTTTCCCCAAAAGCTGCAAATAAGGATTCTTGAAAAGGAATCATCAAAGTTTAACGAAGTCTACAGGAACACACTAACTTGGTCACAGTAAGCTATAATTCGCTAGACTCCAAGAGGATAAGGGTCACACCAATGAGGGACTGAACCTCATCTGCAGATAAACACGCCGTGGAACGGTGACCCTACTTGGACTGTGGTGAGTAGCACAGGGCCTGGTTGGCTGGGACCGTCCAGGGCTGCGTGGTCCACACCAGCACACTCGCGGCGGGGGAGCCGTCTGTGGGAAGAAGCGGCGGGACGTTGGCAAACGTGGCAATCCCACCCGGGCTAGGTCAGTGTGCTAGGGTCAGTGTGACACACACAACTCACCGAGCAGAGACGCCAGCTTCGGGGGAGGTGTCCGCAGGGGGAACTTCACATACACAGAACGACTGGTGTGCTCTGGGTTATACTCCAGTTCTGCTTCAGCCAAGGCAGTCCTGAGGGTTACAAGTATTAAACATGAGCTCATGCAAGCTTCACACATCTCTGCCCTGTAAGCACTAAGGAACACGCATATACCTTGATGAGGGAGACCAAAACACAGGTTTGTAAGACCGGTAAACCAAACCCTATAAGAGACAAAGACACTATATAAAAGCAGAAATGGCACACACACATCAACACACTGAAAAAAACATTATTACCTTATCATACATCTTGTAAAAAATCCTCAACTGTCTGGCCTCGTACTCGCCATCAAATGTGTAATAGCAGTTATTCCAATCTGCCATTATTCCCCAGCGGATAAACGCTGACTTCTGTTTCTCAATGGCTGCTTTAGCAAATGACCTGGCTAAAAAAGAGGACAGATGAGAAGCTTCCAAACTCACCGAATTCCAGTTCTCAAGTGTGGGTCAGCGTGCAGCGCTCTACCCATAGTTGTCACACAGCTGAGACTTTTTCCCTAACACTGGAAGAATAGGGGCGGCACTTAGCTACACCCTCTACTTTTTGTATTGAGACAGGGTCTCACTGAGCCACAGAGCAACCGAGTCTCCCACACACCAACCACAGGCCTGCGCACACGCTGGCAAGACCAGGAAAAATCTTAACAGATTACCTGAACATGTTCGCAAGATACCACAAATTCTAAAATGGATTGGAATTTCGAAGTTAAAATGTTATTACAGTCATCTGTGTTTTCCCGCTGAAAAATCATTCTCCATTATTTCTTTTTTAGGTTTTTGGTGCCAGTGACACAGGGCCTGACACATTAGGCAAGCACGCTACCCCTGAGTTACCTTTCCAGGCCTTCTCTATGACTTCTTTTTTGGTACCGGGGATCGAGCAACCTCGTGTTTGCCAGGCAAGCCCTCATGCCACTGAGCTAAATCCCCAGCCCTCTATGACTTCTTAATTTAAGGAAAGTCAGAGATTAATTCTCATTTCATTATATACCAAAAAAAATTCACCAACCAAATTGAGTCTAAATCAACAGCAGCGTGTTTCACAAGGAAGTAAAAGTGTCTTTCACAATTAGATGCTAACAACATAATAAAGGTTAACACTCAAGAAAGAAGATTCTTCTTTGGACAAATCTACAAAGAAAAGGGCCAAGTAGGAGATTAATTCAAAACATTGGCATTTTAGAATTTGGTCCCTGAAATGAGTCAACAAGCCCTATCCAGAAAACAACTATCTAAAACTGCAACTGAATAAAGCATGAACATTTAACAGGCTGACGAATTCAATGGAACATCTTTCCTCCTACTTCTACACCGAGTCAAATACACAAAAGCTGAGGATTCTGTGATGCAAAGCAGCTATCAACAGACCTCACTGTAAGCAAACCAGAAGGCCTCTTCGACACAGGTCTGGCTTTGCCAAGCAACCGAATTGTTTCCAGAAATAAAGATCACAGTGGGACATGGTAATGCCCACCTGCAATTCCAGTACTCAGGAGGCTGAGGCAGAAACATTACAGTGAGTTCTAGGCTAGCCTGGAACATGTAGCAGGACTCTTGTCTCAAAAGAACAAAACAACCAGAAACAGAGATTGCAAATACCATTTTAAGACAGAAACAGAGATTATTTACCTTTCTCTCTAATTTCCATAGGTGAAAGATTCTGAGCCTTTCCACCAAGTTCGGATAATACTTTTGACTCAATGGGCAGTCCATGACAATCCCAGCCTGGCACAAAGTGGATTTTGGAACCTCGCATCATATGGAATCGATTGGCTATGTCTTTCAAAATCTGCAAAGAGATATGATAATCTTTCAAATATGAAGCATGTGGCCCACAGTTTATGGCCTTCTCTTAATGTAGTAACATTCTTATGTAATACCAAGAAAGCCTAGTTTTAAAAGAACTTTGTAAAATAATTAAATATAGCAATTCATGTGCTATAACAGAAGTAACAGATACCCGAATTTTTAAAATTCCATCTAAAAAACTCCATCTAAAATAATCGACATGAGACTTCAAAGTGCAAAACATGCTCAGGATTACTAATGTGCTTATAATGCTGGAATACAGAAAAAAGTAGCCCATCCTATCTGTGATTAAAGAAATATTTTTGATCTTTAAAAACCAGAGTTCATGGAAGTTAACGAGGATTTTCCTTTACTCTCAGTTTATTATTACTGTTCATATTAGGCCATGAAATAGCACAGAACTCTGCAGAAAGCAGAGCACACACAGAGATGGGAGCGCAGGGCACTCTCAGAAGGGGGCACAACCCTGACTGAAGCCAAAGCTCCTGATGGGGACAGTTCTCATTTGGACACCAGAGGCCAGAACGCCAAGCTGCTGCAACAGCAGGGGGCCCCAGGAGAGGAAAGACAGGGCTCCAGCTCCCTCCGCCTCCTCCTTCCCAAGGGAGAGGTCCTGGAACCAGTAGTCCGAAAGCAGTCTCCTCCTTCCCCGGGTCAGAGGTAGGAAGGGTATCACACGGACCTCTTGCTCCTTGCCCTTCTCTGAACTGCAATTTCCAAGCCTCTTAGAAATGAACTAGAGGGGGCACGGGATGGGGTGGCACATGCCTAGAATCCCAGCCTCCGAAGACTGAGACAGGAGGAGCATCATGAGTTCAAGGCCACCCTGGGCTACGCAGTGTGTTCAAGATCAGACTAAACCACACAGCCAGACCCTACCTCAAAAAAACAGAAAGAAGTCCTTTCATACAGTGGTTGCAAGGCCCTGGGTTTGAACCCTAGAACCCCTCAAAAAAGAAAAAAAAAAAAGGCAGGGGGAAGAGAACAAAAAAGCCTTATATAAACATGATCTTAGAGGATATATTTAAAACAATTTTTCTCAGATTAAAATGTCTTGAGTATACATATCTAAAAAGTTCCAGAAACAAGCTGGCCGTGGTGGTGCACTCCTGCAATCCCAGCACTCAGGACACAGAGGCAGGAGGATCACTGTGAGCTCGAGGCTAGCCTCAACTACAGAGTGAAATCCTGTCTGAAAAAGACAAAAAAAAGCCCAAAAAACGTTCCAGAAACAGAAAAGCAAACTTTAAACAATTTAAAGTGGAGGGAAAGATCCAACGGCAATGATTGGTTTAATTTCCTTTCTTCTTTCTGTGCTGACGGCAATAATCGTAAAGAGAACACCAGGGAACACTTCTCTGAGTATACAGAGCTGGCGGGACGAGACCAGCCCAGGCCAGGCACTTCCCAGCCCTGACCCTGCAGAGCCGGGCAGCTTTTCCATGACAGTGTGCTCCCATCTGCAGAACCAAGTCCTTCCTCCTCTCTCCAAATTTCCTGATTCTTCACACTCATTTCTCTGACCATTTGACTGATTTACTTCCCAGATTCACTCTTTGGCTGTTAACTTCATATTTAACTTTGTATTTATCCTTGTGGTTTCTGACTAAAATTGGAATACGAGGACCTTGTTCAAAAATTAAAATTTACAAAAGTAAGGTACTGTTTTGTTTTTTTAATTTCCCTATATTGCCCCATTTACAAGGCCTGGGCTGAGGTATACATAGGGCAGGTTACTCTTCCTTTTTCTTTTTTTTTTCCGGTACTAGGGATCGAACTCACGACCCTGTGCTTACCAGGCAAGCCCGTGAGCCACGGAGCTAAATAAATCCCCAGCTGTCTTCCTCCTTTTTCTTTTTTTTTTTTTTTTTTAAGCCAGTCAAATTTAGCAGTGGGGGGGTGGTACCTCCTTTTTCTATATAGTCAGTGTAAGAACACTGCCTGTGGTAAGCACCAAGAGGCAGTAAATATTGTTTTTAATTTTAACAAAATTAATAACATGATTTTTCGCCATGCTAGGGATCAAACCCAGAGCCTTGCGCATGTAATGCAAGAACTCTCACCACTGAGTCACATCCAAACCCAGTGTAACATGGGTTTAACACTCCCTTTTCCACCTTACTTATCAGATATGGACATCTTTTATTTGGAGAACTAGTACATATATATCTAGCTCATTCCTTTTAAGGTTATATACTACGTCATTAGCAGAATTTATTTACTAGCCTTATTAACAATGTCTAACATGGGGGCCGGGGATTTAACTCAGCAGCATAGCACTTGCATGGTAAGTGGGAACTTACAAGTTCAATCGCTGGTACTAAAATAGGCAGGGGGATCTCATATGATCACATATAATGCAAGATCAAAACAGCACAGTTGACAGGGATATAGCTCAACGTAAGTGCCTGCCTGACAAGCATGAGGTCATGAATTTGAATCCTCGTAACAACAACGACAAAAAGATAAATACATCTTTTGAATAAAGTACAGTTAGCTCATCTAATAAAAAGCTTTACCATAATTATGTAAATTTACTAATTATCATACTTTTTACAAGGCATTAAATATTTTCTCACAAGTCTGATAACATGGATTGCAATTACCTTATTTAAAGCATGTCCAATGTGAGGGTCACCATTTGCATAAGGAGGTCCATCATGAAGACAAAATTCTGTCTTGGCTTTTCTTTCTCTTTGCCATGAATAAAGTTCCGAGAACCCACATTTCTGGTTAAAAAGAACAACGTCACATCAATGGAAACTACAGAATCTTACCATAAATAACACCCAAGTAACACTTGCTTATTCTTAGCCCATCTGTTGGTCTCTGGAATGTAAATGGTGAAGACTCTTTGATGCGTATCTGAGTATTCTCCTTTCAAAGCTTTGCTGTAGTACTTGTGGACTGGTGCAAAAAAATAAATTCTCTCCCAGCATGCTGGAAGCTGAGGCAGGAGGATCACTGCAAGTTCAAGGCCATTATGAACAACATATAATAGTGAGACCCCTTCTCTAACAACCTTTTTGAAAAGTAAATAACCTTCTTCTGCAACCCAGAACCCACTGTTCAGTGTAAGGTTTGAGACATCAAAGAGGGAATATTACTACCAGGGGCAGTGGTATAGGCCTGTGATACTGGAACTCCTGAGGCTGAGACAGGAAGAATGATAGTTCCAGATCAGCACGAGCTACACGGTAAGGTAAGGCTGCCTCAGAAAACAAGACAAAAACTTATCCTACCACAGGTTAAAGTGATGGGAAGGTAGCTTCCAAGACTTTGCTTATTAGCACAAAACATGAGCAAAATCTGGGCTTTATACATTCAGTATTCCAATTCCTCGCCTTGACACACGAAAATAGCTTTTCCTCTCTTTCTGAAGAGCTTGGGCCTGCGGTCTGGAGTTGAAGACATGTGTGATTCACGTTTGTTTAAATATAGTAACTAGGAAAGTGAGGTTACAACTTTCAAAAGTTTTAATAAATGATTGTGTTCTTCTGAAAAAAAAACTTTTCAGTGGTTTCCAGGGCAGCAGACCTCGCCGCGCCGGTCACCCTCCAGCCTCCGCCACACACACACCCCTCATCCCTGCGCCTCTGGGCTTGATCCGCGGCTGCCTAAACCCGCAGGGATCGCAGTACGGCCCCGCCTCCCCGGGCTGGGGTGACACTGGGGTCACCCTGTGTCCTCTGGGAAGTTCTAAGTGCGGTGCCGAGTACGGAGGAACACCCGAAGCCGGCGCTCACGCCCGCTGGCACGCAGCAGGCACCGCGCGCACACCGCACCCTGCAGGACGCCGCGGTCCAAGGGGTGTGGCCGGCTCCGTCCCTAAGCACGCGCGGTCGCACCTGCTCCGCAGCACGGCCGCGTGCCGGGGCTCGGGCCCAGAACCGCTCACGCCAAGGGGATCACGCAAGGGAGCTGGGGCTCGGGTTCGCAAGGCGGCGGCCAGGCCGTGGTCCCGGTGCCATGGCTGTCGCCAGGGCCTGGGTGTGTCATCCTGAGTCGTCCTGTCGCCCCCTCCGTACCTGCTGGATCTCCAGCTCAGTGTCCGGCTGGCGGCGGCCCGGCAGCCGCATAGGGAAGGCGGTGCGCGGCAGCAGCACGGTGTCGCGGTACCGGCCGCGGTCTGGGCTGGCCGCCGGGTCTCCAGCCCCCGAAACTCCCCGAACCGGAAAGCTCGCGGCGGCACCCAGCGGTCCCGGGCGACGCGGGGACCATGGGGGACCCCAGCGGCTGCGGGCCGAGGCCAGAGGCGCCGCCCCGGGCCGGCAAGCACACAGTCCCCAGTGCATGGCGCCCCTCAGCACTCAGGCGGCCGCCGTCCCCGACTGACTAGACAAGCTGAGAAACCGGGGAGCGTGCGGCAATGCACATGCGCCAAGACCCCGTAGCCTGAGGGACCCCAGAGCCCGAGCAGAGTTCGGGTATGGACATGCGCATGCGCCTTTCACCGGAAGGGGCGTGGCAAGGTGCGGCTTTCTGGGTGTATTTCCGAAATGTTTCCGGGTCTTTGCTACAGCCCTAAGGGTTTCGCTTGATTTGTAATTAGTTTCTCCACCTGATGCTCTCAGGTAATCCTTGCATGCTGGGAAGCTGAAGTAGGAGCATGGCAAGTTGAAGCCCAAGGACAATTTACCATCTGACTTAGTTATTTTCTCATTGTTGTGACAAAATACCCCACAGCTGCTGTTTAAGGGAGGAAGGTTTTATTTAGCGCACAGCTTGTAGATGTTGCATTCCATAATGGGCTGGCGCATAGGCAAACGGGATCACACAGGTGGAACGGTTCATGGCAAGCAGAAGACACCAAGCAGCAAGCCAGGAAGAAGACGAGGGTCGGTGTCTCTTATGTTGTAACCAAAGTACCAGGGATTGTGCCAAAACAGTCAATGGACTGATTTAGGTAATCAGCCACTCTTAATCCCAGCATCACACACTCTAGATTCCAAAAGTCTGAAAAAGTCCCACCTATGACCACAGAATGCTTTGGGGAGATATCTAGACACAGCCATAACAGTTTCTGAGCAGGACCTGTTGCAAAATAAAAAATAAGGACAAAGGGGGGCTGGGGATGTAGTTCAGTACAGAGGCCTTGGGTTCAGTCCTCAGTACTGGGAGAAAACGGTAATTTAATACAATAAAGTGTTAACCCCGCCCCCCCCCGCCCCGTCTGAGAGACAGCACATCATGGCAGAGCTTCAAAATTGTGCCCTAATAAGACATACTTTCTTCTTCCTAGAAGCCTGTATGGCTTCTTCCCGAATGTCTGCCAAAGCTGAGGCATGTAAAAGTTTAGCCAATCCCCTGCACTCTCACAAAATAAATCCGATCGCATCAGTCCACAGAGCCCTACACCCATCAGAGCCTATATCAGGCAGAACTTGCCCTTTGTCTGCAGAGGCCACTGCAGCCTTCTCTCTGGTGACTATCTTCATGCTCTCCCATTAAACTCTTTTAATTATCTACTTGCCTCCTCTCATATTCTGCACTGCTGTAGGTTGAGTACAAATCAATCAAAAGGTTATTTAATACACTTCAGTATGTAATCAATAAAAATTACCAAGGTGTTTTAACATCTTCTCATGCTAAGTCTTTGAAATTTGAAACATAAGCAACCAACAAATCTCTGCACTGGTCGTAGGTCAACAGCTGGCTGGAGATGGATGCAGATCCCCTGACCCTTCACCTGCACCCCAAGACCTCCATTTGTGTCTCTGATGGTTCCCTGAGATCCTGTTTCCCCTGAGGCCTGAAGAATAGTGCAGAGTGCACAGGCCCAGCTTCTCTGCTGGTCCATTTCCTGCTGTGACCAGTGCTTGGCGTGACAGCCTCAGATCAGGTGTTCCAGAACACCAGGGTGGGCATCATCCCTAAGTGCTATATCCAGGAGATTCCCAGTGCTGAAAAAGGATTTGATCCGTGAGGCCACACCGGGAAGGACAGTGAAGCCCTGCCTGGAGTAGAGGACAGAGATGAAAAGCAAAGGCAGGGACATGTGCAGCATGCAGGGTGCAGGTGGCAGCACAGGTGACCCTGGGCAGCCAAGGTGCCGTGTGATCATTATCTCAGGCCAGCTCTGGAAGGTGCTGTGATTGCTTAAGAGCACAGGCCTAGCGCTGTCCTGACTGACAGCTCCTGTCTAAGGGGACCATCTTGTCCCTCCAGGGGTAACTGCTTCTGCTGGGCAGAGCCATCACAGATCACCTATTCCACCACACTTTGTTCATCAGGGAGGATTCTATCCTCTGTCATAAGGGTCTTTATCCATCAGAGCTGCTGAACCAGAATCCAGTGCCTGCAAGAAAGAGTAACTCGCTGGGGATTTAGCTCAGTGGCATAAGTGCCTGCCTTGCAAGCAGGCAGTCGTGAGTTAGATCCCTGATACCGATAAAAACGAAAAAGACAAAAAAAAAGAAAAAAAAAAGAAAGAGTAACTCAGACGAGTAGGAAAAAAAAAAGTTAAGGAGGCAAATGGAAGTCAGAACCAGAGGAAAGGAGATGAGTTAAGCCACTGACTGCTCTTCTTCAAATACATGTAACAACCGTCACCATGGGTGCAAAGTAAACCGCTTGGGAGCAGCCTTCCTCATGACAAAACACAACACCCTGAACTTTGCTTCAGGTAAATAAAAACACAGACAGATGTATTTTTTTTAAAACAAATGTAACCCAGGGTGGCCTCAAACTTGCAATCTTCTTACCTCAGCCTCCCTAGTGCTGAGATTACAGATGTACATCGTCACACTTCATCTGAAAACTAATGGATTTTCTACAAATGTGAAAGAACTATGGACAGAAAAATATACCAGAAAAGGCAACAGAAAGTATTTGATCAATGCCTGCATTTCATTAGGCAACACCTCCAACTCTGTACCTTTCCACACATTTAGCTTAAAATCCAGGCGAGGTTAGACACAACACAGGAAAACAGTGCTGTCAAGGAGGGATCAGAAGAATTCCCATTTAATTTCTTTATTTAGATGGGCTCTAAATATCCTATGGTCCTATATCAGCTTCCCAGCAGGCTAGGATCTCCTGCCATCATCTGGTGGACAAACTAATTACAAGTCACATGGGACCGTTAGGGCTGTAACTAAGACCCAGAACCACTCAGGAAATATAACTAAGAAGTAGCAGAGCTGGATTCCAACCCCCGTGGTCATACCCAATGTCCAAACTCATCACCACCCATGTAATGTCACATCCCCTTTAACACACTGGGAGAAAAAAATTGTATCCTATTAAAAAACAAAACTAAAAACACAGATGCAGAAGGGTCCCAAGTCCAAGCATAGCCTGGACAACTTGGTGAGACCCTGTCTCAAAGTAAAGTAAAAAATCAAAAAAGTCTGGGAATGTAGTTCAGTGTGAAGGCCCTGAGCTCTTGCCTAGTACAGTATGTTTACACACTCACGCACACACATACAACAAAAGTATAAAGAGTTCCTACAAACCAAGAAGATAAATATAAACAACAGTACAGTGTGTGGGGAGGGGGAAACAAAAGATAAGCATCAACAATGTATTAGTGAATAGAAACAGCCAATAAACATCAAAAGAACGGGGCGAGGGATGTAGCCAGGGTAGGGTGCACGCCTAATGTACCTGAGCCCTGGGTTTGATCCCCAACAGTGCTAAATACATTTTAGAAATTATATAAAGATGTCTAATTTAAGAGTCACAAGCACAATCAACTAAATATTTCTCCAGATAACAAATTACAACAAAATTAAGAGGTTTGAGGGTTTCTGGTGGTACTGCAGAACGTGCAGGGGTTTTTTGCGTGGCATTTAGTAACACACATTAATTTAAAGATATTTTTTAAGATAAGGTCTTGCTATGTATTCCAGGCTGACTTTGAACTTATTATGTAGGCTAGGCTGGCAGCGAATTTGAAGTGATCCTCCTGCCTCAGCCTCCTGCGGACTGGGATGACCGGCATGCAACATCACGGCCAGCTTTCTTATTTTTTTCCTCCAAAACTGTTTTTAATGAACATGAATAAATCTTTCTATTCCTCTTTTACGTGTAATTGACAAATGAGAGCTAGAGTCGGAACCCTAATGAGTCTCGGTAAACTGCGCAGACTGGCTCCGAACTCGCGACCCTCCGCAGCGGTGATTAAGAATTACCCGGGTGCACAGCGCGCACGCATCCAGAGCCCTTCCTCTCATGCTCGGCGCAGCACTAGCGCCGAGCCTGCGCAAAACGTGCACAAGGGGAGATTTCTGGCGCTGCGGAGGTAGTGACTGTTGCCGGCAGTGACTGTGGTGCGCTTGCGCGGAACATCCCGCATGCTCAGTAGCCCCGGACCCCAAATGACCTCTGGACTGGGGAGAGCGGTAGTGAGCGCGGCGAGTGACTAGTAGGTTGAGAACGCGGTTTTCCGGTGCCTCTCCCGCGTCTTTCCTCGAGCCTCGTCACAGCTCTGGCACAGTAAGTTTTTCCTCTCCCACGGAAGGCAGGGTCTTGGACACAACTTCTGAGGGCTTGTTTTCCTTAACTCTGCCATCCTTCTGCACAGAAAAGATTTAAAGGATTTATGTTTAAAAAACCTCATACTGCCTCTCCAGCGCTTAGCTGTCAACATCTTATTTACTTTTTATTGGGGGATTTGAAAGAGGGTCTCGCCATGTAGCCCACGCTGGCCTTGAATTCACTGTATAACCCAGCCTGGAACTCTCAGTGATCCTCCTGTCTCAGCCTCCCCAGTGCTGGCATTACAGGTGTGCATCACCACGCCGGGCAAATGTGAACCTTTTGTTTATCAGTGCTTTGATTTTCGTGCGCCGGGGTCGTTCCCTAGCTAGATAATGCACCCAGATTTAGAAATTCTTCCACGTAACACTAAAGTTCAATAGCCAATACTTCCGATAGCCATGAGTGCGAGTTTCCAGTCATGCATGATGTACTGGGGTTTCTCTGCATTTACGTGGTACCTTTCTCCAGGTTCTTGGCTCAGGAAGTTTCCTCCTGCAGCGCTGGGGATCGAGTTCCCCGCCCACTGGGAACCTGGCAGGCTGTGCTGTCCACTCCAGTCTGAAACGGGAGCCGCCACTTGGCCTTGCTTCAGTTGGCATTTCTTTCGCAATTAGGAAGCTGAGCCTTTCCTGTTTTTCTAGAGGTACCTGTTGCTGTCCTACGTCCGTTTTCCCACTAGAGGATTCATCTTTGGCGAACTGATCCATGGAGCCCTTTACAGATGAGCTCAGTTGTCTACTGTGTGACACGGGATGTTTCCTTTTTTCACTTCTGTTAACTTTGTTTATAGAAGTTTTAATTTGGGGGCAAACTCATCAATATAGTATATTTTATAAACTCTTGGTTTTATACTTGAGGCCTTCACAAGTTTATAAAACACCTCTGTACTTGTTTGTACCTTTCATGGTTTAGTTTTTAATTAAAAACTATGTATTGACCCAGAGGTATTTTTATAGAAAGAAGGCAAAAAATCCAGTTTTTTAAAAAAACAAGTTAGCAACTGCTTGCCATTTGTGCAAATTAACTTTCCTGTTTGGTTTTTGAATATCACCCTAATGCATTGGATTTATCTCTAGAATTGATTGAATTCTGCCTATCTGTCTGTATTGCTGTGATTTTATGCCACATTCTGGTATCTGAGAAGGGGAGCCTCTCTCTTCCTTGTGTGTCTTCGGAACTTGCTGGAATTTGCTTGTCATGTTCACACTGCCAATTTCCAGATGATCTTGAACTTTAGCATCATTTGGGCAGGTTCCAAAAGGAAAATAAAGTGCATGGGTGGTTCAGTGGTAAAATTCTCGCCTGCCAAAAGGAAAATGATTTCAACATTTTGATTGGGAGGACTTTAGTCATTTTTAGACACTAACCCTGGCTGTGCCCACCACCTTTGTATTGGACTAAAGATATCTCACCCAGCCCATGATAAGAAACTGCTGGTTTGGGGCTGGAGATTTAGCTCAGCGGCATAAGCGCCTGCCTTGCAAGCAGGCAGTCGTGAGTTCGATGCCTGGTACCGATAAAAAGGAAAAAGACCAAAAAAAAAAAGAAACTGCTTGTTTGAGTCCTGTGATTTTCCATCCTTCAGAATTAGCTTTGTTGGTGGTTGTAGACTTTGTGTTTTATTTTGTTTTTCTTTGTACACTGCTAAGGATCAAAACAGGCCCTTGAGCGTGCTAGCAGAGCTACATGTAAAAATTTCTTAAATGCTACCTGGGCATGGTGGTGCATGCCTGTAGTCTCAGCACTCTGAAGGCTGAGGTAGGAGGATGCTGTGCATTCAAGGCTAATCTTTATTACATAGTGAGTTCAAGAACATTGTAGACTATCCAGCAAGACCTTGTCTCAAAGATTTCCTAAATAGAAGTTAGGTTGGTTGCCTTAAGAACTACACAACCTCTATCATGCTGACTTGAGCCTTGAGCCCAGAAGAGTGAAAAGATTTGGTGGGTATTAGTTATGGTCTTACACCCTTAAGTCAAGGATGGTGGGCAGAAGCTGTCGGAACTTTGATCTTGAGGCCATCCCATGGCCCTTCAGGACAGCCAGAAATAGGAGTGTGTGAGTGATGCTTAGCCGGGATCACGGACACAAGTGTTTCCAGTGGTGTTTGTTTGGTAACACATATGCAGAGCCGCTGGTAAGTTCAAGCTCAGTGGCTTTGCAAGGTCGCACACCTAAGGGTGCTGGGCCAGGATGTGAACACGGCCTAACTCTGGAGTCAGTGCTCTGGCTGCTGCACTGTTCTGACTCAGCCTCTAGGGAGGTGCCATTCGAGAGGGCAAGGGCTGAGACCAGGAGGAGGACAGGGGTTTCATTTGAGCTGCCTGAGCCTCTTGCTAGTTCTGGCCCAGTTCTTAACCCAGCTGTCACCGTAGAGGTGGTGCCCACCTGTGCCCTGGGTGGTGCAGGACTAAAGGGTTAAAAGAAATAGCCCAGCCATCCAAGGAGCTGGGCTTTGAGTGCTACAGTTAAGTCATTTTCCTGGTGTCAGGAACCAAAAGTGAATCTGTATATAAAAAAATATTTGTGGAAACTCTTAGGGCTGGGGGACAGTGACAGATCGTTACTTCTTCAGGGTGGACCAAGGAAGGGTGTCCTGTAGGGAAGGTAGTGAAGGGATCCACCTTTGCCGTCTCATAGTAATTTGTGGGGTTTGCTGAAAAGTTACTGTTGTCCCTGATATTAAACTGCATTTTTGCATTTTTAAAATTATTTCTTATAAGTGGACGTCAGCTTTTGATAGTGCATGATGAATACAGTGCACAGTTTGTGAGGAAAGAGGAAGACACACAAAACCTTCAAATTGCATGCAGACTGGCCACCTCGGCACAAAGGACATGGCTCAGTTGCAAGACGGCTTGCTGCGCTGCCCAGAGGGAGCAAACAGAATCCGAAAGTCATAGCCACACCCTCTGGCAAGGGCATCAATGTCCCAGTCGCCAAAGGAGTCATATATCGGGGTCGGAGTGTGCACCCCAACACACAGACACCCTGGGTAGACACCCGGATGGAGCACTGTCATTGCCTGAAGACCAGTGCCCACTGCAGAGCAGGCCAAACATCCAGCTGGGTTCACACAGGAGTAGAGAGGAGGCCCAGGAAGTATTTGTGAAATTACTGTTTGCAGTGATCCTAATTTAGTGATGATCATAACTATCAAGTTTATTCCATGTGTAACACCTAATATGTCATGATAATTATGTAATAAACAATTAGACTCCATAGAAACTCATTTTGCTTTTATCATAATGCCAAGCAACTATTGGCCAAAGTATGGTATTCCTTACCGTACTCAATTTTATTTTACTGTATTGTATTTTTTTGAGACAGGGTCTTGCAGTGCTCCTACCTCAGCCTCCCAAGTGCTGCGGTTACAAGTGTGCATACCACACTGGGCCATTTCCATCTTTAGAAGGCTTTCAAACACTTGTTTCTCGTCTCAAGTGTGTTCACAATTCCTGTAAATAGCATGGTGAAAATGATAGGAAAATGTGCAGGGGTTACGGGCACATCAAATCAGATGGGCCAAAGAGGGCAGCGGCACAGTGACTGCTGCTGGACCAAGGCTTATGATGTCCTTTCTACGTGGCCGCTGACCATAGGAAACAGATGTGCTGCCTTAGGCCAGTGAAACTGCCTTGGCCTGACCTAAGAAGGCGGAGTTTTTGTTGCCCTCTGTTTCCTGCCGGGCTGGGAATTAACCAGGCCTGTGCCTGCTGGCAAGGGCTCCTCACTAAGGGACTCTCCAGCCTGGGAGGGTCAGCCTAGGGCTGGCATCCTGGGAGCCCTGAGACAATGTGGAGAGTGGGTACGAGGAGGGCAGGTTCTCGGGGTCATTTGTGGGACGAGTGGGGAGGGAGCTAGAGCGGGATGTGGCCTGGCCCGCAGACCCGGGAATTGTCCTTGGAGGCTGAGTGGCAGCCTGGTTGCCTCAGAGACGGGCCTGGAGTTTCCCTGGTGCCTTCCAGGTGAAGCAGCACCTCCCCAGGTGGACCCCCAACAGGTGGCTACCAGGAGGCTCCGGGCCGAGCAGTGGGGAGAAGCCGGGCTGCAGACAGGTGCTGTAATGGCTGATGACAGGAGGCTGCGTCCCCCGCGGCCCGGGCCCTCAGTTCCTCATTTTGTTTCTTGTTACTTGTCTACCGTGGAGACTGGAAGATTAAATCAGGAGAGCTGTTCAGGTCTAAAAGAATATTCAGTCATTTTTAAGAAGATAATTGTGATGGCGGGCAACCCCTCCCCCTTTCTGGGCAGTACTGGAAGGGCAGGCAGGACCAGGCCCTGTGCACCCCACGTGCACAGCAAGTCCCTGTGTCACCCATGCCTGGTTGGTTGTTTTTGCCAAGTCGAGATTGAATCTACTCATGTTAGGCAAGTGCTCTACCACCACACTATATCCCCAGCCCTTCTGAAACTTTTTATTTTCATTTACAATTCACTGAGTCATCCAGGCTGGGCTCGAATTTGCTTCTTTCCTGCTTCAGCCTCCTTAAGTGCTTGGATTACAGGTGCAAAGCACACCTGCCTGACCCTTTGCAGTTTACGTCACATTTTTTGGGTTATACGATTTCCCCCACAACCCAACACACGAGTCCCTCCAAGGCATCCCCAGGGCCTTTACACGTGACACACCTCACACATATGGCGCACTCACACTGCACAGCCTGGGCCAATTTTCCCCACACTGTGAAATGATCCTCCTCTGAGAGAGGCGTCTTCTGGTGTGGGCTCATCAGAGAGCCTGAGCCACTCATGGGGTGGGGCAGGGAAGCATTCAGCAGACACAGAAAGGGAGCCCAGCAGTTGGCCCTTTGGTCACCTTTCCATCCCCTCTCTGCAGCTGACCATGGCCTCAGGCCCCACGGTGCTGATGCGCTTGGTAGCCTCGGCCTATTCCATCGCACAGAAGGCTGGGATGATTGTCAGACGCGTGATCTCGGAGGGAGACCTGGGCATCGTGGAGAAGGTAGGCAGCTCTGCACGTGGCCCAGGCCCTCTGCTGGGAGGTGGAGCTTGGTGGAGTCATAGGAGCTTGGACTGCAGTGGCTCAGATGCCAGGGAGCTGACCAAGGGCGGTGCCAGGGCCTCCTTCAGCGAGGAGATGATCATAGGCCCTTTGGTCTAGCTGTTAATCTGTGGGTGTGTTAATTGACTTTATAAAGACTCACAACTAAAATGAGTCAGATGCTCACCTCAAAGCGGGGCTGGCAGGAAGGAGGGAAAGAACAGGAACCGAGACATGCCGTGGATACCTGTGAGTGTAACAATTAGGTGCTGCAAACATGGGCCAGTGGCACTTTAAAAAGAAGACCTGTAACGTAAAGATAAACACTGAAAAAACAGTTCCCTTTGGCTTTTTGAGACACGGTCTCACCTTGTAGTTCAGGCTGGCCCCACCTCACAGCAATCCTCCTGCCTCAGCTTCCTGGCTGCTGGGTTTGCAGGCCTGCCCCCGCCACACCTGGTGATAAAAACAATTTTTTTTTTTTGATAAAAACAATTTTTGAGACAGGTCTTCTCTACATCACTAACTAGCCCTGGCTGGGCTCAACCTTGTGACTTCTTATATGAGAAACCCAAAATATAAACAAAGAGCAGAGTGAAAGATAGACAATAGAAAGTGGGGAGCTAGATCTTTCTCTCAGTATGGTGGGAGGAGGGAACGGGGATTAAAAGGAATCCAGATCTGTTCCTTCGGGTACCAACTCCCCCCCAGGAGTACAATCATTATGCAATTGCAAACATGTGCTACTAATAAAAATAAAAGCTAAAAAAAATTACCAATTTCCTATCTTGTAACTCACTTCTGCTTTAATTCTGTGTTTTTATTAGTGATGTTTGCAGCACACAATCACTTGATTCTTCATGGGCAGCTGCTACCTGTACCTAACACTGCGCAAGCCTCTCTCCTTCCCCTTTCCTCCTTTCCCTCCCCTCCCTCTGTATTTTGGTTCCTCTCCCATTTGAGCAGTCTTAGAAATGAAATTTTCATACCATGGAAAAAATATCCTACATAAATTTTTGTTATTTTGAGATAGGGTTGTACTATGTAGTTCAAACTGGCCTTGAACTCACTTTGTGACTCAGGCTGGCCTCCAGCTCATAGATCCTCCTGCCCAGCCTCCCTATGCTGGGATTAGAGAGAGGCATGACCCACCATTCCTAGCTTCATTCTACGTCATTTAAAAGTGCTTTTCCAGACTTTAGCCTTATTGGTGGGGGGTACAGCCCACAATAAGCACTTAGCTGACAGGTGCTGGCCCTGGTTTCCTCAGCAGCACACACGAAAATCAAATCAAAAACCCCTTAAGGAGGGCTGGGGATTTAGCTCAGTGGCATAAGCACCTGCCTTGCAAGCAGGCAGTCTTGAGTTCGATCCCTTGTACCGATAAAAAGGAAAAAGACAAAAAAAAAACCCTTAAGGACAGTAACCACAGTTGATCCCATGAACAGAAAAGCCGGAAGCTCGCCATCGTCTCTGTGTTGAGCGCTGGTGCGAGATGAATCATGGGGACACCTGTGCCTTTAGAAGTGGGGATTCGCACTGTGCAGTCAGCGTCACCCCCTTTGTTGCAGACCTGTGCCACGGACCTGCAGACCAAAGCCGACCGGCTGGTGCAAATGAGCATCTGTTCCTCGCTGGTACGGAAGTTCCCCAAGCTGACCATCATCGGGGAGGAGGTAAGCAAGGAGGGCAGAGGTCACCTTCATCCCGGTCCTGTCTCATGTGGATTAGTAACTGCCACTGCGGCGACTCCTGCAGCACCGGTGCAGTTAGCGCTGGGACCCAGCATCCTAGCACAGAGCCCTGTCTTCCTTGAGGGAAATACTTCCTTGCTCTTTCGGCCCCTCTCTAGGCTCAGTGTCAGCAGCCTTCCACTGACCGGCCCCGCTGGATCAGGGAGCCATGGCCTTGGAGGGGGCAGACCCAGATTCGGCCCCACTGCCACAAAGGCATGGGCAGAGTTTGGCACAAGCAGAGTAGTTCCATGGCATAGCAAGCACGAGGCCCTGGGTTCCATACCAGTGCCACAAGTAAAATACCAAAGCCATGCAGAGGACTAGGAAGCTGGGAGAAAATGGGCTCTGTTGTTTCTTTCTTTCTTTTTTTTATTTTCTGTCTTTTTGAGACAGGGTCTTGCTGTGCAGTTCAGGCTGACCTTGAGCTCACTTTGGAGCCCAGGCTAGTCTCAAAACTCATGGCAATCCTCCTGCTTCAGCCTCCTAGAGCTGGGATTATAGAAGTCTGCCACAACACCTGGCTGTTCTTATTGACAGTAAAATATGTTTCTTTTCTTTTTCCTTCCTTTTTCTTTCTTTCTTTTTTTTTTTTTTTTTTTGAGTATGTTTCTTCAAATAAGTTTAGAAACAAAAGATTTTTTTTTTCTAAACCCTGCTCAGGATGGTGACATTAGCCATGTAGCCAATTTTGATGAATGGTGTGGCACAGAGGTCCTTGTGGTTTTCTTAGGTTTTGGTTTTGTTTTGTTTTTTGGTGCTGGAGATGGAACTCTTGACCTCACGCTTGCCAGGCATTCGCTTTGCCCCTGAGCTGCATCCCCAGCCCTCTCGGCTTTGCTGTGAAAGATCTAAACATAAATGGTGAAGTGAAGGAGTAAGCAAGCGTGATTCCTGCCTTGCTTGGTACCGCACCGCAAAGGCTGTGCGGCAGACCCTCAGCAGCTTGTAACTGTCCACGTGGTTCTTATCTCTGGCCAGGATCTGCCCCCTGAGGACGTGGACCAAGAGCTCATCGAGGACGGCCAGTGGGAGGAGATCCTGAAGAAGCCATGCCCGGCACAGTATCGCGCCATTAAAGAAGAGGATGTAAGGCCCAGCTGCGAACCTGAGCCTCTGCTCGTTCCTGCTTCTTGGCACAGCAGAGGAGATGACAAGCCATGGTTACCCTTTAGAGACAGGATCTCACTGTGCCATTCAGGCTGCCCTGGTAGTCACTATGTAGCCCCGGCTGACCTCAAATAAGTGCAGGGCAGGGCCTCAGGGTAGAGTCTTTGCCTAGCATGTGTGAGGGTCTGGGTTCAACCCAGGATCACAGAAAACATTTTTTTTTCCCCATTGGTAATTGGGGCTGGAAGGAAATGAAACAGGCTACTATCTGATGCTGTGAGTAGGGCAGTTTGCCATGGTGTGGAGGATGCCAAGAAAAGGAGATGCAGGGTCATCCATCAGAAATGTGCTCTCGCCAGGGATGGTTGGTTAATGCCTGTAATTCCCACACTCTGGGAAGCTGAGGCAGGAGGGCTCCAGGTTCCAGCCTAGCCTCAGTAATTTAATGATATTGCAAGACCTTGTCTGAAAATAAAGAATATAAAGGACTGGGGATGTAGCTCAATGCAAAGACTTCCCAGTATCTGCAGACAGATAGACAGACAGAAATGTACACTCAACAAGCAGAATCATGTCAGGCTGTGATTCTAGTGGTTAACGGCAGCTGCCCTATATCACACTGAAAACCTTGAGCAGAAGAAACTCTGCTCTTAAACTATTGTCAGTTTCACAGACCATTTGTTCTTTGTTGTCTTGTCTGAGCTGTGTCCTGAAGGAAAGCAGACTTTTCTTTAAAATCAGTGCTGAAGCCAGGCCTGGTGGTGCAGGCCTGTAATCCCAGTGCAGGGGAGGCTAAGACAGGAGGATGGCTGCGAGTTTGGGTCCAGCCTTGGCTACATAGGTCAGGCTGAATTATATAGTGAGACTGTTTCTCACAAAGTTAAATAAAATAAGTCAGTACCGATACAGAAAAGTCCGGTGTAAGCACACATTGTTCCACTTTGCAAGTTGTTCCCTATCTAGATCTAGATCTAGATCTAGATCTAGACCTAATATGTGTTTTTTAATTTTTATTTTTTAGCTTGTGGTTTGGGTTGACCCTCTGGACGGCACCAAGGAATACACTGAAGGTACCTCTTTTGGTTATGTATCACAGTAGTAAGGCCAGAACATGACATTTCTATTGTGAAATTTGAGTGTTCGTGTGTTACTTGAGATGCCAATGTCATGCCTCTTCTCACACTTGGCAGCTGTTATCTTACATGCATGATTATTGAGACAGGAAAGCTGCATGTGGTGACCTGTGCCTGTACCCCAGCACTCAGGAGGCTGAGGCAGTAGGAGCCCAGGAAGTTTGAGGCCACCGTGGGCTGCACAGTGAGTTCAAGGCCAGCCTGCACTACATAATGAGACCATGTCTCAAAACAAAACAGAACAAACCAACAAAAAACCTCATCCATTGGTAATTAAGGAAGCTCCAGACAGCTTTAATGGACATTAACAGAACGGATATTAACAGCTTACTTGGGTCATGACTCACACTTTAGAGGCTTTGATACATTGTCTCTGGCCAACTCTCTTATAATTAGTGCATTTCACCACAAGAGGGCCTGACCCTGGATAAATCATTGACTGTGGATGAATAAGGATTTAGTAAGACCTTGTCTGAAAATAAAGAATAAAAAGATTGAAGGTGTAGCTCAGTGCAAAGGCTTCTCTGTACCAGACAGATAGACAGACAGAAATATGTACTTGGTAAACAGATTCACATCAGGCTCTTTATCTTTCTTGCAAAAATACCTTGATGTGCTGCTGAAGAGTCTTGGCCTGAGAAAGATCTAGAATTGATATTTCTGCTTTGTAGGTCTCCTCGACAATGTGACGGTTCTCATTGGAATTGCCTACGAAGGGAAGGCCATCGCGGGGATTATTAACCAGCCCTATTACAACTACCAGGTACCGTTGTGAGTGACACACGCGTATCTTATTACAGCAATAATCCTAGTGTTGCATGACTCCTGATGCCATTCTATCCCCTGCTTCCTAGCGTGGTTACAGAGCTCTTCACAGGGTGGGTTCCCAGGGCCTGCCCAACCCTGCTGAATCAGAACCCAGACATTTGCACCAGAAATGAGTCCATACTGATACCGGACACGTGTGCACAGGACACATCGTGTGCATTGTGTTTTGCATACTTGTTAAGAATACAAGTGCAAAAGCTTGGGAGTTACTCGTGTGGTTCTTGATTAGTATGGTCATCAGGACACCTGATTTACAGGTGGTTCTTGAAGCACATTGAAGAAATGAGCCATTTCCACCAAGACGAGACGCTAGTCCTGTGGCTCCCCAGGTAACAACATGGCACAGAGCATAAATGGCATTCAGTCAGCGTCCATAGCAACTGTGCTTTGCATTCTCTACTCTCTGGTTTCCTCTAATCTGCTTTGACTTTCTATTATTCTTCAAAGACACTGTCTTCCTTACAAATGAGACACTCGTAACTGAGCATGGTAGTCCACGCCAGCTCTTGGAGGCTGAGGCTGGAGGATTGTAAGTTCAAGTCCAGCCGGAGAAGCTTAGTGACTTAGTGAGACTATATCTCAAAATAAAAAAAAAAATTAAAAAAAAATTTTTTTAAAAGGGCTGAGGATATAGCTCAATGCAAAATCCCTGAGTTCCATCACGAGTCCCTGCCACCCAAAGAAGCGAGAGACATGTGGAATTTCAGCGCTGCCTATCCCATTGGGTGATCTGAAGGGGAATTATTAAGATGAAATACGTAAGGCATTTCTACTTATTATATTAAGGTGACCTAGAGAGGACTTTGGAGAAGCCCAGTAGTGTTGAGGTTAGTATAGTATTTCTGAATTTCTGATTAAGAGCAGGATTAGTCTTCACCTTTAATATGAATTTGTTTTTCCTGCTCTTTGTAGGATTCTAAACTTTACTTATAATCACGTATTTCTTAGGACTTAGACAAGTAAGTAGGCATTAGCAGGAAAGCCTGGCATGCTGACTCACTAAGTATCCATTAATACTTGCCGTGTGCGTCAGGCAGGATTTATCAGACAAGTTTGGGTTCCTGTGTGAACTCTTAAGTACCAGCTGGCTGTTATATCCAGTCGGTTCCTAGAAAACCTGAGATGCTGCATGGCACCTTTTATCAGCAGGAAAGAGCTAAGTGCCTAGGGCTCATTGTTAATTTTCTCCCCTTCTTTCGGAGATAGAGAAACTGTATTCATTCTCCGCAGAACGATGAAAAGCAGACGCTCAGGGAGCAGAGCGAGGATGCAGAGGTGAGGAGCTGCTGGGCCCGGCCCCACGGCAGGGAGGACAGTGGCCCCCTCCAGCCGCACTGCCTCCCGTCTTGCTGTGGCCTTTGTTCCCTCTCCCTTGCCACTTCCCCTCTGGACATTGTGTGCCTCTCTTTCCTTCTCTTCTGCTTCGGCCTCAGCTTCTTCTAGCAGGAGACTGTCATGCTGCAGGCGTGCATGGCCAGGCTGGGGACCTCCACGGCCCCCGGCAGGCGTTGTCCCTTTTCAGGCAGAGCTGGCCGGATGAGCCCCAAGTGATGGCACAGCTGGGCACAGTCAGGGCCAAACCTCTCTGTGTCTGCAGGTCACTTCCCCAAGCCCCGGGACTTATTCCCAGCTTCAGCCTCCCTCCCAACAGCTCAAAGCCAGGAGGCACACAGAGTATCGGGCACACAGAGGGTCAGCATGAAGTGAGAGTGCTATCTGGTCAGAGCTGTGTCTCAGCTATCAGGAGTCCTATGCTGAGACCACGCCTGGGGACTTCGCACCGGCCCACATCACTGGTCCCCCCTGCTTTTTTTGAGACAGCGTCTTGCTTATTTCGAGGCCCACAGTAGCCTCGAACTGGTGATCCATTGTCTCAGCCCCTCAGAATGCTGGAATTATGGGCATCCACCCCTGCCCTTACTAGTCTCTCTCTTTTTTGTTTTGAAGCAGTCTTGCTAAATTGCCCAAGCTGGTTTCAAACTCCTGTTCTTCCTGCTTCAGCCCCCTCAAATGCCAGGATTACAGGCATGGGCCATCATGCCTTGCAGCTATTACAAACATTAATCAATTCCCCCATGAGGTGAGAGGTCATCCGTGCTGCCTTGGAAAATGAATCTGTAACCCCCGCACTCAGGAAGCTGAGGCAGAAGGATCATGAGTTCTAGGTCAACCTGGGCTGCACAGGGAGACCCTGCCTCCAAAGACCTAAGTCAGCAACAAGAGAGAAAACGAGCCTCAAGCCTCTGAATGATTGAGGCCCAGGGAGGGAGGCCCGGAGCACAGGGAGCCAGCAGCTATGTCATGGCTCATGGCTGCCCACTGGGGCGCCAGGCTTCTGGGCCACTGCATCTTGGAGTCAACCGAAGCTAAACGTGTGCACACAGGGGCAGCCCGAGGACCAACGGGACAGTGTGTGTAAAGACTGATGGTGAACTTGGGCAGGCTGGGTTAGTGGCGAAGGACACCATCGGGCCTCGCCCAACACTCTGCAGGCCAAGAGAGAACCCCGTGTTCAAACCCAGTCTGGGCAATTTAATGAGACTCTGTCTTCAAATAAAATTGTTAAAAGGGCTGGGATTTAACTGGGGTCCTGGGTTCATCTCTGTCTTAGTTACTTTTCTCTCATTGCTGGGACAAAATACCTGACACCCAAAATGAAGGAAAGGGTTGTTTTTAGCTCACTCTTTGTGGAGGCTTCAGTCCATCATCAGCTGGCTCCAAGGCAGGGTGGCACAGCACAGGGGCAGACTTTCAAGGCAGCAGCCAGCAAAAGCAGCCAGAGCAGAAGACGGGAGAGCAAGCCTCTTTTCACCCCTTATATTGTACACAGGCCCCCCTTCCTCCCTGCCTGTGTCTTCCCATCCCCCCACCTCAGGTGCAGCACTCACAAAATCTCCTTGCCCTACTTTGCACAGGCTGAGGATATTTACAAAGAACCCTGGCTGCCTGCTGAGTTTATTAGTTAAACTTCTAAACTTCTCCTATTGACACAATGTATCAACTGTAACAATCCCTAGTACTACAAATAAAAAAAAATACAAATTAAAAAAAAAGTATTTTACCAGGCACAGGGGAGTATGCCTGTGCTCCCAGCTGTTTAGGAGGCTGAAGCAGGAGGATCATTGGAACCTAGCCTGAGCAACATGGAAGAGCTGTCAAAAAAACAAACAAAAAAAACAGCTGTGAATAAGGATGAGCTAGGTTTGGCTGTGAACTTCCTGGAATGCACAGTCAGATTATTCGGGCTCGCTTTGGTCTTCTCTAAAACAAGAACGATTACCTACTTGGGGGGCTGAGAGCAAAGGAGATGATGCCTGGGAGCCCTGTGGAGCCATGCCAAACAGCACCTCAATCTGGGACTCGTCGTTTTAAGCCTCAGTCTGTCCCTGAAATGCAGGCCGAGGTTGTCCCTAGGAAGCGTGCAGTGACGGCAGTGGGACCGAATCCCCTGAGCTCTGCAGAGGGAAGTGGAGAGGCCAAGACCACGGTGGCATAGCCACTGTGTCGCCATCTTAGCAGGGAGCCAGCGGTCAGGACACTGGAGCCCTGACCCCACACCCCTGCTGCCCTCCACCCCTGCTTGTTCTTCGGCCCTGCCCTCGTCACCCCGGCAACATGGCCCACGCATAGGGAAAAGAGGAATCAGCACGGTCCTTTGGGTGCCCCGGGCTTTGGTACCTTTGAAGATGGCTGTTTTCATAGGACAGATCATGGGCTGACTCAGAAAGGCGCAGCAATCAGTGTAGGAAGCGTCCTTTCCCCAGGACTCTGGAAGGCGAGTGGGAGTTTAACTCCGAGTCTTTGAAACCATTAATGAGAACAGCAGTTAGAACACCTTCCCGGGTGTGGCAGCACAGGCCCATGGGCCCAGCACTCCAGAGGCTGAAGCAGGGGAATTGCCAGTTCGAGGCCAGCCAGGGCTACAGAATGAGACCCTGACTCAAACAAAGAAAGAATAATCCTTTGACTGCTGAGAAAAACCCTTTTGTTCCTAGCCAGTGATCCGGTTCCTGTATTTTAGGATGTGGTCTGGCTGTTATTTGTCTAGGGAAGTACACTGTGCTCTTGAGTGTGACCGGGTAGCACTGTACCATGCAGCCCCTGCGTACTGATGTCTTTCTCCTCATGGTGACAGCTGTCGTCTCCACAGGCAGGACCAGAAGCCGTGCTGGGGAGGACGATCTGGGCTGTGCTGGGCTTGGGCGCCTTTGGGTTCCAGCTGAAGGAGGCCCCCGCCGGGAAGCACATCATCACCACCACCCGCTCCCATGGCAGCCAGTTGGTGACCGACTGCGTGCAGGCCATGGAGCCCGACGCCGTGCTGCGTGTGGGTGGCGCGGGGAACAAGGTGGGCGCGCTGGCCAGGGTCGGGGCTGGGAGGCCACTGGCAGAAACACCGGGGGTTTCTAAAAGGTAGAACCAGAGCTACAGAGAGCGGATTGAAGCCTGGCAAGGATGATGTGCTGAGTTTGATTCCCAGTACACAAGAAAAAGAGGGAATGGAAGATTGCCCTCTGCCCTGGAAGTGCATTCAAATGACACTCAAGTTTTAAAAGGTGTGAGGGTCTCCCCCACCTCAGGCTCAGTGCCCCTGGGGACTCAGGACTGACCCTGTGTCTGCAAGGCCAGCAGGTCCTGAGGGACCCTGGGGCTCCTTGCTGAGACACTTGTCTGCGGCCCTAGCTAACTAGCACTTGGCCTGCACCCCAGCCCCTCTCCTGGCCGCTGGCCCCAGGACACTCTGAAGGGGACACAGCTGCTGCCATCCCTGGCCCTGCTCTGATCTCCCCTCACTGTGCCCTGGAGGCACTAGGAAGCCATCTTGGGGTCACTCAGGCCCAGCGTGCGATTCACGCTTCTCCTAGTTCTCCCCAGCATGTTCCTGTCCCTGGGTGCCAGCTGGTCGGTGCCACCACTGTGTCCCTGTTCCAGCAGCCCCTGCCCTTCCACATCCCTGCCCCTGCACCTGCCCGTGGACCCTGATGCTTCTCCATTCCACTCGGCTGGACACCTTCAGGGACTGTCATCGCGTAGTCGCCTGGCCACGGTGTCTTCCAAGGTGGCCTGTCCCAAGGCACAGATTCTGACAGAGCAACTAAACATGCACGGCTCCTGCCCAGTCCTGGCTCCCAAGACATTTGGGCATGGTAGTACACCCTTTAGTCCCAGACTTAGGAGGCTGAGGCAGAAGGATTGCTGAGAGTTCAAGGCCAGCTTGGACGTCATAGAGATAGTAAGACCCTGTTTCAAGAAACAAACAAAAGTTGGTACTTTGGTAATAGCAGCAGTAGCAGAGATGATTCTGGAGCATTAGGGACCATGTGTTGGACAAGTGAGTGCCATGCTTCTGCGAGGACAGTGCATATATTGCTGCGTTGTGTGGTGTCGCTCTGTTCAATGATGGCCAATTTTTTAGAAATCTAAAAAGCTTTATAATAGATTGCTTTTAAAGTGAGAAAAAAGTGTGACTACAGAAGGTTTTATTTCATCTAACTGGCCATCTGGAGACTGCTCGGGTGTCTTCCTCGTAGCTTTTTTTGGCCAGTTTGTCCCACTGCAGGTCAGTGGAGGTTATTATGCCCTTTTTGATTTCCTCATCATCCTGGCAGAGCAGAGGAGGGATGAGTGGATGACCGAGGCAAGCCTCCTCTCGTGTCTGCAGCCTGCTCCTCGCAGTGGCCGGGGATAATTCTCACTTCTGACCTTCCAGATCATTCAACTGATCGAAGGCAAGGCCTCTGCGTACGTGTTTGCAAGCCCCGGATGTAAGAAGTGGGACACTTGTGCACCGGAAGTTATCCTGCATGCAGTGGGAGGTGAGTGCCTGTGTCTTGGAGCGTTGCAGCTGTGTGTTTTGCTGTAGCATCACACTCTGGTTCTAGCACTGCACCTTGCTGTGGGGAAAGCCGAGGCTGTCTGGGCGGGAGTCCACAGCTCATAGATGAGTAAGTCAGTTTCAGAAAACTGGTTTTTCTTTTGTTCCTTTATAGGACTTTGATCTGCATATAGTTATTTTTAATTCAGCTCTTGCTGATGGCTTGTTTATTTATATTTTGTCTTTTTGAGACAGGTCTTGCTATGCAGTTCTGGCTGGCCTTGAATTCACTGTGTAGCCCAAGCTGGTCTTGAACTTGCCTCAAACTCCTGAGTGCTGGAATTACAGGTGTACTCTACCACACCCAGCTATGGTTTATTTTTAATGATGTTTTGTACATATTTCTCATACAAGTTGATCCGATTAATCGTAAGGAATTTGCAACTACACAACACGTCTTTGTTCTTGTTTCTTTCTTACGGTTTTATTGCTCTTGGAGATTGTTTCTTTTGAAAGTAAAATGTTCACCGTCACCAGTATTCCTCAGTTAATTTTTTTCCGAACACTAAATATACACAATTTCCTTTGAAGCCATATTGGTGAATACCTTAGTTCTAGTTCCAAAGATGAAGGAGTTGGAAGTACATTAGACTCATATACATATGAAGATAAACTTCTGTTTCACATAGACATCAGCGCTCGGAGACCTGTGCCTGTGAAGTCCCTGTCCGAGGCTGAGCTGCAGCTCAGTAGTAGAGCACTTGCCTTGCAGGTTTCGGGCCCCCGGTCCCACCTCCAGCACCAAAAATCTTTAAAACAAAAGCCATCAGAGCCAGGCATGATGGCACACACGTGTAACCCCAGCACTTGGGAGATGGAGATGGATCACCAGTTCAGGCCAGCCTAGGCTACATAGAGAGCATGAGGCCAGCCTGAGCTACAGAGTGAGATTCTGTCTAAAAACAACAACAAAATCCAACAATAGATAAGATAACTAGAGCAGGCTGAGGCACAGCTTGGTGGTGGAAGGTGTGCATAGCATGCACCAGGTCCTGTGTTCCAACCCCAGCACCTCGGTCCTAAGCCCCGTGGCCCGGCCCGGCCTGACCACTACATAGCCGTCTGTCTCTCCTGCAGGGAAGCTGACCGACATCCACGGCAACGCCCTCCAGTACAACAAGGACGTGAAGCACATGAACTCCGCCGGGGTCCTGGCCGTGCTGAGGAACTACGACTACTACGCCAGCCGCGTCCCTGAGTCTGTCAAAAAGGCACTGGTTCCGTGAAATCAGTGTCTTTTCCTCAGCCAGAGGACTTGGTTTTCAAAAAAGTACATTTTAACTCTGATCGGAAACAATTATCTATCGTTGATTAGTAATTTATGTGAGTTACATAGGAAGAGATCACATTCAAGAATCCATTGCCTTTATGGGGCCGAACACTCCTATGCCCTACCCGTGCAATAAATTTTGTCTGTTCCTTTTCCTGTTTAAAAAATTAGCCAGGTTGTGGTTGGATGAGGCTGCCCAAAAAGCTGAGGCAGGAGGAATGCCTAGGGGGTGCAAGAGATCGAGGCCAGCCTGGGTGCAAACCAAAATGCCGTCTTAAAAAACAAAAATGAATTTAGCTCGACATGTTGCATTTCTTTTCTTCTTTTTAGGTGGAGAAATGGGAAAGGTTTAGTTTTCGCTGACCCTTTAGGTCATTTATTCTATCAACGATCCTCTCATGAACCAGATTTTTTCAGGGCAGAGAGCCTTCCATTGTCCTAGAATTTCATTCTTGTTTGTTGCAGTAAACTTTAACATGTTCCTACTCCAATTATGAATGTATATATTGTTGCTGTCTGATGAGACGTTTGGAAAGTTTCTTCAAAATAAATTATTTAATTGTAGCTCTTCGTTATTTATCCAGGGGTTTTTAAGTTGTATTCCCAGCCATTTTTAATTTTTGGTTTTGAGACAGGATTTCACTAACTCTCCAAGTTGCCTAGACTGGTTCAGATGTGGTATCTTCCCAGAATGCTGGGGTTATAGGCATGTGCCACCACATCCATCATCTTCAAATGAAATTATATGAGTTACTAAGTATAGTGTAGACTGCTTTTTATTCATGCATTCCAGTCTTTATGGAGATCCTGCCAAGAACAGAAACACAGTGTTGGAGACTCAGAGATAACATAGTTCTTGGCAATGACACACTCCGTGCACTGATGCTAGCATGCTAGGTTGATCACAGTAATGCAACATCTCTGGATTTCTGAGAAATAAACACATATTCTTTCCTTCCAGTGATGCAACATCAAATCTTTCATGTCTGGCTCCTCAGGGGGCTGCTCAGCCCAAATGCTTTAAAACAGGCATCCTGTGGCCCAGGGGTGTAGCTCCAAGGCAGAGCAGCTGCCTAGAATGAGGGAGCTCCCTGTAAAAGAGATCTTCAGGGCTGGGGATTTAGCTCAGCATCATAAGCGCCTGCCTTGCAAGCAGGCAGTTGTGAGTTCAATCCCTGGTACCGAAAAAGACAAAAAAAAAGATCTTCAACCATCAAAGCACCCTGCCTCCAATCCCATCTCTTTCAGTCCTATCACACCCTGAGACTTTTTTTCATAGAATTTACTACTTTATGAAATTAACTTCCTTAGTTTCTGTGTCACCACACCCTAAGGACACTGCTGGGTACACAGGATGTGCTTAAAAGTCTTGCTAAATGATCAATATAAAGGATGTCTGAAAATTCCCCTGATGATGCCCCCTCTGTGATACACCTTGGGAGAGATTTCATTGTGCTCTCCGGAGCAGGAGGATTTTGCTTTTCCAAACATAGTTTGCTCCTGGTTCTGAGGCCAGTTTCGTGCATATTCTGAGAAAGTGAGCAGGGCTCATTGGCCTACTGTTGTAGCCTCTCTGCCTCACCTTCCTTATATATTTTTTTCGTTCTTGGACTAAAATGAGCCTTTTGTTTTAGCACCCTTCCCATTTCCTTGGGTAGGACTAAGGGCCGAACCTCCATACTGAGCTACATGTGTGGCCCCTTTTATTCATTCATTCATTCATTCATTCATTCACTCATTCATTTTAAGATAAGGTCTGGCTAAATTGTCCAGGCTGGGGTCAAACTTGGGATCCTCCTGCCTTAATCTCACAAAGTCCTAGAATTACAGGCATGCATGTTCTGCATCTGGTTTGTTCTTACATTTTGACATAAAACAGAATGAGATGAGGGAATACGTAAGCAAATACAATTTAAATTTGCTAAGATCCCCGGAATTCTTTTTGTCTTCCATTTTCTAAGTTTCTCATCTACCTCGTTTCTTTTTTTTTTTTTCCTTTGTATTGTTTTCTTAGTTTCTTTTTTTCTTTAATTTTTATTTTGAAAGTATTCAACAGAACAAGTCAGAATAAAGCCAACTAAGGTCGTACAGTGAAATTGGTACAGAACTTCACAGCAGGTTACCGGGTTAACAGTAATAGGTATCACAGTATATTTTGTTATCTTTATAATAGTTGTTCTTTCAATCCCATATATCAAAATGAGATGAAATATAGAACACTATTGAACTTATCAAAACAGAATATTGAATAGAGCAGTACCATTAATCAGAAAAGAGCAAAACAGTAATAAAAATATTTGCCTTCAAAGAAATGGTGGAAGACCCCCTTATTTGCTATGGTCAACCTCCCAGAAGATGCTCAGATTTCTGGTTCCCATTTGCCAATGCGCGGCGGGGCGGGGGGGGGGGGGAGAAGGAGGATGGGGGAAGTGGGATATTTGACTCTAGGCCATGTAGCAGTAGGTTCACTATTGCTAAGCAGGGAGGCAGAATGGTCATTTGTTTTCACAGCATCCTCAGTTCCAGCATGGTGTGGATCTCAGGAGACACTGCTGGGTCTCCCCGGAAGGGCTGCAGTCTGCCACCTTGCCTCCGCTTACCAGGGAGGGGAGGTGCTGGCTTGGCTTCCCAGAGTCCTAAGTTCCAACACAGCAAGGATCTCAGGAGACACTGCTAGTTCTCCTCCTGGACGGGCTGCAGTCTCTCTACCTCGTTTCTTGATATCACTTAAAACTAGCAGCTGGAAGAGCCAAATCAGCTTTCCTATATTTGCCCCAAAATGTTTTCATTGATTGTCGTGAACCACTATGAGGCAAAAACAAGGGAAGTCTGCTGAGGGAATTTCAGGCCCCGTGGCTATCCAGAGATGGTTCTCAAGAGCTCCTTTGTCATTGCTGCGCAGCAAAAATTGTAAACACTCAACACTGTTTTTGTTAGAAGAATTAACATGTAGCTCAGAAATACATGAATTTTTTTTCTTCTGAATTTCTAAAAGATGCTGCATTGGCATCTAAAAAAGCCATTGAAGCTGAATACACGTGTAAGGCTGTTGTGTGGTCCAGGCATGGCTGAACTGAGAATGAGGAGACGCCTCAGGGGGCAAGATAGGCCACCTGGAGACTTTCTGGATATTTCCCTTAATTAGCCTTGTCAGTTGCTCTGAGAGGTCCTTAAACCTCTCCCAAGATCCTGCTCAGGTTTCCTGTATTTTTCCACTCAACTCCTTGCTTGCTGCGATCAAGCTGCCTAGCGTCAGTGGGCCTGCCAGCTAGCAGTTAAGAACTTTGCAGAGGATTTGGGTCCTCCTGGAGCCTTAAAGATGATGCTGTTTGTCTCATTCCTTTGAACCTTTACCATGCACCTGTTGGGGGGTTGAGGGGTCTATGCACAGACAGCTGCAAATTTATTTTCATTTCTCATAACTTCAAATTACATTTTATGAGGTAAATTTTGTATTATGTTGCCTTCCATGTAAACGCAGGTTGTGGCTTTTCCCTGTTACCCCGTGACAGGGGCCCATTATAACAAGAGACCTGTGGTACTTGGTATTCACAGACAGGAAGCAGAAACCATTTTATTTTTAAAAATTTTAAATTTTTATCAGCACGTTTGCAGTACATAGTGGATTACATTGATCATGGGGAACTGGTGCATGTAGGTAACACATCTTAATTCTTTTTGTGGCCCCTCTCATTTGTAAGATACACTTCACTGGCTCTCCTGACTTTGTTCCTATTCTTTAGTGACTGTAAAAACTGATTCATGAATTGACCCCGGCTGGAGGTTAAGAATGGAAATGACATATGTAACTTAAATGTTAGTAAAACTCTTTACTTGGTTAAAGCACTGGTTTTGTTACTGGATTTTTTGTGTCAAAGGCCCGAGTTCCCGCGGTCCGAACACCCCAAGTTCAGGCACTCATCCCCAGTACCAACCAAGAAGACGGCAGTGGCGAAGGGAAGCAAAGATTTCATCAGCGTGGTCACGCTGGGAAGGGCAGATCTGTCTTCTTGGGGCTTACAGAAGCCTTATTTAAGATGAAAAAAAAAGGTAAACTCGGGTTTCCCTCCACCAAGTTTAATTTGAAAATTACCGTGTTCCTGGTCCCCTTACTACTTCTCTTTATTTCTCTCTCACCTCCCAATGACCCTCGGAAGCTTCGGTGCAGCCCAGGCCAGGCAGGCCAAATCAGGCCAGCAGATCCCTTCTGCTTTGCAGCAGGAGCCCTGGCAGTTTTCCTTAAAGCCTTCTATAAATCAACCTTTTAACTACATCCCTTGAACATTTTGTTTTAGGAAAAAGTAACAAAACATAGCAAAGCGTCCCCTTGTTACAGCGTTACCCCATTGCCCGGGTAGAGTAGGGGTGCACAACCCTCATTCTGCGTCTGCATGAAAGAACCCTCCATCACTGTGCCGTACTCCCTTTACAAAGTGTCGTAAAACCCTGTACGTCAGCATGTTTTCGACAGCGGCGTGCGGCGCCACATCAGCTTTCGGACCCTGAAGGGTCCGGCGTGGCGGCGCGCCCTGGTGACGTAAGCAGCGTGCGTGTGACGACAGCGGGCGCGGGGCGGGGCGAGGGCTGCGGCGGTGCAGTCGGGACAGTGCACACGTTGCACCTCTGACTTGCGGCGATTTGGGCGACGCGGCCGGCCGAGCTAGGACGCCAGGCGCCAGTGCAGGATGGCGACGCTGTGCCTCACCGTGAATGCGGGAGCCCCGCCTCTAGGTCCGCCTCAGCGGGAGCGGGTGGGACGGTCGGGCCGGGCGGGCTGTCCGCGCGTGGGGCGCCGCGACGCGGGTGCGACCTGCTCCTCGCAGACCAGCGTCCCTTCCTTGGGGTAGAAAATGAACGCTTTGAAGAACCCCTTCGTCTTTCTTCCTCCTTTTTCAGCTGTTTTCTCGCAATTCTCCCGTCCCCACTGGGCAGGAAGGACCCTGAATTCCCTTGGCCCGACCTTTCTGTAGGCTTTGGCTGGGTTCGAAGGGAAAGAGGAGGAAGTCGAGTCATTTAGCGTGTCAGGTATCGGGCGAGGCGGCGTGCACTTTAATTAAAGGCGTTAGGTGACTTCAGAGAAGCTGCCGTTCTCGCCCTGCACCCCGGGAGTGTAGTAAATGTCAGACCTGTCAGCCCCCCCGATGCAGCTTGAGTCTGACTTGAAATTGTTTCTTCAACGTGGCCTGGGTTATGACCGGTAGGTAGCTTAGCATTTTTGCTTTGTTACTATGCACAGAAGAGTTTAAGTCGTTTACTGATATCGTGGTTGTTAATAGGTGTGGTACAGACACACAAGTACTTTTCTAATATTCCAGAAGGGCAAACCTTTAAACACAATTGGCCATGTGGCGCTGATGCAACTCCTGCTTGTGTTCTCAGCTGTGGTGATGGAGCAGCGTACAATTTTTAAGGGGTGTGTGTGGTGCCGAGCATTGCACTTAGGGCTTCATGTAGTATGTGCTCTACTACAGAGCCAACCCCGCAGCCGTAAAACCACGATTAAATAACCATCTTATATGTTTTTATATGTATCATTTTAGCACATTGGTACCAGTAATTTTGGGGGGGAGGGGTGTACCGGTAATTTTGAGTTAGCCTCACAACAAATTTGAGTTTGAGGCTGCAAAGACAAAGCAGCCAGGCTTTTAGTTCCTGAGTCTGTACAGTCTTCCTAACACATTCTGTTCAATAAATAGCCATAATTTTTACTAATATTGCTTAGAAAATCACTCTGAGTGATCAGTCAGTTTCCTTAGTGATTTATGGAATTCAAAAACACAGTTTGCCAGGATTCTAGAAGTCTTCATTTTGAATAAGCAGATTATTAGAATACGTATTATTTTTTTGCTTGCGACTCTCCCTTTTGGCTTTTGATTGAATTCTTGTCAGTTGCTCAAGTTAGATATGTTTTATTTTTAAATAATAAAATTAGATAGCCAGGCAAGATGGCTCAGGCCTATAATCCCAGCATTTGGGAGGCTGAGGCAGGACAATCACTGTACGTTTGAGGCCAGCCTAGTCTACTACATAAGCAAGTTCAAGGCCAGCGTGTAGTGAGACTCAGCCTCAAGCAAAAACAAAAAACTAAATTTAAATGAAATACTTGAAAAATAAATTGCATTGCTAGAATTTACCTATTTTATATGCATTCATTGTGTTGCTTTTTAATATTAAAATACTTTCAATCTTAAAAAATGCAAGATTAGAACAGGAACCTTTCCCCATCCACTCCCTGAGCCCATACTGCAGATCTGCTGCAGGGTGCGCCTCCCACAAGCAGCATCTGTCTGACTCCCACAGCCGTCAACATCAAGATGTGCAAGCGGTGCAGTTCTTACATCGGGTGTGCAGGCTTCAGTCTTGTTCTAACAGCAGGCACACCCTCCCTAATGCAAGAGCCACAATCCGGGGGTGGTGCTGTGTTGCACTTTGTTGTCCTGGCTCCCTTTTTCATCATCTGGAGGGTTTGTTGGTTGGCCCTTGGTTTTCACAGCCTTGACCTCTGCAGATTGCAAGCCACTTCCTTGAAGAGTGTCTCCTCTTTGGCTTATCTGATGTTTCCTCTGGCTGGACTCAGGCTGCGTCTTTGGCAGAACATTGGTTTCTTTTCTACATTGCAGAAGTGATTCCTCATTCTTCCTTGTAGCCCGATCGATTGGTGCATGGATTTAATTTTGTATTACTAATGATTAGCCTTTATCTCTTAGGGTGGCTCTGCCAGCTTTCCCTGAGTTTTCTTCAATTAAAGAACATTTCAGTGGGGAGAGCTGTGGGACCATGCAAATCTCCTCTGGTCATCAAACCTTTACCTGCTGCTTACAGATGCATTGGTGCTTGCTGCCTGGCTTGATTATTACAGTGACCTTACAATTCCACATTTTCTTCATTTGTTAGTGGCATTTTCCTGTGAGAAAAGTATTCTCTTTTTTCCATTTAAAAATTCATGATAGAGAGTGCTTGCCCAGCATGCACAAGGTTCTGGATTCAATTCCATCACCTCAAATGAAATAAGTAAAAATTCACAGCAACATATATTCCATAGGTTGCATTATTTTTTATTTTCTTTTTTTTTTACTTTTTTCTCCCAAATAAATTTTATTCAAGGGTAAAAAGAAAGGGGGAAAAAAAGGAAGAAGAAAAAACGACAACAGAATTTCAAAACACATCAATCAGGGAGAAGCAGTGGTACATACATTGTGCATTGTCATCCCCAAATCATTCAACAGAGTATTTTCTGTTTTAAAAAATAATTTCATTTTTAAAATTAGTTTTGTGTTACTTCGGCCACCGATTAAACAAGTGCACAGGGTTATTGACAGTTGTACACAGTGATACAGTGTGTAAACCTTCACTGTAACAATAATAATGTAATTATTTTTGTCACTGTAGAAAAATGACTTCAGCCCCTTCACAGGCATCACCTCCCCGTCCTTTGTACCTGTTGGCTGCTGGTCTGCTTTTTGGCACTTTGTTTTGTTTCTACAATTTCTTGTGCACTGCATCATCGTATGTACCCTTCACTACCTAGAATAGCCCTTTTGCAGTTTATCTATTTTGTTGCCTGTAACAGGAGTTCATTCCTTTATTTAAAGTTAGGCAGCATTTTGCTGCATGATTGCTAAAATTTATCTCATTTACTTTGAGGGTCAAATTGTCCCCAATTTGCCATTGGCTTCCAGGTCCTTTTGACATCTCTTTGATGTGTGTTTTGATTGTGCCTTGCAATCCTAATCTGCTTTTGTGATACTCCAACAGAATACTATACATTAGTTCATTTGTAATGAACAAGAATTAGCTTATAGTTCTGGGGTCTGAGAAATCCAGGATCAAGGGACATGTCTGGCGACAACCATATTGCTGTGTCTTAACAGCAGGAGAGCTGAGAGGAGGAGTGGGGGAGAGAGAGCATGCATGAGCAGGAAGGGGTGAACCCACTCTTAGTCCTTGCATGAGGGCTGAGCCCCCACAAGCTAAATACCTCTTAAAGGCCCGTTTCTTCGTCCTGTGACAGTGGGAACTACGGTTTGGCGTAGGTTTTGAGGGATACAAACCATAGCATGGATTTCCAGCACGTTCAGTTTTCCAGGCTTATTTTGTGCTTTCCCTAATGGGATCGTGTTTCTAGTGGAGCATGGTATTTAAAAATGAGTGCCAGCGTCAAGGATATAGTTCAGCAACACAGCGCCTGCCTGGCAATGCAAGGTCCTGAGTTCAATTCCCAGTAACCCCCCTCCCCTCAAAAAAAAAAAAGAGAAAGAAAGAAATGAGTACCAGTGGTTGGCACTTATCTTAACCAAATTAGGGGACAAAGGGTTAGTGAATGGATTCAGTACACCTCATTACATGTTAAGAAGCACTGTTACATCATGTTTGAGATATGGACTGCCTGGGACCTGGATTCAAATGTTAACTGCCGTGAAGTTAGCCAGTGGCACTGGGCTTGGCATTTAACCTCTTTAGTTAATGGGAATAAAAGGAAATACTTCTCGAGGGTCCTATAAAGATTATAGCAGTTGTAAAGCATTTAGCATTGTACTTACCCTCCAGCACCATGGTTTATTTATTTATTTATTTTTTTGTCTTTTGTCTTTTTTGTTTTTACTGGTACCCGGGATCGAACTCACAACTGCCTGCTTGCAAGGCAGGCACTTATGCCGCTGAGCTAAATCCCCAGCCCCAAGCACCATGGTTTTTGTTGGTGGTGTTTTCTTTTTTTGGGATGGTGGCTCTTTTTGTGCAGTTCAGGCTGACCTTGCAGTGATCCTCCTGCCTCAGCCTTGGTGCCCACTCAGCACCATTTTTTGTACCAGGCCTTGTTCTACTTCGTTCTTGTCTTTTTGAAGGAAGAAAAGGTGAATCTTAGTGTCAGGAACTGGAAGCTGAGCACTTTAAGAAGGAGTAGACTCTGCTAATGGTGGTGTAGAGGGGAGACTAGACGTCCTGTTTCCAGACCACTGGGCAAAAGCCGTTTGTGTTTTGCAGGCCTTATTATTGGCTTGCTGACTCACCCTCACTGCTGTATGACTTGAGTTCTACTCCTACCTGGTCTTAAGGAGACATCTTGTCATTTTGTCCTTTTAGAAGCCTTGCTGACGGCAGAGCATGTGAAAGGTGATGTCAGCATTTCTGTGGAAGAAGGGAAAGAAAATATTCTTCGTGTTTCTGAGTAAGTGCTTTTGCATCTTTATTTTCAGTCCTGAGCAGCGTTTTACAGTATTCAGCTTTAGATATTGTATGCTGGTTTCACTTGCAAGTCAGGTAGGCTGTTCCTAGAAAGGGTTATGCTTCATCATCCTGGAAGACAGCAGAGCGCAGAAGTTCCTGCTTGTTAGCTGGCTGTCTGTTCCACTCCTAGCTTGTTTAAAAAGAGCAAGGGATATAGAGAAAGGTTTTTACCTATGGCTTTTTTTGTGTGTGTGTGTGTCTTTTTCTTTTTTATTGGTACCAGGGATCGAACTCACGACTGCCTGCTTGCAAGGCAGGCATTTATGCCGCTGAGCTAAATCCCCAGCCCCTTACCTATGGCTTTTAATTCTATAATAATTATTCTCGTGGAAAATTTGTAATTAAAATTAGGGAAGACAGAAAGTAAATAATCTGGTAAGTCCACAGCATAGAATGTCAGCATGGGGGAAAGGAGATGTGGGAAGGGTAAGAGGGGGAACTGGCTTAAACCCAGGACCACACAAGTGCTGGGAAAGCGCTTACATCCCTGGACTATCTTCGCCAGTCTTTTTTTTTTTTTTTTTTTTTTGATTGTTTGCTTTCATTTTCTTGTTTTTGGCTCTGTGAACAGGGTTTTGTTGTGTTTTTTGAGCTGACCTTCGGGTCCCCACAAGTAGCCCAGTGGGAATTTATGATCGTGTTACATTGGGCCCTGCGGGAGCACTGGTATGCGCTGTGTGTCCAGCCGAGAAGATTTAAATTTATCTTTAAGTTTTTCCTGATTTATCCAAGTTACACTCTATATTGATCTTGGTCATTGTCTGTTAAAGGCTTTTTTCTGGATCTAGAGAGTTGTTAAAGCTGCTGAATCCAGGCTTTCTGAAAGGATGCTCTGGCTGAGCTGTTCGTGTAGGGAACGTCCGGTGTTTCTGCCCTCAGATCAGGGTCCTGCAGAGAAGACCTGTTGTGCTTTTGAGAGAGTTCTGGGTCTGCTTGAGTTGGCTGAGAGGACAGCCTGGCAGAGCAAGGCCTGGGAGGATTAAATCAGCTGCCTGTCAGTCCTTATTCTAGCTCTGCTTCCTTCTGTTCCGTCAGAGATAGTTCCATTGGTTTTTTTAAGTCATTGGGAAAATCTGAAACTTAAATTGGTTTGGTTTTTGTGAATTCTACTTAGAATTCCATGTTTTCAGATCTGCTTTTGAAATTTTATTGCTATTATCGTGTCTTTCTTTAGTCTCTTTCATTTTATGGCTTTGTGGTGGGTTTTTAATCAGTTGTGTTTGCTAGGGGTTTTTGGCAGTATCACCCAGGCTAAGCTGAAACATCTGAACTCAAGTAATCTCCCTGCCTTCGCTTTCTGAGTACCTGGGCTGCAGGAACAGCCGCTGGTCCTGGCTGTGCTGGAGTCTGGATGGGGCTGAGCTGCCTTCTTTATCTGAAAGTGGCTGACACTAACCTCTTTCCTTAGCACGAGGGCTGAAGCTAGTATCTTCACACGGAGCTACATCGTCAGCCTTTTTCGTTTTTTAATTTTGAGACTTTTTCTTTGTGATCTTCCTGCCACAGCTTCCCAAAGTGCTGCGATTCTGTACGTGAGCCACCGTGCCTGGCACTGGCATCTTTATGGCAGCATATCCATGGCGTTTGGCTTTTGTTTTGTTTGTATTTGTGAAACAGGGTCTTACTGTGTAGTTCAAGCTGGTCTCGAGCTCACTTTATAACCCGTGCTGATCTTGAACTTGCAACAATCCTCCTACCTCAGCCTCCCGAGTGCTGGGATGCAGATGTGCACCACCATGCCCGGCTTGGGTCCTTATTTTGAATCACTCCTTCCCACCATGTCCCAGTTATGTGTTTGCGTTTCCATCACTACACAGGCATGCGGTCGTAAAGGAAAGATGACACAGCTGCAGAATGTCTCCCGAGAAGAGTGGTGCGCTCAGCTGCTACTTCACAGCAGATTGTCATTCGGTAGAAACAAAGAATAGATTAGCAGAGCCATTTTTTAAAACTATACTAAAAAAGAACATTAAATACATTAGGATTTATATATTTTTATATATATATTTTACATTTTTCCTAATGTCTCATGACTTCACTGATTTGCTGGAGCAGCCATCCAATCTTATCTTTGCTTGTATTGCAGAAATGTGGCGTTCGCGGACATTAATTCCATACTTCGCTACCTGGCTAGAGTTGCAACGACGGCTGGGCTCTACGGCGCCAACCTGATGGAACACGCGGAGGTAAACCTGGAACAGTGCCTACTGTATTTTTGTTTCTGGTTTTGTTGCTGTTGTTGTACAGTGTGAGATACTGAGCCCAGCACCCTTGCACATGCCAGGTAAGCACTCTACCATTGACTGAGCCACATCCCCAGCCCTTTTTGCTTTTTATTTATTTTATTTATTTATTTATTTTGTCTTTTTGAGACAGGGTCTGTCTATGCAGTTCAGGCTGGCCTTGAGCTCACTTTGTAGCCACAGTTCTCCTTGTGGCTAAGTAGAATTCAGGCTGGTCTCGAACTCACAACAATCTTCTTGCCTCAGCCTCCTGAGTGCTGGGATTACAGGCGTGAGCCACCATGCCCGGCACTTTTTTTTTTTTTTTTTTGTCTTTTTCTTTTTTATCAGTACCAGGGATTGAACTCACAACTGCCTGCTTGCAAGGCAGGTGCTTATGCCGCTGAGCTAAACCCCCAGCGCCTTGCTTTTTATTTTTGAGGCAGAGTTTCACGGAGTTGCTTTGCACTTGGAATCCTCCTGCCTCAGCCTCTAGAGTAGCTGGTATTACAGGGATGCACCACCATACCTAACTGTAGTTCTGGGTTTTTGGGAGCTTTATCAGAGTGTTACAGAACAAATTAAGGAATGTTCCTCTTGTTCTTAATTTTCAGAAGAATTCTCGGGAGTTGTGGCTCAGTAGGATAGCCAAGTATGCATGACACCCAGGTTTGAGCCCCAGCATGGCAGGACAGAAACCTCTCTTTTTTACAGTTCTTCCTTCTGAATGTTTAACCCCCGCCATCTACACTTCAGGTGCACGTAGTGTTCTCTTCCCCTTCTTAGGAGCCTGGCGTTCCCAGCTGGGTAGGACTGTGGCGATCAGCCCACACCACCTTATGAGGGGCAATGGGCTTCGAGGGACTGAGGGACCAGGCCAGTGGACACTCAGTCTGGGTCTCAGTGTGGTGTTGGAGTGCATGGTGGGTGCACTTACTGGTGCTGGAACTCTCATTGCTGCTCTGGAAGTGCTGCTTGTGCCCGTTTGCGTCCTACTTCATCTCCATGAACTGTGAAATCAGCATGCGAAGAGGTGGCTGTTGTAACTGTTTACTTTCTAACTGTTTAGTGATTAGCCTGCGTGGCCATGTCACATCGCCACGTTTTGGGTTAGCTCGGTTGGGTCCTGCTTCCTCCCATTGTCTCTCAGTATGTGTTTTCCTTTCATGAATTGCCCGTTCGTCACTTCACCCAAGGTATTTAAGTGCCATTTTATGTCCCAGGGAACTGGAATCAGTTCCACATAGTGGTGAGTTCTGTAACTTGAGATAAGAAACTCATGGTTCTGAGCAAGGCAGTCTTGTAGCAATAGTGCACTGCTGCCCCAGTACCAGCATTGTTTCTCCTGGTCTTTTCAGGACTGTGCTCTGGAGCATGTTTCTTTTCTTTGTATTCGCAGATTGATCACTGGCTGGAATTTAGTGCTACAAAATTGTCTTCATGTGACTTATTTACTTCTGCAATCGACGAGCTTAATCATTGCCTGTCTCTGAGAACATTCTTAGTTGGGAACTCCTTGACCTTAGCAGATTTTTGTGTCTGGGCCACCCTAAAAGGTATCAGCCAATCATTCCTTTTAAAATACTCTGATTTCCCTTTTTCTCTCTTCCTCTCTCCTCTTCCTCTTCCTTCTCCTTTTTAAGTCCCAAGTACCTGAGACTGTAGGCATGTACCATTGTGCCTAAGATATTCTATTTTAATCATTTAATATTTTACTGCATTAGAAGTGTGTACATTTCTCAGTATATGTGTATGCATGTGTGTGTAAGTATATATGTTTCCATATGTATATATGAGGTATGATTTAGAAATACAGCATTGTAGTTACTTTCTAATTGCTGGGCCACTCACAGGTTAAAGGAACAAAGGTTTATTTTAGCTCATAGTTTGAAGAGGATTCAGTTCATGGTCAGCCACCTCTAAGGCACGTCCGTGTGGCAGAGGAGAAGCAGTTCGTGGTATGGCAGGCAGGAGGCAGCACAACTTCTTTCCTTTCCTTTTTATTCCGTCCAGGCTGTGAGCCTTTTGGTCAGTAGCACCCATATCCAGAACTGTGCTGAATCAGGGAGTAGACTAATCCAGTATCGTGTGCCCATTATCCAGGATCATGTACCTGTGACTCAGTCGCTGCCAAAGCCCCACCTGTGAATTCAGGAGGCTTTGGGGGACATCTGGATTTAAACCATAGCATACAGTGGATGCTGTGTTAACGTGAAAGGCAGGTTGCCCTGACTCCCCTCACATACCTCCTCTTGCTTTGGCTGTACTTCTCCCCTCGTTCTTGCCACTTTCTGCAGCAGAGCTGGGAGTTCTTCTTGAGTGTCCTAATCATGCTGTCCTATCTGTCGAGAGGACCTGAATAGATGCAGCATGTTTACCTTTCATGGTCCTTTGAGTTTAGGAAGAGCCAAAAGTCACGTGGTGCCAGATCCAGCGAATAAGATGGATGAGACCATACCACGGTGTTTTCACCACCTTTCCTTTCTGTTGACAGCACTTGGCAGCAACATTTAACATGTTTTTTTATCACACCTTGTAAAGACACAAAGAAAGATTTCTAGAACAACTTCCAAAAATGGCAAGAATAATAGGATAGCGTGTTCAAAGCAAGAGGCCTGGATAGCAGTAGCCTGTTAGAGTGTGCCCTGGGTGAGTTCCGGCAGCGACACAGGCTTCCTCACCGAGAAGATCCTTCCCACTCGCCTGGGTGCCGGAGTGATTCTGTCCTTTGCAGTCCCCGGGGTCCCCTTGCCCTTGCCTTTGGAGCTGCTGTCCTGCCTCTGCCGAGGAACCGGCACCTTCCCGCCTCGCCCCTTTTATTTTTTATGTTGAGGCAGTCTTGCTAATTTCCCCAGGCAGACTCAAACTTGCAGTCCTCCCGCCTCAGCCTCCAGAGTGCACGGGTTAGAGTTGTGTACCACCACACCAGCCATGACTGATTTCTTGCTCTCTAGCTGGTGTACTGAAAATGTTCCTTGACTGTAAAGTGAGGTCTTGGCTTTACAGTGGGTGTGTGGCAGGAGTAAAGGAAAGGATCCGGTATTAGTGTCAGTAAATTGAACTTAACTCTGTAGAATATATTAGAATATTAGCAAATATTTGCATGCATACCCAGATCTTAAACACTGTATGCAGAAGCACAGCTTTAAGCTATTTACCACATTAATGGTAACTGAATTTTAAACTGGATGGTTTTGAAATTTTGTCGCTGACAGGAAGTGCTGCGTGGCAGGAAGAGTCGAAGCAAAGCAAAGGCCCGGTGCACGTGAGGCGCTGGTTCAGCTTTCTCGAGGCCCAGCAGGCTTTCCAGTCGGTCAGTGCCAAGTGGGGCATTGCAGCCAACAAGGCCCGGGTGGTAAGCTGCTGCCGCCTTTTTCTTTGGGACCCTGACACTTCAGTCTAGCCAAACCACAGGTTTCTAAAGAAAGAGAATTTCTGCTCGTGAAGCTTATTTTCTTTTCAGAAATGGGAAAAGTATCTTAAAATCTACCCCTGTTAAGTCTCAGTTTGAATTTTTTTGTTCAGCTACATAAAATAGCATGACAACCCCCTCCCCGCCCCCATGCCCTCTTTTGTTTTCTTTCAGTGCTAGGGATTGAACCTGGGGAGTGTTGCGCTACATCCCTAGCCCTTTGTATTTTGAGATGGGTCTTACTAGGTTGTTCCTGCTGGCGGTGAATTTCAAACCCTTCCGCCTCAGCTTCCTAGTGGCTGGAAAGTAAGCCGGGGCCACAGCGCCTGCTGGAACACTGGTCACCACTGAGCTCCCTGCAGCCTCCTGGCCTGTTTGCAGCTGTGCAGGTGGCTTCCTAAGTCCTCTGTGCTGTGTGTGGCTTTGCTTCTGGCCAAACCGGGGCGTTTAACCCAGGAACTCAGGTGCTTTGTTGGAGCTCTGCCACTGAGCCCTGTCTGCACTCTGATCTGTTTGGTTTTTTGAGACAGAGTCACGTTATGTGGTTGAGGGTGGCCTTGAATTCACTTTGTGGTCCAGGCTGGTCTCACACCGGAGCAATCCTCCTGCCTCAGCATTGCCTCCCCAGTGCTGTGATTGCACGTGTGCACCCCCATACTGGGTTCTGTCCTCTGGGGTTTGACTTTTGCAGTCTTTTGTTGACCCTTCAGGCAGAATAGCATAGAGAGGATGGTAGACAGGTCGTCAGCCCCAAATATTCTGTAGGATTAGCATTCCATCGCAGTTATGTGTCATCAAAGTTTTGGTCATTGAAGGTTTTCTGGTGCAGTGCAGTCTGCCAGCTACTGCCAGCAAATCTAAGACCCACAGCTTACTCAGTTGGTTTTCCTGTAAATCTTCGCTTGTCCTTCACCATTATTTGCATCTAATGGCTCATAAACCCCTGTTTTCTCACATCTAGAGGTCTGCCTTCTGCCCCTCCCCATGGTACTGCTTTTCCTGGAGGCCTCCTTCACCTACATGCAGTTAAACCCCACTCCCTAATCCCAAGCTTTCTCTGTGCTGTCCAGGGTATTGTTTTGGGAAGTACAAATGCATTGATCTTTTACCCCTGAGGACTCTGCATGGCCTGAACTGTGAAAGGCAGGGTTAAGCACATCAGAGGGTTAGATCTTGTCCACCTAGTGTCTAGGGCTACGCCCTCCCAGCTGGCCACTGCCTTCTGCATCCCAAGCCCTCTCCCTCTGGCCGGCCTGCCTACACTCCTCAGGACCTAGCCTGCATCTTGGCCCCCCTGTGCTATTCTCATGACTCGCTGGCACTCTGATGCCACCTTCATATCTCTGTGTGTCCCTGTGTGGCTCTGAGTCCTCCAGTCTTGTGGTGCCTGGCACGCAGTAGGGACTGTTTGTTGAGTGCATGTATTCCTAAGCATTTCCCCATGGAACTCCTTGTTTCTGTGGATGTTGTGTTTTGTAGGCACCTGAGAAGAAACAAGATATTGGGAAGTTTGTGGAGCTGCCAGGCGCAGAGATGGGGAAGGTCACCGTGCGCTTTCCCCCAGAGGCGAGTGGGTAAGGAGGCTGCTTGTCCTGCAGTGGAGTCTGTCCATTGGCAAGTCTTAAATCAGTTGTTGAGTATTTGTAATAAGTCGGCATTGAAGGACATAAAAGTATTTTCAGGGCAGGAGTTAAAATTCTAAACATTTCAGTAGTTGCTTGTTAACCTCTAATGCTTACACTGGGCAGTTTTAGTTTCCTAATGAAACAAAAGAGGCTTGTTTTGGTTGTTGGTACTGGGAACAAAACTCAGAGTCTTTGCCCTGCCCCTGCGTTTTTTGCGACAGTTTCAGCTGTGTCGTCGTGTTGTCCAGACTGACCTTGAACACGCAGCAGTGCTCCACTTCAGCCACCCAAGTGGTGGGGTTACGGTTGTGTGCACCCCCTGTTTTATTTTTGAGACAGTGCCTCACCAAGTTGCTGAGTTGTCCGGGCTGGCCTTGATTTGTGATCCTCTTCCCTTAGCTTCCCAGAGTGTTGATTATAGGGATATGCCACCAGAGGCAGTTTAACATTTTAGTTTATTTATTGTTAATTACAAAAATTTTTTTTATATAAGAACAGAACATATGTATTGAGAGTAAGAAAGCTTCTGTCTAGAAGAGAGACAGGTGTCGCGAGTAGGTTGCCAAAGACTGTCTTTTCTTTTTCTTTTTTCTTTTTTGAGACAGGATCTTACTGTACAGTTCAGGCTGGCCTTGAGCTCACTTTGTAGTCCAGGCTGGTCTCCAACTTGCACTGATCTTCCTGCCTCAGCCTCTCAAGTGCTGATGTTACAGGCATGAGTCGCCATGCCAGGCTGACTTTGTCTTTTCTAGAGACTTTTACGGAGCAAAAACCAGGAGGTGAGGTGGGTCCAAAGTAGGAGAAAATGGAAACTGGCAAGGCAGGTGGACATGAAATGGGGCAGAGCTATGGTCACCAATATGATTAATTTTTCAGGTAAAACTGACTAAATCAGGGACCAAAACTGACTAAATCAGGGGGAGTGAGTCAAATAGCAAGCAGGCCTGCTTATGAACAGAGACTCTTCTGTAGGGGTTGGGATGGAGACTCCTGGCTTCCTGAAGGTGAACATCTTAATTTAATCCCAGAATTTTAAATGCACATAAAAAATATCCAAAAATAGGCCATTTCAAATATAAATAAGGTATCCATAAATAAAACCAATTTTTTCATTTATTTTGAGATTTGGAGGCTTCTATTTAATAAGGATTTGTATTTATGTTTTTAGCAATCCTTTTAGTTGTTAATAGATGTTATGGTAGAGATTTTTTTTCCCAAATAAATAAGAGAGTCTTGCAAAATCCTACCTGTTTCATTTGTTCTCAGCAGGTTTCCTAACCTGTTTAACTCTGGGCACGTGTAGAAAACATCTGAATAACTCTGATCTGGTTGGCGTCAGCAAGCCAGGGCCTCTCTGGGCTCTGCCTGGCTTTCCCTGAGCTGGGGTGGGAATCCAGCACCTGCCCGGCTGTGTTGTGTTGAGTGTCCAGGCTGGGCTCTGTAATCGGGTCTGTCTAGCATGACAACGTAAGATGAGTGTCTTGCTAAAGCAGTTGGCCCACTTAGAAACTTAAACAATAGCGAAGTGTTGTGCCAGAACTTTGTAAACGAGATGAATATTTTCCTAAAGTTAGGTTAATTTCAGGTGTTTTATCTTTTTTTGTCATTTGGGTTTTTGGAGACATGTTCTCCCTGGGTAGTTTAGGCTGGCCTTGAACCCACGTATAGCCCAGGCTGGGCTCAAACTCAAAGGAAAGAAATGAAAGGGAGATAGTGACCTTGGAAAATTGGCAGACTCGATCACTAAGTGATAGGTAGTTGAATATGACAGCCATAAATAACACTGAGCCTACATGGTCATCCCATGATGTCCTGTGCCCAGCTGGCCAGTATACTATTCCGGGCGTTTGGTGAGAGCTGGTTTTCCTTTTGAGCCGTGTCCTTCATTTTTTGATAAAATCCACTTTTTAACATAGTGGTTATTTACGGCTGTGTCATTTACCCTTGCTAATCTTCACGTATTTCTGTCCCCATTGCTTCTCAGCATGGTAGGTGCCTCATGTTCATCATTTGTAGCATAAAATTTATCTGTACCAAGTTAAGGTCCATTTCAGAGACTGCTCTCGGCGTTGTTACACTTCGGGAATTTGGTATATAAACGAGTAGTTGAGTTCTGATTCTGATCTATCCCCTGCTTACACTGCTAAAGTGTTCTTTAATTGCTTCTCTTTTTTCTGCATACATGAAAGGCAGAAGGCTTGTCTTTGCATGTGTGCGTGCGTGAGAGAGAGAGAGAGAGAGAGAGAGAGAGACACACACACACAATGGAAACTGCACCCATGACCTTGCCCTGAGCTACATCTCCTGTGCTTTTGAGGCCAGTTCATACTGAGCTGCCCATGCTGGCCTTGAACTTTCTGTGTCCTTCTGCCTCAGCCTCCCAGATGCTGGGGTGACAGGCATGAGCTCCCACACTTGGCTTGCTGTTTTTATTTTCAGCTAACATATCTGTATCCTATTATGTGCAGACACTACCAAGTAACTCACTAACCCTAACAGGACTGTGCGGAAGATGGTGTCAGTGTCTGTGTTTCACAAGTGCTGTCAGAAACTGACTCACACACTAGTAACTTCCCAGATTTAAACCGCCACCATCTGGCCCTAGAGTCTCCACAGCTAAAATAAGCATTACTCTCTGTCTGTCACATGGGGCAGGAGCTAATTCAGGCCCCTGCTTACTTAAAGTAGCGTGAGTCCTGCCTTTTTTCCCTGCTTCAGTCAGGTCTTACCAGCACCGTGGGCTCTTTCATAGTCCTCTCTGTGTTCTGGTGTTACTCAGATGCAGACTCATCTTCACTTCAAAACAAAGTTTGTTCCTCATCGCCGCGCCTCGTGCTGCAGATGAGCTTGGTGCCTGCACGCAGAGCAAGTGTCCTCACCCTGAGCAGACCTGCCTTGTCCCCGCCTTGCTGCAGCTCCTCAGCCAGGCTCCCTAGTGAGGCTGGGCACACGGCTGTCCAGTCTTTGGGGACAGTGGGCTCAGTCTTTCCCTAGCGAGGCTGGGCACACGGCTGTTCAGTCACTGGGGACAGTGGGCTCAGTCTTTCCCTAGCGAGGCTGGGCACACGGCTGTTCAGTCACTGGGGACAGCGGGCTCATCTTTCCTCTCTTCCTGTTGAGTGCGACATGTTCAGTGAGAACTCGGTGTAGTATTTGTTTCTTTCTGACAACTCACAGCCCTTTATTTAAGATAAACGTCTAATTATAGAATAGTTCATAATTAGAGAAAGTTCCAGAAATAGTACAAAAATTCCCTACATATGTAATGCACAGCATTTTCTCTTGCTAATATGGTACACTCATCATAATTAATGAGCCAGTATTGGAGTATTTTTGTTTGTTTGTTTTGTTTTTGTTTCTAGGTGGAGTCTTGTTCCCTGGCCCAGGCTGGGGTCAGACTTCTTGCCTGAGCCTCCCAGATGCTAGAATTACAAGTCCAAGCCACCATGTCTTGCTCAATAGATTATTCTAAATGAAATTTTGTATTTTGGGGAATTTCTTAACTTTTGCCTGATACCTTTTTTTTTCTGTTTGAAGAGCTCCTTTAGGATAACATATGCAGTTCTTTGTTTCATGCAAGAAGTGTTGAGTAATCCTAACTGCACTGCATTGTGCTTGACTATATTAGCTGATTCATATTAACCCTTCTTGAAATAAATCGTTTATCTGGAATGATTGATTTTAAGGATGTTCTGTCTTTCCTATCATATTGTCATCAACTGAGATGTGCCATCAAACCAGGTTGACTGTGTTGTTTGAGTGCTGAGCTTTGTCCCCAGCTCTTACTTTTACTTTTTTATGTTTGAGACAGTCTTGCTACATTTCCCAGCCTGGTTTCCACTCCCCCATCCTCCATCCCCTGCGGCTGAAGTGGCTGGATTTCAGGCATGCACCACCACGAGCCCCTGGGTTACTATTTCATGCATTGTGACTCCCGCTGTTAGCACGGAAACTAATAAAATTAGTGTGAGCTAGTTACTTGTTTCATACCTTGGAGCTTTTGTTTTGCTTTTGTCTTTTGTCTTTTTGAGACAGGGTCTCCCTCTGTAGTTCAGGCTTAACTTGAACTCTCTTCATTGCCCAGGCTGGGCTCAAACTCATGGCAATCCTCCTGCCTTAGCCCTCTGAGTGCTGGGATTACAGGCATGTGGGTACCACATCCAGCTACGGCTGGAAGCTGTGGTGTTTGTTATGGTTGCGTTTGTGTTTTGTTTTTACTCATTTTGATTCTTGCCTGAGGTTTTGTCCAGTCGAGTGTCGTTTAAACATCAGGGGTGTGGAATGTTGCTCTTTGCCCATTGCACTGACCAAGGAATATTTTGGTGAAGTCTTCCTCCACACCCCTCAGAGTCCCCTCATTCCCAGATCCTGATTTGTGGCATGTTAGTGCTGGATGTGACTTTGGAAATCATTGTGTTAAGAGCTTTTTTATTGGCGTTCGAGAAGCTGAAGCTTAGAGAAGCAGCATTGCCCTTCTCTAGCCTTGGCTTCTCACATGCTCCCTGACTCGGTCATTGCAGTAACAGTGGCGGTCTCTGCAGTGTGGGAGCCAAGTGGGAGCCTAGGACATTTCTAGACTCAGGAGCCTCGGATCTCGGGAGAGATGGGCCTCAGGTGGAGGGTTGTGAGGAGTTCCTTCCAGTGAATCATTTTCCTCTTATGGTAAAGAAAGGCTCGGTTAAGGTTGTGATGTATGCAAACACTTCATTCCCTCCTGAGGGTTCATGTGTGGAGCAGGTTCTTACGGTTATGTTATAAATGCTGAACCTTTCTTGTCGCTGTCAGAGTCAAATTTTTTTATAATTCAGCTGGGGTACCCACTAGAAGTTGGGTTTAGGGGCTGGGGATGTAGTTCAGTGGCACAGTGCCTGCCTGGCAAGCATGAGGCCCTGAGTTTGAGTCCTGCTACTAAAAAAAAAAAAGTTGGGTTTAGTTCTCATCTCCTCAAAAAGGTGAGATCTAAGTATTTAGCTGAAACATGTTAATGAGTCTCTCTGTGGCGTGTTTTTGTTTTAGTTACTTACACATTGGGCATGCAAAAGCTGCTCTCCTGAACCAGCACTACCAGGTTAACTTTAAAGGGAAACTGATCATGAGATTTGATGACACAAATCCTGAGAAAGAAAAGGAAGATTTTGAGAAGGTAATTAAAAGCGTAGTGATGACATTTTGCCCGAAAAGTTACTTACTGAAATCAGAGGGTAATCTGGTGCCTTCATAGTATGAAGATCTGTTTTGTTTCGTGGCTGCTTCTCTTGCCTCACTTGTGGGTTCCGTATTTGTGACCTCAGACAAGAAATACAGAACTCTTGTAACAAAAAATAAAATAAATTTTCTTCTCTATTTTAAAATTTACCTAAACACTTTTCCTGTGAGTAACTGTTTTGCTGGAGTCAGGTTTCCTTTTTTTTATGTGGTTTTTAAGTTTATGAATGAAGAAATGCTAAATCAGTACTGGAAACTGATTTTCTCCTATTTTGCCCTGCTTAAAGATGGGGTAAACGACTGTCGCCCGGACGGGAGTCACCAGCTTTTCCAGAGCAGATGGGAAGCTGCATCTTGGAAGTGGGAACCTAATACCATAAATAGCCTTTTATACACCACACAACTCCACAACTGTTTTCAGGCTATTTAAGATTAATAGTGTTTTATTACATGTGCTCAAAACACAGTATCAAGGATTAAAACACACAAGACAATCGAAAGATGCGCTGATGTCACTGTTATTTCTCATTGCAGGTTATCTTGGAAGATGTTGCCATGTTACATATCAAACCAGATCAGTTTACTTACACCTCAGACCATTTTGAAACTATCATGAAGTACGCAGAGAAACTAATTAAAGAGGGGAAGGCTTATGTGGATGATACTCCCGCAGAACAGATGAAAGCAGAACGTGAACAGAGGGTGGAATCCAGACACAGAAACAACTGTAAGGCATATTTAGTATTGCATATCTTTCTGTAAGAGATGCTGATTCTGGATTGAGTCATGTGTTAGTTCATCTCCTAGCAGTCTTTTTTCTTACTCTTGTTTTGTTTTGTTGAGACAGGGTTTTGCTGTGCAGTTAGGCCAGCCTTGCATTCAGTTGTAGCCCAGGCTGGCCTCAAACTTATGGCGGTCCTCTTGCCTCAGCCTTCCAAGTGCTGACACTGCAGACGTGAGCTGCCCCACCCGCTTTTGCACATCTTTGCTTATTACTGTCTTTTTTTTTTTTTTTTAACATCACAGTGTTGTTCCCTTCATTTCCTCCTCAGTCTTCTACATGCATTTATTTCATTTGAAGAATTCCCTCTGAGGTGTTTGTGGTTCTTTTAATTTAAATACTTAGCATTTGCTTTATTTTTTTTTGAGACAGGGTCTCTGTTAGTAGCCCAGGCTGGCTTAGAACTCACGGCAATCCTCTTGCGTCAAGCTCCTAAGTGTTGGGATTGCAGGCCTGTGCCACCACGCTTGCTGTTAACATGTCTGGTGTTGAATGCCCCTGGCGCCACACGTCAGTGTGGTGTGCAGTCCCATATTGCTGTGACTCGCTGCAGGGTCTGGAGACTGCAGGCAGCCTCCAGCCATTACTCCCCGCCAGGCTTTTCCCTGGGCTCTTGGCTGTGTGCGTGGCTGCCGGAGCGCCGCGAAGCATTTAGGCTGTGCCTGTCACTCACAGCTAGCCGTGGACGTGCAGGTGTGCCTGGTTCTTTGAGCGCAGGTGCAGTGGTCAGGTCCTCGCCAGGCTGTGGACAGCATGGCCAACAGTTCTCCCGTCTCCCTGCGCCCGGCCTCAGGGTTCTGGCGTGCGAGGGCCATGGCCACTGGGAGAGGAGAGTGCTTTTTCTTCCCCGTGTGGCCATTTTCTGTCGGCTCTCATTTCCTGCGCTCCACGAGTTTCCTGCTTCTCCCTGGGAGGACGAGGGGACCTTCAGGGAGCCCACGGGCTCAGGCTCTCAGCCCGAGCCGTGTTCTTCAGACGGGCACGGGCTGCAGCGCCAACGCCCGTGGGCCCCCAGGGCCAGGCCAACGCTCTGTCCCCAGGTGTGAGGTGGCAGAGGAAGAGGAGGCGGCTGCTCTGAGGGCCCTGCTGAACGGGGAGGCTGGAGCGCGGCCCGAAGGACCTGTGGTGCTGTGTGTCCTCACCCTGGCGTGCGGGCGGGTGGGCAGGTGGCTTGTCCTCCCCTCCCCTCTCCAGGGAGCCCCGGAGTGCGACCCAGATGCGCAGGCAGGCTCGCTCCTCAGGAGAGGCTGCTGTGCCTTTGGTGGCGGGCTGTAGCCGCTGTCGTCTTTAAGCCCACGGGGTGTGTTTACAGTGCAGTGGGAAAACTGGGATCAAATTATATGACTTTTACAGTAATTTTAATTCTCACCAGCAGTGCCTTAGATAAGCTGTTGTCTGTCACTTTATAGCTGTTGAGAAGAATCTACAAATGTGGGAAGAAATGAAGAAAGGGAGCCAGTTTGGTCAGTCCTGTTGTTTGAGAGCAAAAATTGACATGAGTAGTAACAATGGGTGTATGAGGGACCCCACCCTTTACCGCTGCAAAATTCAGCCGCACCCGAGAACCGGGAGCCGATACAAGTAAGTGTGTCTCTTGTTGCCCACCAGCCCTTCTGCACAGGCGGACGCAGAAGCGTCAGGCCGGCGCCCTGGCTGTCCATCCTCATGTTACCTAGGGTGGTGGCCTTTCCACGAGGCTTTATTCACTTGCCGTGCCTTCCACAGTGGTTATGTGGATTCCAGGTCTCTAGTAGGCTTTTCTCAGACTGCTTCTGTGTGCAGACATGCTCGCTCCTGCCTGGTTTGCTTTTCATGTACCAACCAGGACCCGGCCTCTTGGCTGAGATCAGTGCTTCTCACCCCCAGTAGCTGCGCTCTACCACATGTAAATTGGCTTCTGAAAGTCAGCAGTGTCCATTGCAGAATTATGGCCAGTATTCAAGGTCTGATTAGGTGTTCAAGTTACCAGAGCTTGTGTTTTGTTTTTGTTTGAGGATGAGTTAAACCCAAGGGTTTTGCACAGCTAGATTCTGCTGTACCCCAGATCCTTGTTTTATGTAGTAAACTACAGAATGTTTTTTCAGTACTTTAAAGAAGGAAGTCTACAAATGCCAAATTTATAACTTCTGAAGTAATTGGTGGGTGAAAGTCACACATATATAGCCTGGCTGGCTCCTGGGCCTTTTTTTTTCTTTTTTGTCTTTTTTGAGACAGGGTTTCTCTATGCAGTTCAGGCTGGTCTTGAGCTCATGTTGTAGCCTAGGCTGGTCTCAAACTCGCAAGGATCCTCCTGCCTCAGCTTCCCAGAGTACTGGGATTACAGGTGTGAGCTACCACACCCTGATGGGCCTTTTTCTAACCTTGGGGTACAGATAGGTATCCCCAGACATGGCAAACCCTACACACATGGTTCACACATATGTATTACTGTCACTCTGCTCAAGTGATGGCCCCTTGTATGAATAAACAGATGCTTTGAGAAAGAGATTTTTGGTGTCAGGTGACTGCAAATCATAATGCAGTGGTAGCTTATTTTAAAAACTAGAAGACATAATGCAATACTATAATATTTATAAAAGTGACAAATTCATACTGCATATATGTAACCTTATTGTAAAGAAGTTGTTTTTAAGACTATTCCATTATAAATGGAATTTTAATTAACGTAGTAATTTTCTGTCTTTTTGTAACCTGTGAAACACTTTGCTCTTTGTTTTTTGCTGTTTGGGACCAGGTCTTGCTTTTTCCCAGCTGATCTCATACTGTGATGTTCCTGCCTCAGCCTCTAAAGTAGCTGGGGTGATGGGTGATGGGCACCAGCTAAGTGCATGATTCTGTTCGGTAGTTCTGCAGATTGACCCATGGCCTTGTGTGTGTGAGGCAGGTGCTGGCGTCAAGCAAATGCATATCCTACCCCAATAAATTGTAAGATAAGGTCTCATTAAGTTGCATTGCCTAGTCTTGAACTTGCAGTCTTCTTACCTCAGCCTCCCAAGTAGATGCACCACACCCCATCCAGCTAATGCTGTTGAGTGTACTTAACTGCCTCCCTTTCAAGACCCTTAAGTTTACTGCAGGGCCCCTCGGAGTCCTCCTGCCATGATAAATGTTGGCCATTACAAACATTACAGAATTTACTAAGCGAATATACAATTCTGTATTAAATCACAAATTTTGGCTTTTGCTTGACTATTGAGTGGGCAGCTGACTTTCCAAGGCGTGTTTTAATTTTGAGTATGATGAGTTATGAGACCTGTTGATTTGTTTGTTTGAAACAGGCCTCACTACGTGGTCCAGGCTGGCCTTTAACTCACTGTGTAGCACAGTCTGGCATATGCGTGCAGTCCTCTCGCTTCAGCCTCCTGAGTGGTAGGATCACAGGCGTGAGCCACCACACCTGGCTATTAAAACTTGATGTCTTCTGAGGCAGTCTTAACTTGAAAAGAGTTACGTGTTAGATAAGAATTGCCTCCTGTAACTACTTAATCTGAGAAGCATAGATATTTCATGCTGATTTTCAAAAACATTCTTTTTTTCAGTATTTATCCCACGTACGATTTTGCCTGTCCCATAGTCGACAGCATCGAAGGGGTCACTCATGCCCTGAGGACCACGGAGTACCATGACCGGGACGAGCAGTTTTACTGGATTATTGAAGCTCTGGGCATAAGAAAGCCGTATATCTGGGAATATAGTCGGCTGAATCTCAATAACACAGTGCTGTCCAAGAGGAAGCTCACGTGGTTTGTCAACGAAGGGCTGGTCGATGGCTGGTAGGTGTCACTTTAGCCAGGCCCGATAGACGAGCAAAGGTGCGGAGCACTGGGGCTTTCTCGTTGCTGTGGCCCGGGAGGGGCGAGCGGAGGAGGCGGGCAGTGGAGAGGCCCACCCCACGCACAGGCCCTGCTGTCCTGCAGGGGCCCTGGAGCCTCATGTGCAGCTCCGCAGAAGGTGAGGACTCTGTGGCTCTGCTGGCCTGGGGACTGTGTCCCGTGCTGCTGTCTGTGGTGCCAGCTCTTTGAGCAAGACCAGGGGAAGCGGGGGTTGAGGGACCTCTGCCTATCACAGAGGGCTGTCTTGTTGTGAGGCTGTTTTCCAGGGCCCTTGGCACCTGCATGGAGGCAGGAGGGTTTCTGTGCACACAAGTGCACTATGTGGGGCTTTCCCGAGAGACAATGGGAGAGCAGAGGTGATCGCAGCTCATGTGAGTTGTCCCGCTCCTGCGTCTAGCACGTAGTTTTAATCAATAAGAGTTTATGTGTTAGTTCCTATTAGTGTCAACAAATAGTGACCAACAAATGCATTACAGAATACGGATGTTACGCAGTTTTACTGTGGAGCCGAACTTGGTAAAAGGCAGTAGGAGGCATCCCTACAGACTGTTAATAATCTGCCTCCCTTTGGACATGTGTTCACACATCTCTTGCCAGATTCTTGGGGTCATGTTAGAATAGAGACCTTGAAAGTGTAATATATACAATAAAATAAAAATGTACTAATGCATGGGTTTTCCATATTGGAAAATACAATTGTATCTTTTTAAAATGCACTTTCACTACTCCCAAAGTGCACTTGTTATTGCAGTGTTTGCCTAGAAGGCAGCAGCTTTTCCTTGAGCTTGGGCTCATGGAGCTGTCTAGGTTCACATCTGAGCTCTTCATCCAAATATTACATGAGCTGCATTCAGTTTGCTGCTGACAGATGCCTGTTGCTGTCTGCATCCAGCCATGTTAAAAACCCCTTGGAGCTTACCCTTGTCGCACTTCCAGGGACGACCCCAGGTTCCCCACGGTGCGTGGCGTGCTGCGCAGAGGGATGACGGTGGAGGGGCTGAAGCAGTTCATCGCTGCCCAGGTGAGCCCGGCCACTTTCCAGCCCTCGATCGGTGTTTCCAGGAGCCTTTCATACTCCTCAGTTATTGCTGTCCCTGTTCTTCTGTTCCCTGTATGTACGAGGGAAGAATTGCTTTTTTTTTTTTTTTTTTTTTTTTTTTTGTCTTTTTGAGACAGGATCTCGCTATGCAGCTTAGGCTGGCCATGAGTTTACTTTATAGCCCAGGCTGGTCTTGAACTTGCTGTGATCCTCCTGCTTCAGCCTCCCAAGTGCTGGGATACAGGAGTGTGCCACCATGCCTGGCAAGAATGGCTTTTTAAGGGAATAAAGTGAACAGTATCTGTCCTTGTGAGTGGTCGGGGGTGTCCTGAGCTCCTAAGTTCGGGGACAGACGAAGGCATGCTAGCGTTTTACCCACGAAGTATCTGGCACTGAATGACCAGTCTGTAGCCCGAGCTGTGACAGTGCCCTGGGCCGGGTGCACACCTTGCGTTGGAAGTAGACTTGCAGAATGTATTGAGTTTGTTTCTAAGCATGCTGAAATTCTGCGGAGTACTTCCCGACCTTAAAGTAACTTTACTGTTGTTTCTCAAGGGCTCCTCACGTTCAGTTGTGAACATGGAATGGGACAAAATCTGGGCATTTAACAAAAAGGTACGTGTGTGACTGTCATCCACTCTGAGTGTCTCCGAGTCTTGGTTGACATCTGTGTGGAAATCAGTGTGCTTCCCCGTAGCAGAGAGATGTGTGAATAGTGGGATCATTTTGCAGACTTTCAGGAAAATGGAATGTTTCCCTGTTGCGAATACGTTACCAAGGCATTCAGCCTAATAACTACCCCATGAGTAACTGTCATTGAGACGAACCAACCTGGACTTGGGAAACTTGGGAAGCGGTGATAGCTTTTTCTTAAAATCTTTTATGAACACTCTGCATTTCATTTTTCTGCTTTCAAGCTGCGAGCTCTCTGTAAGAAGGTATTACTTACTGCTTTTATTTGCCTTAGCTTTGAGCACATTCCATGTCACAGTCTGAGACGTTACACACTGGGAAGCACAATCACATTTCTACAAAACCTGTGCTGGTGCACACATGTTGAAAATGCACTCTTCTAGTTGTATAATACGTGTCCTCTGGTCTTCGTGGCAAAGTAAAGACTTTCAGCTTCATTCTGCCGTCCCTGAGTGCTGAGAGGATGTGGAGTTTTAAAACTACTATTTCCCCGAGTTGCATTGAAGGTTCCTCAGCCATGACCCCTGTCTTTCTGGGTCCAGCCATTTTTTAAATAAAGCATGTTCTTAACTGAAAATCAAGTGAGGAATGTTGCACACTGGCACTGCCGCCTCCTGTTGGAAGTGGATGCTGGACACCATAACCAGGCAAATCGTCCTGATACCGTGTGTGGACTCAGCTCTGTGATTGTGTCCTGGGAGCCCTGTGTCGGGGTTGCTGCCTGAATGTGCCAATGTCTTGCCTCCAGAAGTAGTTGCTTGTGTCGCATGTGTCTCAGATTTTACTTATTTTTGTGTCTAGTCATTCTTGAAACCTAGTAGAGCTAATTGGTTTTTTCTGTTGCTGCAGTTACTAATGGTACATGAATGGAATTTACAAGCAAAGTGAACATCGACCTGCCTCTCAGTGTATTTAAAGGTTTACACTTTCATGCATTATATATTGATTGACAGCAGTCTGGATAAATGTCCAGAGAGTTTTTAAGTCACAGGTGTATGTTGAGGTTAAGACTTTGAACTCTGTTTCACTTGAAGTAACTGTGCCGGGTCTGTGGAAGATGAGCATGCACACCTCCGTCCCTCCTTGTGTGTCCTCTCCCCCAGGAGGTGCTTTCACTTCTTTCGAGGGGCACTATTTTGGCCCTTGTTGCCCACACCACTATCTGAGACGCCAGTTGCTGCTCTGCTGTGGTGCTCGGCCTCCTCTGTTATCCTCCCTCGATTGCTGAAGAGGATTTAGGTATTTACTTTTCTCTTCACCTTTTGCTATCTGTGTAGTTGATTGTTTCGTTTTACCTCTCATTTGCATACTTCTCTAAATTTTTCTCAGAGTCCAAGAGTCGACTCACTTTCCCGCCAAGAATTTCATGCACCTCAGCTGCTCTTGCAGGTGCATCGTGGGGACATCTCTGCCGCAGCCTTTGGCATTGCTTATGGGTCTAGGTTAGTGGCACAGTGGCTTTGGAGGCACAGCAGGCTGCCCAGCTCTCTCTTTATCCTCTGGGAGTTCCCTTTGCTTTTGTCCAGCATTGCGTTGCCTGCTTTCTGGCTTGTTCTTGTTGATTTTGATCTGATTGAGGCTAGGGTTCGCTGTGTTATGCAGGCTGGTCTCAGTTCCTGGGCTCTGACAGTTGTGCTGTCTCAGCCTCCTGAGCAGCTGGGACTGTGGCACCTGCCACCCTCCCCGGCCATGCCTTCGTTTTCCTAACCCTCCTCGTTTGCTGTACTCCTGGAACCTCTCTGAGACAGGGAGATTAGGGTGAAGACTTTTGAGACCTTGTGCGGGACCTGGTTTTGGTCTGGGATGCTGAACTGAGCCCAGGGCCCTTTGACATGTTTTGCTCTGAGACAGGGTCTCACCAAGTTGCCCAGGGATCTGAACTTGTAGTCTTCCCCTTCAGCCTTCTGAAGTTCTGGATGCTTGGGTGCACCCAGGGCTGGCTCTGGCTCTCTACCCTGATCCTTGGCCTTTAGGAGGAGCCTTTCTGCAGTCTACTCCCTTCTGTACCCAGGAGGACTGTGGCCCAGCCAAGACATACGCACTTCCGCTGTGGGGCGCTGCCCAGGATTTTCTCTTCCTTTGCTTCCTTTCCTTCTGAGCTGGAGGCCAAACCCTCCTGCCTGTGGTGTGGAAAGAACGGCCACCACCCCGTGCCCTCCACACTGGGCTGTGCGCCCCTTCTTCCCAGAGTTCTCTGGAGTTCTAGACGGGCACCCAGTTTCGCTTTGCTCTTGTACTTTCTAGTTTGTGTTTGGGTTCTATTTTCTGGTAGATCTACTCAACTTCATTTGCCTACCCTCTCTTTCATTCATGATACCGTATTTCCAAGATTTCTTTGAATTTTAAAAAGACTTCTTATTTATATAATAATACTGAGTTTTTGCTGGTTATGGTGGTACACACCTGCCATCCTAGCTACCTGGGAGGCCAAGGAGGAACATTGCAACTTTGAGGCCAACCTGGGATACTTAGTGAAACCCTTCTCAGATTAAAAACTCAGTGTTAGTGTTAGAGTACCCTGTGTTCAATCCCTGGCACTGCCAAAAACAACTTTCTTTTTCCTGTAGTGTGTCTTTCCTGCAGGTTGGTCCTTTTGGCTTCTCTCTTTTATACTAAGGCAGTTCTCCGATGCCGGTTAGCTTTGGTTCTCTGCCCAAATTTAATGCTGGAGGCTGCAGGGGTGATCAGAAGGCACAAAGGCAACAGTTGAGCTTCCCTGCGGGTTGACCAGGTGGGCCAGCTGGGAAGCTTTCGTGTTGGTAACTTCTGACTCTTCATTGGGGTGAGCAGCGCTTCCAGAGGCATTTGCTGTGGTGGCCTCCTGCAGGAAGGCAGAGGGGAGTTGGGAGGGCTCTTCCTGTCCATCCCCTTCGCTTGCTCCCCGTCCTTAGTCAGGTCCTTCCCCTAGCTCCTCCCGCCACTTCCTCCTGGAGCATGGCCGAGAGTGGGTGGGGGCAGGTGACACCTAGCAGTGTGCAGCAGAAGTACCTGGTGCTTCTCAGCCTCCAGAGTTTGTCACACTGTCCTCCGGGTTCTTCCCTCCTTCATGGTTCTTGCCTTTGAACAACCAGACCCTTCTCATCTTTAGTGGTGATGTGGGCGGAGGTAGAAATAGAGAAATCCTTTCAGTCTGCTTTGATTATGCTTGAGTGTGGGTTAGTCCATCCTTAGTGTCACCTTACATAGTCTTTTTTTTTTTTTTTTTTTCGTTTTTATCGGTACCAGGGATCGAACTCACGACTGCCTGCTTGCAAGGCAGGCGCTTATGCCATTGAGCTAAATCCCCAGCCCCCTTAGTGTCATCTTCAAAGCACAAATGCCTGGCATTTGGGTTGGTAGTGAGGCGGAGGCACAGGCATTCCAGTTGTGTGCTGGTTTTGTTGGCTTGGCTTTGCATCTTGCCAGGAAAGTGTGTAGAGTTTGTGTGTCAGGGTTACATGTGCTTTCGTGGGGTCCACGTTAACAAGGTGCATGGCCTTTGCTGCCTTGGTAGACGGCATCTCAAAGGCTGGCTTTGCATTAGCCTCACTCATTTTCTTCTTGGTTTTACTCACATGTTAAACTTTCCAGTCCAGGCAGAAAAGGCACAGCTTTAAGGTGTTCATTCAAAGCTGTTATTATTGTCAACCTTCCTTTACTGCTTTGATTTTTAAACTTGATGTAGTATTTTAGTAGTAAAGTAGCAGTTTTCTACAAGGATCATCCCATTCTCCTTCTGTCTGCCCTCAGCTGGTCAAGTGTGTACAGACTGTCTCCCTGGCTCGCAGTGGGAAGCACTGTAGTGTATCCTACTGCTCTATGTGTGGAAGGAAGTGGTTATGGCGAGGGCGAGTTCCATCTGGAGCTGTGCTCTCTGCAGTCTGTTCCTGCCCTGTCCTCTGTCACAACACCTCTTGGCACCTTTTAGGACTCTGGGGAGTAATTTGAAGACCACTGCTCCAGAGGTTTTAATAATTATAATATTGGAGTTGAAAAGGAATTGAGTTTTTTAGTTTAAGGTTTCTCAAACTTGCCTGACCCTAACTACCCTTGAAAGCCTGTTAGATCAGTTTCCAGGCTGTATTGCAGACCGTTTACATCATCGTTCTGTTCTGTTCTAGCATGTTTTCTTAATTCTCTGCCTTTTGCAGTGTTGCTGGTTGTAGAGGGCTTGACCCAGTGCAGGTGCTTCGCCACCAAGCAGCACCTCAGCCTCAGAACCCCAGTTCTGTGCTAACCCTGGCCTTGCCACTGATTAGCCCACTGTGCGAAACAGGCTTCAGCTCCTTGTCAGCCCAGGACACTGAATTGAGGTCCTAGGACAGGGTTGTCTTCAGCTTCTTTGAATGAGTTTCCTCTTACTGGCCTAGCCCTAAATTGAGTACTGCTGTCAGAGGTTAAATCTCAGTCAGTGGACACTGAAAGAAGGGCCCCTTAGTTAGAATGACCTTTAGATTTAGATGTCAAAGGAAGAGTTGACCAGTGAATTTAGAGGCGCTGGGTGATGTGGTGTTTGGAATTTGAAACCTTTTTTTGGTTTGATTTTTTTTTTTTTTTGTACCAGGAATCAAACTCATAACCTTGCGCTTGCCAGGCAGGCGCTTACCCTGACCTCCTGAGGATGGCTTCCTTTTTCCAGTGTTCATAGTTTCTATATCTATCTTCTAGAAGATGCACAGTATCCTTCACCCTTCTAAATGAGAAAATAACCGTTATTTTACTTAGCTGTTTGACCTTACATTTGCTTTTACCTGTATTTTTCACCCAATATTTTATATAGTACCCTCCCTCTATAATAGAAACACTCCATTATGACGGGTCTTCATGAGTAATGTTAATGGTGAGGTGGGAGAAGGGTTCCCCCTACCGTTTAGGAGGTAGAACAGATGGTTGAGGAAGTGGAGGGCGTATCTGGGAATACTTCTAGTTTACCTGTCATACCCGGCCTTTGCTAGGCCCTGGGAACACACTGGTCCTGTGTATTAATTCACAGTGAAGGTACTTTGTCCAAAATGTTTGGGACCAGAAGTGTTTCAGATTTCAGATGTTTGGTTCATGGATGCCCAGCCTGTATGTTACATATTTTACTTTTCATCTGGGGAATTGCCTTACTATAGTGACTAATGAATGCCGTTCTGGCAGTGTGTTGGCTGACACTGGTTATAGAAATGATACTGAAATCCAGATACATGGGTCCTTTAAAGTGGACTTCTCCAGCAGTGTATAATCGAGTACCTCATTTACTTTTAGGGATTGATACAGAGCCCACAGCACTCTTCCTCAGGTGCCAGCTGTAAAGGTTATTTTCAGAATATTTCTAATTGGTTTCTTTTCATTTGCCAAGAGTCATTTTTGGCAAGGAACTATAAATCCTTCATGTCATCTTGTCTTATGGTTGTTTTTCTTTTGTCTATTTGACAATTACTTATTACTGAAGCAGTGTCAGATGAACCGAAGAATTAGTAAATGCAGTAACAAACAAAGCCAGTTGCCCGTGCTGTGCTGTCTCTTGGTGTGCATGGGGGGTCCGAAGTCTCCGCTGTAATGTGGACTGTGTTGATTGCAGGTCATTGACCCTGTGGCCCCGAGGTACGTGGCACTGCTGAAGAAGGAAGCAGTCCCTGTGAACATCCCCGAGGCACAGGAGGAGATGAAGGAGGTGGCCAGGCACCCAAAGGTCTCACCAGGGTTTTTATCTTTAAAAGGAGGAGCCAGATAATAAAAACAAGAACTGTGCTTTCATGGCAGTAGCATTATTTGGGAATAATTTTTTTTCACTATTACTTGTCAAGATTTGACACCGATTGAAATAAGTGTTTCTGTGGGTTTTACCCTGAAATGTGTTCTTCATCGCATATCGCCCAGAAGAATTGTTAAGCCTGGTGCTTTCTTTCTGTTCTGCAGCCACAGCATAGTGTGAGACACTCAGCCCTTCCCAGAGTCACTGTGAAGGGAGAGGTGCAGTGTTCCTATCTTCAGACGGACTCCGCCAAGCATTCTGTTTAACTTGACCTTTGAAGGTGGTCCCTGCACCTCTGCAAAGCAGAACGTTAGACTCACTAGTACTGAGTCACAGTGTGACTTGAGAGTCTGCCGTGGTGAATCAGCAACCTGTTGCAGAGATTATTTTCGAAGTATCAGTGGAATCTGTCCATTTAAATTCTGATTACAGATCTCAAGTATAGATAGTTCTTTTTAGTTAAGACATGATTATCACCTTGGGTGCTCACGATGACTGACTTGAGAGATTTAAAGCAAAAATTGGAATAACTCACCTCTGTGTTAGATTCGTAGACTTGACTCGCTTAGGGAGTACACATACTGGGAGAGCTGTCAGCCTTCCAAATTATGATTTGGCTCTTACAGTTGTCTGTATTTGGCTCTTACAGTTGTCTGTGTATGCCTTTACCTGTATTTTATTTTATTTTCACTTTTTGGTATCTGTGCTTTAGAGACTTGTCCCCTAAAATAATTTGGGAATGCAGTGTTCTGACACATAGAAGCCTGCTCTCCCCCCTGTAGCAGCGCACTCTTGGTGTGGTAGCACAGATGCTCCATTTAGCTGGGGTGGGAGGAGGAGGCAGGGGTGCCCGGGCTGCCTGCTGTGTTTGATGATGCCCTCCGCTCCTGTGCTGCAGAACCCCGAGGTGGGCCTGAAGCCTGTGTGGTACAGCTCCAGGGTCCTCATCGAAGGGGCCGACGCGCAGACGCTCGCAGAGGGGGAGACGGTGACCTTCATCAATTGGGGCAACATCAGCATCACTAGCATACACAAGTAAGGACTGTTCTGCTGTGCCAAGTGGGCAGGCCAGAAAAGGCCGTGCTTTATTCTAACTGCGCATTTCCTCAGTCAGAGCCTAACCCACCTGATTCTGCCTGCTGCCTGGTCATAGGAATGCTACACACAGGCTTAAATGTTTTACAATACATACTGCAGGGTACTCATAGATGGTCAGCACATCTTTTCTTATGATATTGAAAATTACTACATAGAGATAGAAAAAATAAAGCTTTAGAGTCCTTTTTTATCATCATTACATAATTGCCTGATGGGGAGATATTTTGGACAATATTTATTTATAACTTAGTCCTTATCATAAGAGTTGCTTTAAAATTGATTAATGTTAGCAATGAGTTTTACTTCCTAGATATGGTAAGCATTCAGCATTTACTTTATTTTTAGATTATATAAATGGAACATAGTACATTTATGATTTGTTTATGTAATCTGTAATGTTAATTGTGTAGTCATTACATATGATTGCAAGTTTGTTTCTGATTTTATACTACTTAATAAAGCTAACTTTATTAGTACCAAGAATTGAACTCGGGACCTTGTGTTTGCCAGGCAGGTGCTGTGCCCCTGAGCTACATCCCCAGCCCAATACAGCTGACTTTAAATTCAATAACACATCCCAAGTTATCCATCAGATGTCTATAGATCTGTTGTCCAGTGGATTAGTGTCTTGGTAGCAGAATATATTTTAACTATGCATAGATACGTTTCACACATTAGAAACTCAAATATATTGTTTGTTTGTTTGTTTCTTTTGAGACAGGGTTTTGTTATGTAGTTCAGGCTGGCCTTGGGCTCACTTTGTAGCCCAGGCTGGTCTCGAACTTGCAGTGATCCTCCTGCCTCAGCCTCCTGAGTGCTAGGATTGACAGTTGTACAGCATACCTGGCTTTAAATATATGTTTGATTTGAATTTTTTCAAAGCAAGTTATTTTGCATTTATTATGAAATAGAATGATAGTTTATTTTGTAATAACTCATTTATATTGTAATAACCCATTTATAGCAAGTGTGATTTCATTCTTTGAATGCTTTTTAATCTTATACTAGAAATGCAGATGGAAAAATTGTATCTCTTGATGGAAAATTGAATTTGGAAAATAAAGACTATAAGAAAACCACTAAGATCACTTGGCTTGCGGAGACCACACGGGCTCTTCCTACCCCCACGATCTGCGTCACTTATGAGCACTTGATCACCAAGCCGGTGCTAGGGAAGGATGAGGACTTCAAGCAGTACGTCAACAAGAACAGCAAGGTGACCTGCCTTCTGCCTTGAAATAAACTTTTAGAAGTAATATTCGACATTTTGGCATCTTCAGCAAAATAGCAAAGTGCTGTGGGATTCTATTTAAATAAACAGATTCTCTTAAGATAAAGAGAAACACAGTGAAGTTAGCTCCTGCCGACGACAGACATCTCAGTGCCTGTGGCCCTGGCTGCAGAGCCTCTGCCCGGCACGCTGGGCAGACTGCCCTCGGCTCAGCCAGTGTTTCTTCCTTTGCAGTTCGCATTTATGGTGGGAAGAGTAGTTGTTTTCACCGGACTAAGAGCTGTTATGCAAAGATTTCCTGAAGCCGGGCAGCTTATAAATGCTGACCTTCAAGTGTGATAAACGGGCTCAGTGGAGGGTGCAACCTTGTAGTCTCAGCTGCTCGGGGTGGAGGCAGGGGATTAGCAAGTCTAGGTCAGACCAAGCAAGTTAGCAGACCCAACCCTAAAATAAGAAGTGAGGGCTGGCCGTGCCATGTAGTGGTCCAGCACGGGCCCCAGGTGCATGGCGGCCCCCAGGTCAGTGCTCAGGGTTGCCCCCAAGAAGTGATAAATGCGCCTGTCGTTTCTTTTGACATATACTGTTCTACTGTGTGTACATTGTCATAGTTTTTGATGTTTATGTCTACGGTGAGATTATACCACCTACTGAGAAGACTGCGCCTTTTATTTTAGACTTGATTTGATGAGTGGGAAAAATGTGTTTCAGTCTCGTATGGTCTTTGCAGCGTGAGGAACTGATGCTGGGAGATCCCTGCCTTAAGGACTTGAAGAAAGGAGACATTATCCAACTCCAGAGGAGAGGCTTCTTCATCTGTGACGAGCCCTACGAGCCCACAAGGTGAGTGCATGCAATGGACCCTCAAATGGGACAGGGTCTCATGGTGCTTAACAGAGAAAAAATTGTTTTGTTCTGTTTTTTGTTCTGGTACTGGGAGGTGAACTCAGGACCTTGCGCTTACCGAGCAGTTACTGAGCTATATCTCTAGCCATTTTGTTTTTTGAGGTTCTCGCTATGCAGTTCAGGCTGGCCTTGAATTCACTGTGTAGTCCAGGATGGCCCTGAACTTAGAATGTTCCTCCTGCTTCAGCCTCCTAAGTGTTGGGATTGCAAGAATGTGTTGTGCCGGCCTCATGAGGAATAATTTAAAAGCCTAGCCTTCACCACAGTGCTGTACTGGACAGATTTCTACTCCATTTGATCTGGTCTTCTGTATTTAAGAGTTTAGACTTCCACAGTGATTGGGTCGCGCTGCTAGTTGGACACAGGCCGGAGGACCACCTCAGCCAGGAGTTGAAGGCTAGCTTGAGGAATATGGTGAGACCCTATTGTGGAGAAAGAGCTGCAACTCACAGACAGGGGGGATAATTGTAATAGCTCTTTTTTTTGGTACTGGGGATCGAACTCACGACCTTGCACTTGCCCGGCAGGCTCTTGTGCCGCTGAGCTAAACCCCTAGTCCTATTATACATAGCTCTTGATAAAGAACTCTTATTCAGAGCCAGGCATAGTGGTGCACACCTGTAATCTCAGCATTCGAGAGGCTGAGGCAGGAGGATCATTGCAATTTTGAGACCAACCTAAGCTGCAAAGTGAGTACAAGGCCAACCTGAAATGCATAACGAGAGCCTGTCTCAAAAAAAAAAAAAGAAAAAAAAACCTCATCCACAATGAAGAAGTTTTGTAACGAAAGAGTAAAAATAACCCAACTAAAAATGAATAAAAGATTCTAAAAGACGCTTCATCAAAGCCTAAATCCATGGTCAATAAATACATGAAAAGATGTTCAGCTTTGTTAGTTATTTTTAAAATGCAGACAGAGCACAGGTTGGCAGAAACACGGACAGGCAAGGACACATGGGGGCTGGCAGGAGGGAGGCCCGTGCTCTCCCACAGAAGGTGGATCAGGAAGGGCACAGTCACGTTAGCATGACTGCTGGCAGCCTGGCAGTTCCTCCAAAAGGCAGGGACAGAGGGGCCGATGGACCACTCCTGCGTGTGCACACAAGCAGAGTTAAACACATCATGCAAAAACTTGTACACACAGTACAAGTTTGGAATTAGCTACCATGAAGGTGAAACAACCCAAGCATTCGCTAACTGATGCATGCATCAAACAGTTTATCCACATAATGAAGCACTTACGTGTAAAGTAAATGAAGTGCTGATTGGATTCATGCTATCACGAATCACAGTGAAAGAAGCAGGTCACAGCAGGCTACTTGTCCCATGATTCCAGTCCAGGGGCCCAGGGTCCTGATGCTAGCTGCAGAGCAGACCGGTCACGAGCAGGGCAGGAGGGCTGCCAGCAGCAGTGAGGCAGGAGGTTCTTCCCAACCCCATGGAAAGGATCTGGAGGTGCGTGGTGATGGCTGCACACTTTCATGTAACCATGGAATTGTGTCCTCTGTAAGAACGCAGTTGTGGATGGGAATCCTATTAGTGAGTATACTGAGATAGAGGCCCATCATTGCCAGTTTGTTTCACTCTTTTCTTTGTAGTTTTTACCATACAATTTGTAGAAAGCTTTTGCCTAGGAGTAACCTTGGGGACTGTGCATTATTGCTAATTACTAGATCTGTCAGAATTGAGAAACATGCACTTCACAGAATTTTTCTGCTTATTGTCAGACAAGGTGTAGTACGTAGATGCATCTCTTTAAGTCAAGGGCACATGTTAGCATGCTCTCTTGTGTTTCTGGGTCAGGTGGGAAGGTCCTGAGACCCTGGGCTTAGCTGCCTCAGACCTGTGAACCTTCATGAAGTGCAAGTTTGTGTTCAGAACTGCCGGCTTTTATTGTGTGCTTACTGTCCTTAAACTGCTCTAAAGAGCCTCTGATCTGAATTGTAAGAGAATGGACTGTTAATCCTTGGACAGGCATAAACTATGCTTTGAGCTTCTCTAGGGATTCAGTTTTGCTTGCTGTTTGATATAGCCAAGTAAACGTTTTTGTCCCCGTTTTCTCCTTAGCCCATACAGTTGTAAGGAAGCCCCCTGTGTTTTGATATACATTCCTGATGGACACACAAAGGAAATGCCAACATCTGGGTCAAAGGAAAAGACCAAAGGAGAAGCCACAAAAACCGAGGTAAAAGGGACCTGTTTACATGTGTCTGCGTTCGGTGGTCTTTGTGTCTGAGTTTTTGAATGCATCTTCTTATATTTGAGACTGAAGAAGGTAATAAATACCTTGCAAAGCCAGCTTTTCTTGTTGTTGGTTTGGTTTGGTTTGGTTTGGTACTAGGAATCACACTCACAACCTTGCATTTGCTGGACAGGTGCTTATTTATCCCTGGCCTTTGTTTATGCTTTTTGAAACTGGTTGTCAATGTGCAGACTAGATCAGTCTGGAACTCATGATCTCTCTACGTCCACAGTGCTAGGATTACAGTTACGAACCATCACATCTGGCACAAGACAAATTATTTAGAAATGTAATTTATTATGTGGAAAAGTAAGAAAGGCTGGCTAAAGAGGACATGGTTAGAAAAGCCATGTTTCTGACAGGCCTAGAGTGGCAGTGGGCCCTTGTTTTCCAAACCACCTATTCTGGTCCACACTACACAGAGCTGAGGGGTGGAGGGTATATAGGCCACCTGTTCCCAGCTTCTCAATCTGTGGAGCAGGTCCTTTCCTGGTTTCCTAGCTCCCTGGGCCGTCTAGAGATCTTCCTGTGGTTGTGCAGGGTGGAAAGAAAACGGAGAGGAAATGCCAAATGTGGCGGGGTTTCCTTGCCTGTTACATTGTTTTTGGTACTGGGAATCAAACTCAGGACCTTGCCCTTGCCGGCAGGCACTTGAGCTGCTGAGCTGTACCCCCAGACCATTGCCTTTTAAACAGTGACTGTGGACAATTTCTGTTCCATTTCCCCCTTGGAGGTAAATAATCTCAGTAGAGAGGTTTGGAATCCAGCTCCAGCCTGGTCGGAGAGTTGCTCATGTGGAGACCTGTTCGGCCCTCCCACACAGGGTGCGGAGCTGAGAGGGCTGGGCCTAGGGCCTCAGACTCCTCCCTTTGTAGCATTCTTGGCTTCTCCGAAGTATTTTCATGGTGCCGCAGGCTAACTGAAATTCCTAACACTCCCTTCATTAGGTAGAGTGAGAACAGCTACATAAATATTTATATCCTAACAATGGTAGCCATCTGAAAAAATAATACCTGTAAATAGAAGAAAAATTTGACATTCAATTCTGAAAATTTTTGTTCTCAAATGTTAACTATTTTAATTTTTCATTCTTGGAGTGATACACAAATTGAAAGAAAAATACTGCTTCCTTCTTGAGCCTTGGATTCAGAGTAGACACTATCATGTTATTTCCTATCCATGTTGCGCTTTCAGGGGACACTGGTTCCTAACTTAGCAATTACTGAAAATGCAGCTTTTCAGAGGAATTCATCAGAGGGACTACCACAGGCTCACAGTAATCCCGAGCTGCTGTGCGTGTTCGGTGGGTGTCAGCCTGTTAAGGCCTCTGGCACCTCTTAGCTCTGCTGTGAGCTTGCTGTCAGCCTGGGGGCGCCTCAGGGCATAGTGCAGGGTCTACGGGTTTGGCAGGTGCTTGAAGACTGGACAGTGGTACAGAGATTTCTTGTACACCATTCACAGTGTGGATGAGAGTATTTGGAACATTAGGGGCAAACCACTAAGGAAAGTCGTGGGGAAGGTTTGGCAAGGCGAGCTCGGTTTGGTGGTTTGTTTGGAGACAAAGTCTTCCTGTGTAATCCAGGCCAACCTTGAACCAGATGCGATATCATAAAGGTAAGATCCTCCATAGTGCCTTCCTGGCAAGCACAAGGTCCTGAGTTCAATCCCGCTACCAACATCCTCCTGCTTCAGCCTTCTATGTGCTGGGATCAGAGGCATGTGCCACTGTAAGCAACTGGAAACTGGGTTTAATGTTGGAAGGGTCTCAGTAGGGACAGCATGCGAGGCTGCAGACTTGCCATTGAGCATGAGAAGAGTATTGTACGGACTCGCAGAGATGATGTAGGGAGTGTTCGTCTGGATTTGTTGCCTGTCCTTACCTAGAAACAGGCATCTCTGTGCTTTTCCATAAAGGTGAGGTTCCCCAGGGATGAGTTTCAGTGACGTCAACGTGTTTCACAGAGCCCTTTCCTAATTAGCATCTAGATACCTCTCAGCTTGTAACACCGTGGCGCACGATACCTGACTCCGTGTGCTCAGCCCATGAAGGACCTCACGGGAACTTGCTGCTCCGTTTCCCATCGCCTTTGGGGTTAAACCCATGCGTCTCTTCCGGTCTGGCAGAGTTCACTCGGCCCGCTGCAGGGTGTGCTTGGGCAGTGTTGGACTCAGGCTCCATAGCTGCGTTGTAGCTTCTTCCATCAGCCTGTAAAAATGAAAATGAGGTTTTGTTGGTTTTTCCTGTGATAAAAATGTTTCAGTGAGTGTTTATGGACCTTTGCCTGTTTTTACTTGTTTTTGAGTTAGGATTAGTTTAATACGGTGTTGTGGGAAGACGTTCACCGTGAATTAATCACTGTACTTTGGGCTTTCTGCATCTGCAGATGAGTTTACCGCCTGTGAATAAATCTGGTGCCAGCTCTGAGGATCCGCTGGTCCTTCACAAAAGAGTTGCTGCCCAAGGGGACATGGTACGTGAACTAAAGGCCAAAAAAGCAGCCAAGGAGGACATAGATGCAGCGGTGAAGCAGCTTCTGGCTTTGAAAGCTGAATACAAAGAGAAGACTGGCCAGGAATACAAGCCTGGGCACCCTCCTGCCGCGGGGGCGCAGGACGTTTCCTGTCGGTCACTGGCCACCGTTCAGGAAAGCAGGTCTCTGTACGACAAAGTCGCCGTGCAAGGGGAGCTGGTTCGCAAGCTGAAGGCGGAAAAGGCCCTGAAGGTTGGTGGACTGGGGAGGTAAGGGGACATCTGTCCCAAGTCCCATGGCAGCATGGAGTTCGGCCTGCCGGGCTCTTGTTTAGAGCAGCAGGTGGTATCTGGATGCCTGTTGGGGTCCCCTGAGCCAATAGGACTCACTCCCAGGGCTGCAAGTCAGGCTCTGCAGGCGCACAGAAGATACTTACAGGCTGGGTGGAGGTGTGTGCTCAGGGGCCGGTGCCGGGCACTGGGCATTGGGTGCAGTTGGAACCCCGTGGGGTGTGTGTGAATCCTAAGTGGTGGCAGCAGTCCATGAAGGGCGAAGGGTGTTGGAGGGCCCTTAGGCCAGGTGTGTAGCATTGAGCACATGCACATGTATGACAGTGCACATGGACGTACGCCTATGCAGTTGGAGACTCGTGTGGTCAGTGGAGTCGGTGCAGAGCATCCGGAGAGCTGAGCCTAGATTCTCAGCTCTGCTGCGCCTCAGCACCACCGGCTGGTGTGCCTGCTCCTTTGGGGCCAGGCTAGCCCAGGAGGGACGATGGGCATCTGTGAAAAGCTGAGCAGCGGCTGCCGCTGTCCTACCTGAGTGCTGCTGCTCTAGAAGGTGGCCCTTCACGAGAGACAAGCGGGCAGTGGCAGCCACATTCAGAAAATAGCAGCCCGTGTGTCGGGATGTTCCAACCGTGACTGGCTCAGACTCTTCAGAGGGAACCCACAGGTGACCTGTGTTGAGGGACACATAAAGTCATTCCTGTGTGGCCATGGGGTGGAGGTGCTAAGTGTGGGGCAGGGTCACTTGCCGTAAGTAGGGATAGAAGGACTGGCCCTGAGAGAGCACGGTCCTGAGCAGCTCTTTCGAAGATAACAACGTGCAGTGTAACCAGCATTGTTAAATTCTTATCACTTTGTTATGAAGTCCTATATCGCTGTTGTTTTTGTTGCTTTTGTCGTATGCTTTTGTGATTGTTTTTGATTGTTGGCTTCTTGATTTTTCTGTTTTTTGCTCTTTAAAATAAAGAATAAAAATTTTAAGACATAGGTGCTGTCCAGACAGGAGCGCGCTGCTGAAGAATAAGCAGGTGAACAGACTCACCAGGCCAATTCTGTCCCCTGCCTCAGGCTACAGTGTCCCGGAGGCGTGTGCCTACTGGCCTCACTGGTGGCTGCAGGGCACAGAGCTTCGGTGGTATCCTGTCGAGTCCTGGGTGTGCTTGGAGTGAGCCCCTGAGATTGTGTGCCGTGTGTCTTTGGGTGGGCAGCCAGGCCTGTGCTAGAGGCCAGGCATCCGTGCCACTTCCATCCACGAACAAACTCGTGACCCCTGCTCAGGCGGGGAGGTGGTGTCGATTCTCATCTGCAGCATGCCTTCGGGTCCTGTGGCAGTGTGGTGGCTGAGACGAAGGCTGCTCTGGGTGTGAGATGTGACCCCTGGTGCCTCCTGCTGCAGGGTCACAGGGACACTAGCTGTGACTCCTTCGTGTACACAGGGAGAACTTTAGCCCTCGCATGTCTTATTCCTGGCAGAATACCTTGAAGTTTGGTGCCAGTTTTTATTCGCGCAGCCCTGGGGTGGAACCCTAGCTCCATGCTTGCTGTGCATCTTGGGGTGAAGCCCTTGGGTTCTTACGCCCTGCTGCCTCTGTAGCTTGTGGAGAGGGATTATTTGGAGAATTCAGATAATCCATACCGGGCTCTCAGCAGTGTCTGGCACAGAATAAGTATGTCTTGAGCTCATGGTGATTATTTTTTGTATTCATAATTCTAATTCTCTCAAGAATCTTGGACTACTTTGCAAACCGCCAGGGAAAATTGCATAGTGATCAGTATAATTTTATTCTTTTTTTTAAAAATAGAAACCTACATAGTTTTTCCTTTCATCCCTCCTGGAGAATCTCATTCAATAATGAAGGTGTGTACACCTTAATTTTCTCTCTTGTAATATTTCAAGTTAGAATCTTGTCAAACCAGGGTGTTTTGTTATTTTACTATGTTGTAAGAAATGGACCATTTGACTTCAAATTCTGGTGAACGTTTGCTTATAGTGTAAAACATAACTAGTGTCAAATAGTCCTCTTTTTCTAGAGCTATGTGGCAGGAAGTTCCTTAACTTCTTCCCCATTTCCATTCTTCAGGCCGACATAAGCCTGTTTCTTGTGTGTTGGCTGACCATGCTCTTCCCTTTGCTCCCCGGGAGACGGGCAGGCACTGTGTCCTGGGAGCTGGACGCGGGGGACTTCCCGGCCTCAGGCTGCGCGGCCCTGGGTGCTGGTCTGCAGTTCCAGGTGGCGTGGTGCGCATTTGCTCGGTCTCTGCCTGGGCTGAGGCTGCCTGACATGTGAGGAGGCCCCGGTAGTGTCCTGAAGCATGGTGCTGGCTCTGCGGTTAGGTGGACGTTCAGAGGTGACGCACACGGTGACTGTCTGTGACAAGCGTCCACTCCCACTCTGCTTCCCTGGAGACTCTTAAGAGTGTAACTATTCTTTGATGGCCAGCTCTCTTCCTGGAGCTGTGCTTAATGTCCATTCTGGAGGCCGCTGCGCCGCTCAGTATGGTTGTGTGAACCAGGCTTTGCAGCTGACCAGCGAGCGTCTGGCCCTGGAAACCGAGGCTTTGGGTCGCGCCTGCTTTTGTAAGGCAGAACATGCATACATGGTTATTTTTAGGACTGTGTATGGGAGTGTGTGCGATTTATATTGTTAACTTTTCTTCACCTTTATTTGCTGTCTTGCTGGAGATTAAACATGGCTGCTGTGGGCCTTGTTTCCATGGAGACTGACTCTGGAGCCCCTGGGTACCAGACTCAGAGACTGCGGTCCCAACACCGAGTAGCACAGTGTCTGCAAGGCACTCGCGTGCCTCCCTCCCGCTGTGCACCACGTGAGGGCCGTGCTGGTGGGGATTGTACTGTGGGGACAGATAGTGATGGCAGGGACCGGGCTGGACGTGCACGGGGAACATACTGTTATTTCCCGAACACCCTCAAGCCTCGGTGTGAATCTGCAGATGCAGACACCTGTTTTTGGTTGATAATAAAGGTTTTTCAGTCACACTGAAATTTTCAGAAAGGTTAGAATAAGTAGCTTTTTTCTCCTTCTGTCTCAGGCTAAAATAAACGAAGCCGTCGAGTGCTTACTGTCCCTGAAAGCCGAGTACAAAGCGAAGACCGGGAAGGAGTACGTGCCTGGCCAGCCGCCGTCGGCTGTGAGCTCTGAGGCCCGGCCAGCTGGAAGCTGTGAGCCCGCCGGCCCCGAAAGCCTGGAAGCCAGGGCCCTGTATGACCGGGTCGCTGCTCAAGGGGAGGCGGTTCGGAAGCTGAAAGCTGAGGAGGCGCCTGCGGTTAGCATTATGCTGTCTTTCTGTGTTCTTTGTTTTGAACATTTCACACACTGTTCTTTGCCTGAAACATTGTCTGTCCCCACCAGATCCAGCTAACTTCTCAAACTTCAGTTTTCAACTTCTTATTTTGGCTTTTAAGGAAATCCTGTCACTTCTTTGTCCCCCCACTAATGTGCCTAGATCTTTCCATATGATGCTGTCCTTCCTGGGCGTAGCACTTACAGACACACTATTTTGATTGTGTCAAGTTGTCTCTTTTTGTCTGAACTGTGAGGTCCTAGATTCTCAGGACCCAGACCCAGTAGTGTTTGGTACCTCGTAGACTCTTTGTGTTTGGGTGATTCTCCTACAGCTCTGTCATACCTCACATGCAGACTTTTATCTTAAGCTCTGATAGTGGATTATTTATTTTTTTACAAATTTCCATGCATGGAAAACAGAAAGTTACCAAAAGTTTTGAGGCTTAGCGGGTTGCATAGAAAGCTGATTCCTGCCATCGCTGTGCTTGTGAAATATTTCACACATGTTGCTAATGGCTTTCCCTTGAGAATGCATATGTTCATTTTGTCTTGTTTCTTTCTTTCTCTAGTATTTATTTTAAATTTAAATTACCATGTGTGCCTGGGGAGTAGTGTCTGGACCATGCAGCCACACACTCTGGTGCTTTGCACTCTTTCAAACACTCGTCTCCATCAGACTCTTCTACCTTCACCTGATCCCCCTGTCTTGCACACCTACCGAGTGTGCTGTGTCGCATGCACATGTTATGTGTCCTGGACAGCAGGTGCAAGTCACATGAACTCCTCCCCTGTCTCCCAGGATCAGGTGGATGCCGCTGTGCAGGTGCTGCTGCAACTGAAGGCTCAGTACAAGGCCCTGGCAGGAGTGGAGTATAAGCCTGTGTCTGCCACTGGGGCTGAGGACAGAGGCAAGAAGAAGAAAGAAAAGGAAAATAAATCTGAAAAGCAGAATAAACCTCAGACGCCGAATGGCAGCCACGGGAAAGACTCTTCGAAAAGCCAGGGGAGCGGGCTGGCACCCAGTGGCGCAGGGGAGGGGCAGGGCCCCAAGAAGCAGACGCGGTAAGCAGGGCCCCCACTTGTGCAGAGCCAGGCAGGCCTTGAAAGGATTGCAGTGATTACACTGTGTTTTAAATAACAAATTTAGGTTAATCTTGCTGTCGGATTGCATGCTGCTAAAGCTGAGATGCCTACAGAATAGATCTGTTAAATTTCAGTTTATTTAATTTAAGAGAGCACAATTTATTTGCTTGGTATAAGAGTCTCAGAATATAAGAAGTTCCTACGTCATCTTCCAGCTTGCTGGTTTCTGCTGTCATTGAAACTTACTTGTAACCACTGTTACAAGCAGGCACCCCTGGTCTGGACATCGGTGAGGGCCGGTCAGCTGCTGTATTGCTGTAACTATAACAGGAGGGTGAACTTGAGAAAAGTCCAGAATCAGAGATGCTTGTGATCTCAAGCATTTTGGAAAAGGGAGACCCCTTCTGGATCCGCTGACATGAGACATACAAATGCATGCAAATCTTTTTATCCTCCCTTTATCTCTATATTATTTTGTATTTAAGCAGATTTTCCAAATGAAACTTTCATGCAACCAAACTTTATGCCTAACAATATTTTAAAATTGGTTACTTAAATATAAAACAAAGCTGGATTAAAAGGTGGACTGTTTGTCCCTTTAGGACCTTTCAATCTGTTTGAGTCATGTTGATTTTTTTGACTATAAGTCCTGTCCCAAAGTTAGAATCCATTTCCTTTAATGGCTTAAGAAGAAAATGCTGGTACTGAGATACTTTGGTTTTTGATTTCTTTAGCTGAATTTTAAATTCCATTCCCTCTCCCTCACATCATGTGCGCATCATCTCCTGGATAAGGCACTGCATCAGTCGCTGTGTCTGCTTACTGCTGGGTGACGAGTTGCCGAATAGAAGAAGAGGTAGAACTCCCATCCACCTTTGTGGTGCTCAAGAAGGGGCTGTTTCCGTGATCACATGGCAGAGATGTGTCAGTGAAACAGTGGGGAACGAAAATGCAAAGACATTAGCCATTCAGGTCAACACAGCCTTATTTGTAAAGTCTAAAAGGATGTGTGCTCTTTTTGGAAAGGTCCTACTGGAGGCTGAACCCAGGGCCTTCACACTGAGCTACGTTCCCAGCCCTCTTATTTTTTTATTTTGAATCCAGGTTTAAATTACTGAGTCATCCAGGCTAGCCTCAAACTTGCAACCTCCTGCCTCAGCCTGCCAGAGTGTTGGGATTACAGATGTGTGCTACCATATGTGGTTTTAAATAATGTATTTTAATAAAACATAACTAGCGGGTAGATCTTCATACATAGATTATGAGACCAAAGTTCTCTAGGGAGTTGATACTTCAAGGAAAGAATTACTGTTTAAAATAGTTTTTATTGCAGATCAAATATCCAGGATCTACCACCACAGGTTTTCTTTACTATAATTAAGAGAAAGAAATATAGTCAATATAATCCTACATTTCTGTGTGTGTGTGTGTGTGTGTGTGTGTGTGTATGCAGATAGAAGTTGTCTGTATTTTTTTTTTTTTTGTCTTTTTTTCATTTTTATCAGTACTGGGGATCAAACTCACGACCGCCTGCTTGCAAGGCAAGTGCTTAAGCCACTGAGCTAAATCCTCAGCCCCAGTTGTCTGTATTTTTGCATGGTACTTCAGCAAGGGCTGAGATTGAGATTTTCTTTAGAGGAGAGTATATGAGAATAGTCTCTGCTTTATTAAAACTACATTACCATAAAAAGACCTTTGTAAAAGAGATGTCTGCATTAAAATCGTAGCTTTCGTTAGATTTTTTGCTGGTTTTTGGTGCCTAGATCTCACCAGCTTTAAAAGTGATAATAGAACTGTTGTCTACGTTAATGCTGCCGGGGTTGAGCGCAGGCCCGATTTGTGTGCCAGGCCAGCGCTTTTCTGCTCAGCTCTCTGCCACTCCCTAGGGCTTGTTCCCATGGCAGCCTGCAGTGGTTCAAATGTACTCTAAGTACAGTGTATGTGCTGGAAACGTCACCCCCAAATCCATGCCTTGATGCAGCTTGGAGGTAGAGCCTTTGGGGGGTTACTAAGGTAGCTGAGGTCATGAAAGTGGGACCCTCACCCTGGCACTGGCGGGTTTGTAGGAGGAAGAGTGACCATGCCCAGCGAGCGAGTGCCCTCACCACATGTGATGCTGCAGGAAGCCTCCATCCTGCATGTTGCTGCCCCCTGCTGGGGACCCTGAGCCTCCCCAGCAGGGAGCCAGATGAACTCTCAGGCTTTGCAGATGGCTCAGCACTGGGCATTTTGGTATAGCAGCAGAAAGCACACACCACCTGAAAGCAGCTGTGAAGTGAAAGGCCTCATGCTTTGTTTCTCAAATACACAGGTTGGGTCTTGAGGCAAAAAAAGAAGAAAATCTTGCTGATTGGTATTCTCAGGTGAGTATGCATTCAGTTGCTTCTGTTTTATATTTTTTAAAGGCTGCTTTCTGCTCAAGTTTTGGAATCCAAGTACAAAGTTAGTAGTCATAATGCTCCAAGATGCCTTTTGTCCTAGTCTTCTGACATCACAGTTTGCAGAGCAGGGTCATCTAGGTTATTGAGTAGAAAAGGAATCCTGTGTGTTGGGGGGCTGTCCTTTGATGTTTCCCCTTGTTTTTTTTTTTAATTTTTTTTTTTCTTTTTCATTTTTATCGGTACCACGGATCGAACTCACGACGGCCTGCTTGCAAGGCAGGTGCTTATGCCGCTGAGCTAAATCCCCAGCCCCTCCCCTTGTTGATGTAAGGAGTTAGTCTAGAGTCTCAAAGCTAGCAGAAGCAGATCTGGAGTTGAGATCTGGTAGGAGCACTGACACTCGTGGCTCCTCAGGATTGAAGATCACCTCAGGCCTCACGTCAGTGGGAGCCTTGGCTGGAGGTTTGCATCTCTGACATACCTCTTGTCACATATGCGGTGAAAGTTTAGTTCCGTCTCTGCAGACTGTTTTTCTCTTTGAAAGGTCATCACCAAGTCGGAGATGATCGAGTACTACGATGTGAGTGGCTGCTACATCCTCCGGCCCTGGGCCTACTCCATCTGGGAGTCCATCAAGGCCTTCTTTGATGCCGAGATCAAGAAGCTCGGTGTGGAGAACTGCTATTTCCCCATCTTCGTGTCTCAGAGCGCGCTGGAAAAGGAGAAGACTCACATCGCTGACTTTGCCCCTGAGGTGAGGGAGCCTGCGTTTTCTGGGATTTTTTATTTCAGTTTTCTTTCATAAACTCAAAAGCATATTTTCAGTATTTTAAAACAACCAATTTAGAGACCTATAAAGTTGTTTTATTAAATTCTGTTTCTGTCTTCCTGGCAAGTTGTGATTCAGTTTTCTACATCACTGAGTTGGCTGCCCTATTCTTTCCTCCCAGGAATAGCAGAGCAAGTCTTTCCTTTGCCTTGATTGATGCAAAGCTGCGCTTATGCTGTGGCTCTGCAGGGCCATTGGAAACACAGTGAGAAACCCTTTTCTCTTCCCAGGTGGCTTGGGTTACGAGATCCGGGAAGACAGAGCTGGCGGAGCCCATTGCCATTCGCCCGACCAGCGAGACAGGTGGGCCAGCGCGGGCAGGGGCTCATGTCCATCTCAGGTTGTTTATGTCAGCAAAGACTGAAACAGACCTCACTTACAGTTCCACTCTGTCCATCATATTTATTGCATCGCTCTTTATCATTAGGATACAGAGGGTGTGTGTGTGTGTGTACACATATTTTAAAGTTTTATGCTGTAAGTTTTCAGAGCTTTTCCAAGAATCTTGTTGAGATAATTTTTATTCCTGAAATGATTATCAAATTGCAAGCACTAATACTTCGTGTTGTATTTGTGATTCTTACAGATTTTATTACTTATTTTAGTCATCCAGACTTACATGCGTGTTGGCTTTCTAATGCTGCCAAGCGCTTTTGTCTTTACCCTCACAGCAGTGCTCCCAGGAGGGCAGAGGCAGCTGTTATCTCTATTTCGCACATCAAGAAAGATCTCAGAAAAGCCAGGTCATTTTCCTGGAATTGCACAGAGTAAATAGCGCTGCTAAGAGTGTTGAGCCTCTGGCCTTGATAATGCCTTCTGAAATGTCCTTCAGAGTAAAGGGCTGTTTGCTCTTTGGTACTTCCCCTGACCCTCTTGTATGTGCATTGCTAAAAATATAGAACCACCTTTTTGCCTCACCAGGTTGGCAGATTGGTTTAATTCTACTACTTGTAAATGATGGGTAGGTAGGGTGTAATTGATGGCAACATCTCACACATTTGGGTAGGTAGAAGCATGGAGATCTAGCTGAAATTCCAGCCATTGGGCTGGGGATTTAGCTCAGTGGCATAAGCGCCTGCCTTAAAAGCAGGCAGTTGTGAGTTCGATCCCTGGTACCGATAAAAAGGAAAAAGACAAAAAAAAAAAAAAAAAAGTAGAAATTCCAGCCATAATGCATAACTGCGGGAGTCGGGAAGTTATTTAACTCATCTTTCAAATTGACATGACACTTATTTTAAGTCAAATGTGAGAATCAAACAGGATAATGAATACAAAGAGCAGCACAAAATATGACACATATTAGTGTTTTCAGAAAGTAGTCAAAGTAAGTTAAGTATAAATCTTAAGTAAAGAATATAAAGTGAGATAAAATTAGAAGGGCTAATATCTATAAGTAATGACACTTATGAAATAGATGCCAGTGCCCTTGGTGTAACCAGTACAGTTTTTGGAAACATATTTCCACAAACACACACCCTAGATCCTGCTACTTATATTGCTGGTTTAGCTCTGGGCCTCAAGTGACCACTCTGTCTTTGTCTTCCAGTCATGTACCCCACGTATGCAAAGTGGGTGCAGTCTCACCGGGACCTACCCATCCGGCTCAACCAGTGGTGCAACGTGGTGGTAGGTGTTTGCCCCTCAGACTGTGCTTGTGGCTTTGTGTTTTCAAGGCGGCCTTCGTGCCTTACTTTTGCACTGAAAGGCCTGGAAGCCTGAGCCATTTGGGAAAGGTTTGGGTCGCTGTTAGGGACTCACACAGCCTCTGCGGGTGGTGACTCTCAGAGTGGCACAGCTCCCTGTAATGGTACTGTCCTCTGACTTCTTGCAGCGCTGGGAGTTCAAGCACCCGCAGCCCTTCCTGCGCACCCGGGAGTTCCTCTGGCAGGAGGGGCACAGTGCTTTTGCGACCTTTGAAGAAGCAGCAGAAGAGGTAGAGAAGTCATTTCCTACTATCTAATATTCTGCTAGAAAAAGTGCTTAGGCTCTGCTTTATTTCATTATTTGAAACTTAGGTAACACCAGTAAAGAGAAAAGAGTAACTCAAATGTGCATAGATTTCAAAAACTGCTTTCTGAAATTTTATTAATTCATGATATGTACAAGAATTTTTTTGTTTTGTTTTCTTGGACAGGGTCTCAGTATGTTGCCTAGGTAGGCATCAAAAACTCTTAACCTGCCTGCCTCAATGCTGCAAGTGCTAGGATTAAAGGCATATGCCACTGTACCTGGCAAAATACCCTCTTTTAAATGTTCAGTTTGAAATATTTTGGGCTGTTGGGTAGGTGAAATATTATAGACTTTCACTTGAGACTGAGCCAGGAGGATCACTGAGTTTGGAGGTCAGCCCAAACTACATAGACCCTGTCTCAGAAAAGATCAAAAGCAAAAATTAAGGGGAGAGGGATTTAGCTCAGCTGCAGAAGCGCCTGCCTGGCAAGTGTGAGGTTGTGAGTTCAATCCTTGGTACCCAAAACAAAAACAAAATTAAAATAATTTGGACATGTGGGAAAAATTACAATCCACTGATTCAGATTAATTGCTTTTCAGGAAATTTTTACTTTGGGTACTGTATATTCCTAATAAGTATTGATTTTTTTCTTGGTTTCTAAATTTCTGTGCATTTGTTGGTGATCTTCCGTAATAATCTCAGGCTGGCTGCTTGAACCTTTCCGACAGACGTGCTGCTCGCCGCACAGTCTTGGGTAGTGCTGCCCTGTACATCTGTAATGAGTAAGTCAGCCCTGAATTAGCCCACATTCGCTTCAATTGGTGTGCGCAGGTCATGCAGATCCTCGAGTTATACGCGCGAGTGTACGAGGAGCTCTTGGCCATCCCGGTGGTCAGGGGTAGGAAGACAGAGAAGGAGAAATTCGCAGGCGGAGACTACACGACCACTGTGGAGGCTTTCATATCCGCCAGTGGCAGAGCCATCCAGGTACCACGCAGCCACATGTCCTGAGCAGGCCAGCCATGGCACCTGCCTTGAGAGACACAGACAGTAGAGGTGGGGCGTGGGTGTGGAGGCCAGGGTGGTGTCCACAAGTGGAAAGTGGGACAGCATGTCCCTGAGCAGCCCCACCTGTGGATGTGCAGGCGGAGGAGGTGGCTCACAGAGCTGGAGGAGCTGGGCATGCAGCATTTGTACCCCAGCTGTGCCCTACTTTCCAGCTGTGGAGCACTGGGCAGTCCTATCGTTCTCAGCAGCATAAGTGACACTGGAGACCATTAGGTGGAAGAGCCAGCCCCGGAAGCTGCGCCCTGTGCACTCTTGAGTCCTCCCCTTGGTGGGGTAGAGAGGGCGGGACAGGTGGCTCCAGGTGGGGGAGCTCAGGCAGAGGGCCAGGGTGGTCAGTGGGGGGCGAGTCAGAGTCAGCTGGGCGAGTCCTGGTGGGCAGCTGGGCAGTAGCTGGCCGTAGATAACAGTTACCCACGTTTCTAAAAGCTGAAGGAAAGCTGAACACTGAACTTGCCGACACGTTGTAGGAGGTGTGTATCAACATTAACATGTGCAATTTTTATGCCTTTATTAAGTGAATACAAAATACATTTATCTCATTATCTTCTATGCAATGTAGTAATCAAGCACGTCTGTCCTTGTCTTGTGAGTCTCACTGGTCAGTTAATCATGACCTATGTCCTGGGTTACCAAGACGTGGCCTCCCTTTTAAATCCAGTGTGTCGTTACTGCTGTGAATGGGACCGCCTCGAGCAAGGCGTTGGTGTAGTATTCGATTAATTCCTGTCTTTCATTGTGCAGTTAAACTTACATTCGAAAACCCTATTCAGAGCTAAAAAAAAAAAAGAGAGAAAACAGGTATAGTGCCATTTGGTAGCATGTGGGCTTACAGTAATCCTCTTCAAAGGCATAATAGGTCACTAAAATTAAAGTTTATGTCTGTCTTTTAGGGAGGGACATCGCATCATTTGGGCCAGAATTTTTCTAAAATGTGTGAAATCATCTTTGAAGACCCCAAGAGCCCCGGAGAGAAGCAGTTTGCCTACCAGTGTTCCTGGGGCCTGACCACACGCACCATCGGCGTGATGGTCATGGTCCACGGCGACAACACCGGCTTGGTCTTGCCGCCCCGGGTGGCCGCCATCCAGGTAGGACCCCTGCTCCTTGTCCCTTCTGTGGAGTGTGAGCCATGCTCGCTGGAGGAGGCCGGGAAGAGTGGTTTTCTGAGCGCCAGTCAGGGAGAGTCTCCCGCTCAGGGAAAGGACGCAGGACACCGCAAGCTCTGCCCTGTGTGACATCCTGGGCCACTGGCCATGTTGTCTGTTCTTTGAGTTGTAAAGCTACTCTGTAGACTTCCCTGCGAATCGTTTTCTGAAATGGTTTCTGAGAGGTGGAATGCAGGGTAGCGGGCTCAGTGCAGTGCGTCAGCGCAGGTGATGTGGAGGAGGGACACTGGGGTGGCAGGTCTCTGGGCAAGGCATGCACAAGTAGACCTTCCTTCCTCTCTCCCGTACGCGGGCTCTAGGTGGTGATCATCCCCTGCGGCATCACAAATGCGCTGTCTGAGGAGGACAAGGAGGCGCTGCTGGCCAAGTGCGAGGACTATCGCAGGCGGCTGCTGGGTGCTGACGTCCGCGCCCGCGTGGACCTGCGGGAGAACTACTCCCCGGGCTGGAAGTTCAACCACTGGGAGCTCAAGGTGATGCTCCCTCCCGCGCCAGGCCAGATCTGGCCCTCTTCTCCTCCATTTTTATGAGCGGAAGGGTTTCCATTGCTTCTCTGTGTTGGTGAATGGTGGGCTCCAACATGGCCTGCACCTTGCTGATGAGCTTGTGTGAGCTGGGGCCGGGGTGTGGGGAGCAGGCACTGGCAGGCGTAGGGCCCTGGGTGGGCTCCCAGCACTGCCCTCTTCAAAGATAGTTCTTGGAGGACCTTATTTCTTAAACATCAGATCACAGAATGATCACAGGCCTTCATTTGTAGTGAATGAGCCTCCTGTTGTTGGTGTATGAGCCTGTTTGGGCTGGAGTTCTTGTGGGTGTCTGAGCATTGAGGGGCTGCAGAGTGGCGAGGGCGGGGTCACCCCAGCTTCGGGATGCAGTGCACATCTCTGTCCTGTTTCATTTGTAATACATGTGTCTTCGATGGGAAGTGAAGTATCTAGAGTATAATTTTTTTTTTTTTAGTCTCATCAAATTAGAACTAGAGTATAATTTTAAAGCTCCAGAGCGACTTTTAACATGCCAGTCAGTGTTAGTAAGACAAGTCAGACAGGTGCGTGGTTTAGGCCAAAATTGAGCAAACAAAAAAAGCCTAATTTTTTTTGCAAAATATATTAGCCAGTATTATCAGTCAGATGACACAGTAGATAAAGTATATTTGTAAAAACCTGTAACAGTCAGAAGTCATTCTGGCATTTCAAACAGCTATGTACAGTATTACCAAGATCCATTTTACATACAATAACAATAAAGTAATTTAGGCAAAACATTTTAAAACAGACTGACTGTACAATTAACTACAAAACTTGGGAAGAAGGAGGAGACATTTTAAAAAAGAGTCAAAAAGGACATTATCAGAAATTCAAAAGCCAATAACAATTCTACTACATTAATCCAGCATTTCAGAAGGGGTAGGTGCGTGTTTTCAATGCAAGAGCTTCAAAGAATTCAGAGAAAAAACCGCAAACAGCTGCTTTTCATCAAGAGCAGCTCTACACTTCACAGAATCCTTTCAAGAGAAAGCCTGTTAACACTGATGATTGTTTGACGCTACAGTTTTACAGCAGAGAAACTAAAACAGCAAGTTCACAGGGCAGTATTTGCACAGAATTATTCTACTGTTCGGTAGTGTCTGCAGAGCGCTCCAGTTGGATATACGAGTCATAATTTCAAAACAAAACGAAAATACAGGATCCGCACCCAGGTGCATGGAGGCCAGCAGCGTTGAGTCTTGGTTTGAAGGGAGATTGTGTTTATAATAAAGCCCCGAGGAGAGCTTTACCTAGATCACTGCAGGAAAGTCATCTTTTATTACACTCTTCGAGCTGTCAGCAGCATGCCGCCACAGGAAGGCTTGGCGTAACTTCACATACAGTGTGACTGACCGCCTTGCCCTGGGCCTTTGATTTGGGGTACCACCCGGTAGCCCAGGTGTGTGTGGAAGCACGTGACTCACATGAGCAGAATCCCATTAGTTTTGAAGGCTTGCTCACCTAATGAGTGGTTTGTCAGGTAAGGTTCTGGGCGTGAGCTCTGGCTCCGTCCCCAGGACGCAGACACACAGTGCTAGCCTGCGCAGTGTCCGTGGTCCTGCGTGGGAGCCTGAAGAGAGGGAGAGGGCCTCTCGTGGTTTTCTTTCCCGGAAGGGCTTCCACCGGCCAGACTCGTGCAGGCCAGAGCTCATTCTCCTCAGCGGACAGCGTGTTTGTGTTCAAGGTTCCTGCGACTCCCCGAGACGTTACCCACCCTCGGTCGCACCCGGCCTTCTGGATTCGCTGTGATTTATCACAGAGAAGGCCACGCGGCTAGCTGCGTTCTAGGGTAGACACAGCCGTGAGTCGCCCTGACCACCCCGCCTGTCACACAGGGAGTCCCAATCCGCCTCGAAGTTGGGCCCCGAGACATGAAGAGCTGTCAGTTTGTAGCCGTCAGGCGAGACACCGGTGAAAAGCTGACTGTGGCTGAGAGTGAGGCCGAGCCGAGACTCCAGGCCATGCTGGAGGAGATCCAGGCGCACCTCTTCCAAAGGTACGTCCTGAGCTCCCGGCAGCTCCCTCGCATTCTCCGTGCTTCTGTCCTGCGTTAGGGTAGCTCCAGGGCTGCGCCTCGCTGCCTGGCTGCAGGACCGCTGGGGGTCACCTGATTGCACTGGTGCGTGTGTGGGGACTGTTGAGCAATCTTTTCAGCCCCTGTACCCTGTGCCCTACCCACAAGTCTGTCTTCTGGGTCCCTCCCGTCTCGCTCCCTTGTCTTGCTCATTTCTGTATTACACGTTAGTGTAGGGGAAGCCAAGCAGTGTTTTAACTTGGAGAGTCTTTTTTATACTTAGTACGACTCTCGGGTTACGTCAGTCTCCTGGGGTGACAGCGCCCATTCTCTTTTGTGTGACTGGGTAGTAGTCCATTTCATGTCCGTACCGCGTTTTCTCTGTCCACTTGTGTGTGGATGGCCCCTGGGCTGTGTCCAGAGCCCAGCTGGAATTGAATGAATCATCTGCTCGCATCACTGTGGTATGGCATGGCTGATTCTTCTGAGAGGGGCTGCAGGTTGGGCTCTCTGGCCAGGAACGGGAGGAGGACACGGCCTTTGGGTCCACCCACTGCGTGCACCGTGCCTGGTGCCTTCCCTGGGATCTGGGTGCGGTGGTCTGCAGAGCCCCCAGGGCATGGGGCAGGAGGAGCTGAGCCTCTTGGTTAGGTTTGGGCCATTGGGGGAGGCTCAGGGCAGCCCTGGCCTCCAGGGGTTTCTCGGGAGAGCCTGTGTGCCCTCCTTCGCAGAGGAGAGGGACTCATTGGGCAGCGCCATGCCTGCACATTCCTGGTGGTGTTCTGGGGCCCAGCCTGGCGCACTCCAATGCAGCTTCCCTGACTGGGAAGGCGACAGCTCAGGCTGGGGCAGGAGGTTCCGTACCACTTGGCTTGGGCCTCCCAGCTTGGAACTGAGGGTTGTCTGGGAAGCTGGTTGTATTTTGTTTGTTTATTTATTTATTTATTTATTGGCTCCAGGAAGTGAACCCAGGGCCTCCTGCTTGCTAGGCAGGCACTGCGCCACTGAGCCACACGCGTGGCCTACAGAGGTGTCGGGGCGGGTGTGGCAGCTGCACAACGCAGCTCTAGGTCTGTCTTGGCAGAGAACAGTCACACTCAAGTTGGCTGCGGCGCCTGCCTCTACTCTGTGTCACCCTTGCAGCCTTCCGGGAGCTTTGGGAACACAAATGTTTTCCCCAGAGCGCGACAGCCTGCTGTTCTGTGGGAGGGGGTTACTTACTTACTTTGGTACCAGGAACCAAACTCATGACCTCGTGCTTGCCAGGCAGGTGCTTATGCTGCTAAGTCCCTGACCAAATTTATTTGTTTTATTTTTTAATTTTTGGTACCAGGGATCAAACTCACGATCTCGAGCTTCCAGGCAAGCATTTAAGCCGATGAGCTAAATCCCCAGCAGCTTACCTATTTTCTAAACTTGATAGTATTGGGAAGACAAATAAAAACGTTTCCTAAACTTTTTGGTAGGGCTCTTGAAGACCTTAAGACCCACATGGTAGTGGTGAATACGATGGAGGACTTTCAGAAGACGCTGGACGCTGGGAAGGTGAGCCCTGGGCTGTGCTTGGCTGGTCCATGGTAGTGGGGTGGGGCCTGCCTGTGTACGTGCTGGGCGGGCAGCTGCCTCTGGGCCATGTCCCCAGCCCTGAGACCCATGAGGACGGAGTGGGTCAGGAATGGCATGGGAGGACTCTGGAGGTTAATTACAGCACCCGCCCCAGTCACTGAGCACCCTCTGTGCCCCAGCCTTGTAGCCCTCAGCCCTTGGTCAGATCATGCTGTCACAGTGTCTCTGATGACCCCGTGGTGTGCACGTCCATTGTGTGTGAGCCACAGTGCGACGTGATTGAAAGCTGCAGCTTTGTTACTTTGTCTGATCTGAGGGGGTGCTGGGTGGGTGTCAGGCGTCCATGGAGAGGTCACAGCTCTTATTGCAGGGCTGCAGACGGAAAGCAGGCTCTCCTCAGGGAACTGTGTCCCCAGCCCTTATTGCAGGGTCCAGACCTGAGACACGTGTGTCGTGTGGCGTTGGTACACACACACGTTACACCTGAACTGTTTCCACTTCACTCATTCACTTGGAGACACAGCTTCACCAGGTTACAGGCTGGGCTGGAACCTGCCGTCCTCCTCTCTCGGCCTCTAGAGTGCTGGGGTGTAGGCAATGCCGTGCTCAGCCTGCCTCACTTGGCAGAAGTAGAACGTGTGGGTTCCTAGAAGCAAAGCGGGGTTGCAGGTTGCCCCCTCTTGGGTTCCTGGCTGTGCACCCATGGGCTCTGCACAGGTGGGGAGCAGGCTGTCCATGTTCAGCCGAGGCAGGAGGAGGCACTGCCTCTGCTCCCTTTAGAACCGCAGGGCTTCCACCTGCCAGAGCTTCGGGCTAAACTTCCCCTGCTGGCAGCGCTGAGCTGAGCAAAGTCTCTGTCGTGCGCTCGTGAGCTGGGCCAAGCACTGTCCCTTTCTCCTAGATTGCACAGATCCCCTTCTGCGGGGAGATCGAGTGTGAGGACTGGATCAAGAAGACTACTGCCAGGTGAGTGTGCTGAGGTGGGCACTGCGTGCAGGGCCAGGACATGGCGCAAGCAACACACTGCTGCTGTCTCCCCGCAGGGACCAGGATCTGGAGCCCGGGGCGCCGTCCATGGGAGCGAAAAGCCTGTGCATCCCCTTCCAGCCGCTGCAGGAGCTGCCACCCGGGGCCAGGTGTGTGTGCAGCAGGAACCCCGCCAAGTTTTACACACTGTTCGGCCGCAGCTACTGAGGACGACGCAGAGCTCCTGCTCTCCGCACTTTTCAAACAGCTGACAACACTGTCTTCTCAGATGCAGAGTGTTTCTGCTATTTTTAAATAAAACTTCTAAAAGGAGGTCACACGAGATAGCTATTCTTACGCCTAAGTTCATGGTGGAAAAGACTTTCCTGTAAACTCCCCAGCAATAAATATTATGAACTAATACCGTTTCTGAGCTCATTGATTTGTGAGCCCCGGATCGTGTATCCATGGAACCTCCCCTACGGCTGGAGGTTCTGAGCACGTGAGTCCCAGACCTTGGTTCGCTTGAGCTGCTCTCTGGTTACTTCGGGGTCTTCTGAAAAAAAAAAAAAACAAACCAGTCCTCCTGTGGGAGCCAGCGGCCTGCTGCTGCCCCTGCTCCTCTCCGCTCTCTGTACCCACACCGAGGTCTGATCGGTCGCCACCCGTCCAGGCTGGGTTCCTTGTCTCAGCACCTGCACCCCCAGCTGTGGTTCTGTCCATGTTAGTGCTGATCTCAATCTCCTCCTGCCCCTCAGAGTTACCTTGTGGGTCACAGGATGCTGGCCCTGCACACTGGGCTTCCATCACAAGTGCAGCCATAGCTACAGGCCTGGGCTCCAGGCCTGTCCCAGCCACACATTGTTGGCTGGGCTTCTGTCAGTGCTGCCAGATCTCACTGCACAGGATTTCCTGCCTGGGCCCTGTCACTCAGCTCTGGACTGGAGCCTCAGGCCACCTATCAACTGTCACATGCCAGCCAGCAAAAGGGGCCTGCCTGGACCTTGTGTGATTGCTTTTCAGTCCTGGTGGTTGAACCCAGGGCCTTTCCCCTGAGCTCTGTCCTCAGCCTATGTATTTTGTTTTTTACTCTGAGGCCGAGGCTCAGTCACTTGTTTGCCCGAGCTGTGATCCTCTGTCTTCTCTCCTGAGGCATGCACCAAGGTGAAGTTTTGAAACTGCCCAGGCTGATCTTGAGCTCCTGGACTCATACGGTCCTCCTGCCTCAGCTTCCTGAAAAGCTTGGACTCCATCTGTGCCACCACACCCAGCCCCTTGGAGTTATTCCAGCATCATCTAGCTCTTGCCCTTCCATAGGTCTCTCGTCTCCATGCCTCCACAGTGTTCAAGGTTTTCCTTTTCTGTGAAGTCCTGGAGGCCCGCCATCATTACTGGTAACACGCAAACCCTCCAGCCCAGTTGGGCTCACATCAGCTGTGCTCTCTTTTTTTTTTTTTTTTTTTTTTTTTTTTGTCTTTTTCCTTTTTATCGGTACCGGGAATCGAACTCACGGGAGCTGTGCTCTCTTAAGGCCAAGCAACGTCCCTCGCAACCCAGCCACACTGGGCTTCCCGTAACTGCCCTTTCTGGTGCTTGCCCCATCCCTGTACCCCTCTTTAAGGGACTGCTAAATTCATGCCCCAGGAGCGCTTTCCCACTTGGTAACAAACGAATGAAGAGTCGCATTCACCAAGGGTCCGAGCTCGGTGCCCCTGTGCAGGACAAGCAGGGGTTAATGGGATGGTGCGGCAGAACAGGACGTGGGCTCAAAGTGCAGCAAAGCCTCGGTGTACGCGGCCTGCGCCTCACCACAGGAAGGTGTCACTTGAACACACATTACATGCAGCCTGCAGCAGGGCTGTGTCTTTAGACGCTGCCCACCGCGCTGAGGCTGGCAGAGATGGGGAGAGCAGTGCTGCACTCCTGGGGTTGCTGCTGTGACTTGAGGCTATTGAGAAGCTGTCTCACCCTTCCCAGGCCTGTGCACACACTGCGCTTAGAGAGGCGGAGTGCAGGGGAGAAGCGAAGTGGCTGCAAGGGCTCCCCACACTGCACAGGTGCTGGCTGCTGTGTGTGAGGAAGGCGTGGGGCCCGAGAAGCTGTCCCTCACAGGCACCGCTCCACAGGGCGCTGCATCTCGGAGTGCTGTTGTGCTGGTTCCTCTGACCCTGGGTTTACAGGTTTAGCAGCGTATGGGGTGGGCTTCTCCAGACCTGCACAGCTACACTGGGGCCTCCCTGATTGCCAGGGGTGCACGGTAGGCTCTCAGCCTGCGTGTCTACACTGGGACTCCCGTGATGGAGGCAGGCACCCAGCAGTGTGTTTGATTCTCCCAGTGGGTACACAGTGGTGTAGGCCTGCTGGTGGCCTACAGGTGCATGGGGCTTACCTGGTGTGTCCCTGCTCCTGCTGACTGCCTGCAGGAAGGAGCCTTCTGGTGACAGGCCAGCAGGCAGAGGTGGGTCTGCTGGCTCCTACGTGGGATTTCTTTATTAGTGTCCCCCTGTGGCTGGGTGGAGCTGTGGATGTAACATCCATGAATTTGGAGCCAGGCTCTGACCAATGACCCCAAAAGTGATTGCACCATCCCATTAACCCTGCTTTGGTCATGGCATGTTGATGCTGCCCTGCTTGCTGGACCTCTGGACATGCGTCACCTTTCAGTCACATCTAGTCTATCCCCGAGGGGGCTTGAGCCAGCTTTTCATTATGTTGGTAATCACTGCAACCTTTTGAGAATCAGACAGCAGCAACTCACTTGGCGATCAGTGGAGGACCCAAGAAGGCTGCTTCATTGAGCATGAAAAGCCCGCTGCACCAGGCTCTGGTCAGTCCACAGCCCTGCCTGGAAAAGCAAAGCAAAAAGCAGCAAGGAGATGGCATTTCCCCAGAGTGTGGAAGGATCACCCCATGCCAGCCGTTAGAATTACACCTGCAATCAAAGATCACGATGAGCGTTAAACCTTCTTCTAGGAAGTTTAACAATGTCAAGAACGATGAGAGAAGGAGCAAAGTTTCTCAAGAGGGTTGAGGCACTGTGTCCCTGTGAGGTACTGTTTTTATTTAAATATCTGCTCATCAATAGCGTCAGATTTGGGGGAGACAGTTACTGGCAGCTAGTTATTTTCAGACACAGCTTTGGCCTTCAGCTTGTCTCTTTTACTGCCTTCAAAGTGCCAGCTGCAGTCAGTTTAACGCCGGTTTGTCTGCTTTGTGTAAAGTCCCAGTGGATGTGTCAGTGAGGAAGGCTGCATGGACATGTTCCCTTTACGGGCTGGCAAAGCCAGGCACTGAGCAGTGGAGAAGGATTTGGGGCCCTGATGATTAATGATTTGTGCCAGCTGAGGGTCCCCAGGAGCAGATGCAGGGGTGACCTTTCTGCCAGTGAGACTGACATTTGGAAAACTGACACAACCCTGCCCTGCCACATGGTAACAGTGTGAGCACATTCCCCTTGGGGCTTAGTGGGCCCTGAGACACCCATGTCTTTATGCAGCTTCACTGGAAAGTTTCAGCTGGGGACATTAGGGGTATTGAAATGATAGCCAGATTTTAGTAAGTGTCCTGTAAGGGGGACAGTTTAAGACAGTTAAAGTTGCCATCTTGGAGAGGCCAGGAGGGAGGAGGGCCCTCTGTGTCAGCTGTCACCAGGAGGCGGCCTAACACCTTGGACAGGGCATCATCGAGTCAATGGTAATCCAAACGTTGGTCTCAGGCAGAAACACTGCACAGGCCCTTGGGGCATGGCAGGTGTTGGGAATGAAATGGTCAGTAAAGGGGATGCACTGAAGTGACCATCTCAGATAGACCGAGCTCAGACCAGATGCTATGCAGGGGAGTGGCCTAATTTCCTCTAACAGGCTGACCTGTGGCAAGCTATGCCAGCCATACTCAGCTTGGGAATGCCTTTAGGAGCTCCAGATGCTGTGCAGATGACTAAGAGCTAAAAAACGAAACCAAAGCCCCAAACCTCTCACATGGGTGAAACCATGAAGTGAGGCACTTTTCCCTTTCAAACACTGAGACTATTTTCTTGTCTTATCCATGAGATCCACTGACAGACTTGGGCTCGTTTATCTCAGCTTGAAAGCAGGAGAAAAGTCAACATGGTGTCGCCTTCAGCTTTCTCTTTTGGTGGCTTGGAAGTCTCGGTTTGTGGCCCCCATGGTGACCACTCAGAGCGATCCACACCGTGGTGGACACTGCATGGTGGTTGGAGTCTAATGATTTGTGCCTCTGGAGCCACTGCAGCCCAGGAAGGGACAGGAGCTGGCCTGGCCACTGCCTTGCTGAGGGATTCCAGGACCCAAGGCCATAGCCGCTGCCACCTCCCTAATCAATATACAGACAAACAAAATCCTCAAGTCCCTCTCTGTAAAGCCCCACTACGTGACACCCTGACTTAATTGCCCTTTAAACTGGTTTATGGCTTTATAGTAACCTATAAAAGGTGATTTCCAAACATGACAAGTGCTGGAAGGCTGAGGCAGAGTCCTCGGGAGGTGCGGCTGCCCATCTGTCTGTCCCAGCGGCTCAAGCTCCCTGAGGCAGGGGCCTGGGGACCATGGGCCGGTACTTGGGGAGAAGCTGCCGGCTGATCTTCATGTGTGTGGTCAGCGTGCTGCTCCTCGTGATGGAGCTGGTGATTGCCCACATGGGCAGCTCCCTGTCCCTGGCCTCCGACGCCTTCACCGTGCTGTCCCACCTCCTGTCCATGGTCGTGGGCCTGTGTGGCGTCAAGGCCAGCAGCATCATGCAGCACAGGAAGAGCACCTTTGGCTTTCTGCGGGCCGATGTGCTGGGGGCGTTTGGCAACTCCGTCTTTGCAGTGGCCCTGATGTTCAGCATCCTGGTGGAAGCCATCAAGAGGTACATCACCCCCCAGAGGACCGAGCAGCCGCTGCTGGTGCTCAGCGTGGGCATCGTCGGGCTCTTCTTCAACATCCTCAACTATGTCATCTTCCTGGACTGCTGCTACTGCACGGCACAGCGGCCCCGGGCCGATGCAGATGCAGGTAGGCTGCCACGAGGGTGGGCTGGGCCTCGGGGTGCTGTCTGGAGAGTCCCTGCTTGTCCCCGTGGCCTCAGTGTGAAGTCCTTCGGGAACACTTTCACTACCAGTACAGGGGACTGCTCTGGACAGGAGCCCTGGGGAAGACCTGGAAACTGGTTCCCTTAATGGCTCACTTTTGTTTGCTCTGATGGGACACAGCTATGTTTAAGTTGAAAAATAATACCTTACTGACTCCATAAAATAGGTGCAGAAAGTGCTAGAATACAGGACCCGTTCCCAAGCAGCACAGGGGCAGATGTTTGGAGAGGCTGACAGATGGATAGGTCTTCTCTTCAAGGATGACACGCTAACTAGGGAGGAGAGAGAAAAGGATGGTCTAGGAAACGTAGCTCCTTTTTTTTTTTTTT